CCTGTTTGTTTGCACGCACGACCGAGTACTTTGCGCACACCACTTACACACCACATGCGCCTCGAATAGGCTACGAGTCCCTGACCGGTTGGGCTAGCGTCGCAATTTAGAGCAAGGTACTTTTGCTACCGGTGTAACGATGGATACTCAATATACTCTGTACAAGCCCATCACTCAGTCAGTCAGTCCACCAGTCCGTCGATTAGTATACCACCTATAAGTTCCATAAACTATCAAAGGCTTGCACTATTGCACACATTGCCAGACAATCTGCAAACACGGCAAGATTCGCACATTGCACCTTGGGACAGCCACCTCATTCGCAGCTTGCTCTGCTCGGCCCGCACCACAACAACAACAACAGCACCTGATATCCATAGGTCGCTTGAGAGCTTGGCGTTACCGCTCCTTGTAAGCAGCAGTCGGTGCCGGTTCCAATCAAAAGCTGCGGCCTCACCGGATTTTCCCGCCAACTCGTTTCCTCTCAACGTGTAAATGAACTTGTTGTCATTCGTGCTATCATATATTGTTCGTTGCGGTCTGCACCAAAACAAATCGCACACGCTCAGTCCAAGTGTCCAATCAATCAACGTGGTGGTAAGAAGGGGAATTCCAATGCAGGCACGGCGTGAAGACACTACTCCTCTTGTCAGAGTTGCGGCGCAGTCAACTCAACGTCCGAACCCGTGAATTTCTGGCTCTGGCCGTGTCTCTTTGTTCGCCGCCAAATCTTTCCGAAGAGCTGGGTCCGCGGATCCTGGCTTGGTGCTCCGAAAAAACGCAACTCGATGGAGCCGAATTTGGTCATATCATATCATCGAATTTCTCTCCTTCCAAGCATTTCCCGTTTGAGCAGCTTTGCATACAAAAGAAAGAAAAGAGTGACGGCGTGCTTCGATCCAATGCAAGGAGGGGGTTCCATCATCTCATCACCATGCAGCGAGCTATAACATCCCTGCCAAGATCGGCTCCCTTGCCTGCTGTCAAATACCGGCGAGCCAACTTGCGATAGGCTTTTATTTAATTTTACTTTATTTTGGGACTGACCGAAGACTCACCTGCAGAAAAACAACAGACTAATGATGGGAAACTACTCCAACTCGGCCGAGCCTCGAGACTTTGTGCGTGTACGGCCATGCCGCAAATTGAAATTGCCAATGAGGCTTGGATGTTACTGCCGTTATCAACTGACTGGTTCGTACGGAGTATCCCAATTTGATCTTCGGGGCCTTGTGTAAACCGGCTGTGTGACTTGGTTGTCGATGAGACGGCCTCCTTTGGCCCCAAAAAATCTCATGTTTCCAGTGGCGGCACACTTTGCTACCTGCCTAAACGCGCTTACAGTCATTCATTGAAGGAGCTTTGATAGTCGAGGCTGTCATCATCATATGGCCCAGGTATGACCCTTATACTCACACCTTTAGCCGCTGTGGCTTTTTTGACTTTGACGTTCGGTACTTCTGGGTGGGCAACCTCAAAACGGAGAATATACTATCTGACATCCATCTACCTAGGTCTTCAAGGTCTGTAATATATTGGGCCAGAGCCTCGCCTATTTCGAGATGAGGGCACATGCGAGGCAGACTAGGGTACACCTAGTTGGGAGGGAAGAAAAAGCAATTCAGAGATCCACATGTCGCCAGTTCTCTGCAGTGTCTCAAACGGAGGATGGGAGTGGAGCGTCGAGACACATAACGTGAAAATACCCAAATTGGCGTCGCGCCCGATTGACTGCCTACCTGCCTGACTGATCGACCAACCGCTCTTGTCGAGGCGGAATCATTCCTTCGAGCGCTGCAGAAGGAAAGAAAAGACAAAACACAGCCCAGGCATATTCAGAGAGCTTGGTGTTACGTTCGGTAGTACTCTACGAGCTAGATGGGCCTAAAGAATGTGCCACCGAAACGGTCGCCGCTTTCCTGGGAAAATGATGCATCTTTAGCGATGTCTCGCAACCCAGTCATGCTGTAGGTAAAGGTTTGGCCCCTCGTACTGCAGACCGGTCCCGGTGACACTGCTACTACTTCTGCTGCTGCTCAGCTCTCTCCACTCTCATTACCTCTTTAGGTAGGGCGGTCCCCCAAACATCATGTAGGCGCGCCCAGTGATAAGAGGTACTTGCGTGCAAGATGTAATGAAATAGATCCCTTATGGACGTGTATATATGACATGAGAACACGCGGCCGTTTCTCGTGTTCTTCGGCTTGGGTCAAGTCTCGGAGCCGAACCTCCTGCAAAACAAGTCACCATGGTGCCAAAACAAAATGGTGGGAGACCCAATATGAATAGATTACCCATCATTGGGAAGGAAAATGAAAAAGCAAAGTAGCTACCCAGAGGCGCCCCAAGACCTAAACGACTAGGCCGGACTACTGGGTCGCCCTATATCTGGTCTCCTCTTCTTTCATCATCGTCAAGACCCAATCCCTAACGTACTGATGCCTGACTCGCAACGAGTAGCCATTCTTGCCATTCTGAAAAAGATTGCTCTTTGCGGCATATGCAGTTACGTCTAGGGTATAGGAGCTTGTTTTTGTTTTTCCGTTTTTCTTTTGTTTCGCTTTCTCGGCGACCCAGCGTGCCGGTAGGTAGGGTTCTTTTCCTGTGTAATGTAGCCATGGTGTTCTAGGTTGTTTGGAGTGTACGTATGCGTGTGTGTTACTGTCACAGCACCTCAAAAGTCCCACCCCCCTCCCCGCGTTGCAATGCTTTGTCAATGTCGTACACCGGTTCGTACGGCAGTGTAATCCTGGGGGGCTTTTTTTCTTTCTTTCTTTCTTTCTATCTAGGGAGTGAATTGGACAAGATGGGTTTTATGGTAAAGTTTGAATAAGCGTTTTCAAAAAACAAGAAAAAATTCAAGGTCTTGTCCAACTCTGCATATGCATCTCGTTTTATTCATAAATGACTTGAATATACAGAGTACCGAGACTCTGGGTGGCCCTCATATGATTGTTTGTGCATAAGTGCCCCATTGAAAAATTTATCAAACAGGACTACATAGGGATACCTAGTGACGGGATAAGGATCGCAAAGGGTGTACGGAGGAGACTTTCAGTCTAAATTTTATGAGATTTATACACATTTGCTGCTTCTGTCTTGTTCTGTGAAACATTAAGGTTATACTCGTGACTATTTGGCGAGTTGATTGTTCATGATGCCTTGGGAAAGTTGGCAAAATTTTGCAAATTGAGTATAGTCTTGATCAAACAATGTAATACATACTAGGAATCTGTTGGGTTGGTAATATTGACCATGATTTTTATTCTACAAATGACGGTTCTTGAGACATTCATAAATTGGATTTTCTCAAGATGATAAGTGTCGACACTTTTAATAAAGATGATATTGTTAACCTCTTTTCGTTTCCAAATTGATCTACCTTTATGGACTTTATCGACCATGTGGCTATTCTTGTATGTCGTCACGGTCATACCACCATTCAGACGGCATGTTTTTGGTCTTCAGATGGTGTGAATCTGGCAGGATTTGGAAGCCTTCGTGATCTTATTCAGTACTGCAGAGAAGGGTGGAGATGAGCAGTTGCTTGTTGTGGCTTGTACAGCAACATAAATCAGTGTACCATTGGAGAGAAAAGTACTCGTTGTTCTCGGAGCCTTTGTGATTTGTTACTTCCATGTCATTTATGAACGCTTATTCCACTTTCCAGAGGCTGCCCTTGTGCCTATTCTCTCAATGATAACTCGAGTGTTTGGTCAATGGACATGCTCCATCTCGGCTTACTTGAGTGAGACTGCAAGCTATCAAGTCTCAACGCTGTATGAATTTCCATGGTTGGCTGAGACGAGGTCACCTTTCCAACCATGGTGCCGGATAAAGCATGATGATTCTAGAGCCACGCAAACTCTTGCGACGATATCAGTCCTGATTGCTGCCTGGTGCTTGGAATATAGGAAATGTATTCGGTCATCATATCGAGAGAATCCGGGCTTTGAATGCTAACGAAACCCAATAAACTAAATGGGACGTTGGACCTGGAGTCGTCGTTGTTATGAATCATCTTTATAAAGACAATTTGGCCCTTCTCTAACTTGGTCGCGTTACAAAAACAAGCAAGAGCGTCAGTCAATCGTTTGAGTACTTGGTTTGTTGTTTTCTTCTACAATACAAGTCGAGCGATCATGTACCAGGAACCACAAGTCACTCGTGGAGACGAGTCCTATATTGTTGACTCATTCCACCCCCACTGAACAATTTCTAATGAACAAGATGTGGCGACAAGCAGTGGCAAATCAAGGGGCAAGTGTAGTGATACCTTTCTCACTCTCCTCTTCTGCCAGAATAAGCGGGCATTTCATCATAAACAGGACAATAGATAACGTTCAAAAATCTCTAGAGGACAAGTATACAATCATGTTTTTTTTTTTTTTAAAAAAAAAAAAAAAAGCGGCAGGGAAACAGAAGGGTATGCCTTGACTCTTGTCTGGATATACTACGGTCTGGATTATCGTATGATCAAAAACCATCACGGGGCAGGGGTTCATCCATAGACGGCCGAGTAGAAAGAAGGGTGAAAAGTTGTACGGCCGAAAGCTTTTCCTTCTCGTGACTTTGGCTGCCGTGCCGGCAGGACTGGCTTGGGGACTTGATCCTAGGCTAGGAAAACACAGCTTAGATAGCTCAAGTTTTGATATCATCTAGAGACGCATATGAAATCAATGTAACCATGATGCCTCTCAAGGATCGCTCGATATGGTCAATAGGTCTCGCGTGGATGTATGAAGTATTCAGTTGATAACAAAGTGGCGGACTTTGATTGCTCCAAGACATGGTAGACGGAACGAACATGTACGAAACATATTTTCAGAATTTGCCTCACCTGTTGATAGGTGGGGAGAGATGGCCATTTTCGGTTCGAACTGAGTGCATTTGTCTAAGAATGAAACCTATGTCATTATGTGGTGAACCGAGTCAATGAATCTGCTACTTCTTTTTCCATAGAGTCTTCCCCATCACCATCATCACAATTATTTCCTTGGCTATAGGAAACCAAACTCTGACTTGACAAAATGGGATTTTGAGTTTTGATTCCAGTCATGCTTCGGAGACTCTCGGCTCTCTGGGAACTGCTGTGATGTGTCCGCCAACTCCTGATACCCGTTTTCTTGAACCCTGGCGGGAAACCCATTCTGCTGAGGATGATTTCCTGGCGCTAGTGGTGTGAATCCATTGTCGAGCATTCCGCTGTTGTCAATATCTTGCCCAGAGTCCAGCTGTGTTGACCAAGTTGCCGAATACGTATGTGCGCGTCTCTGAGATAGTTGGACCGGCCTTTCCATATAAGTATGAGATTGGGAATTTTGGTTATCATGGAGTGGAATTGATGAAATAGGCGATATTTGAGGCGCTTCTGTCCACATGCCCGTTGGATCAGACACTGCTTGCCGTGATAGATGCATAGTTGGCCGAGGACTTTCTGCCTGGAGTGGTAGAGGCCTAACATCAAAGCCCTGCTTGGGATCCTCCACAAATCCAGACATGACATGAGCAGAAAAACCCTGTGTGTCGTTGTTCACGACCAGAGACCCATAGGTTTGAATAGCCGCAGACTGCTGTACCTCGGGCATCGACAAGGCGAGATGCGCGTGGGAAGATTGGCTCGTCAGTGCTCCGGCACCATACGATGCACTACTCCGACGTGATACCGGGTCAAGTCCCGTGGCTTGCGTCAATGATGTGCCAGTAGAGTCGAAACTGGGGTGCCGCGAAGCCAGAAGATGATCGAGCACTTGAGAAACGCTTTCTCCGGCCGCAGCCGACAGCCCATGAGCTGGAGTTGCATTGGGCGAGTGGAGGTAGCTTTCAATGCTGCTCTCATCGACCCCTTGTTGTGTAAGTAAAGCTCGCAGCTTTCTGTTCTCTTCTGCGACTTTCCGTGCCGCTTGTTGAATCTCTGTCGACGCTTCGATCCCCTGCTGTTCATACACCCTAATCCGTTGTTCCAGCTCTTGCAAATATTCCTTTCTCCGTGCGCGTGAACGTCTCTGGTTTTCCCGTATTCTCGTCAGATTTGCCTTGTCCTGTGCGGCTTTATCCTGTTAGAAATAGATTAGCCTGGGACAATGATGCACTGAAAATGTATTTGCTCTTATTTGTAGTCTACTTACATCCGTCGTGGGCATATTCAATACATGCAGTCAAGCAGAAATATGTTGGGCTGTGATCTGAAGCAGAATGAGCCTGGAATACTGATCACCTCATCATGGCAAACTTACCCATGGATATGATTGCATATGATATATAATCCTCGGCAATTATTGTTATGAGCATTGTCTACCCCTTGGAGAAAGCCCGAAATGAGATTAGGGAATGAGCGTTTGGCGAGACCTTGCCTGACATTAATACAACCAAGCAATCAACCTATCCCCATAGAGAACCGCAGTAAAACGATGGCGAAAAGCAATGCGTGGCTTTGGGGGAATGCATGTGTGGCACCACTTTGCCGATTTATGATCGAGATTGCATCTTGTCGCTTGGGAAGGGTCTGCTCAGCCTATGGTTGTTCAAGGTGGATCATTGATTATAAGGGGTTACGATACCTACCTCAGTATCGAGCACGGGTTGCAACGGGCCCCTTTCTACAGAGTTAGGGTTATGTCTCGAGAGAACATTGTCTCACAAACTGCAGCTGTGTGGCCAATTCCCTGAAGGGACTATAGCGTCACTAGTTGATGCAGGGTACGAGCCACGATCGCCGCCAAGAACCGAGGTATAACCAAACACGGAGTAAGATTCACAAGAGGGAGGGAATCTCTTCTTTACTTAGCATCAATAAGTGAGGTACTGCTTAGAAAGAAAAAAGGACTACACCGGTCATTTGACCGCTCGCTCTTCTGGAATGCAGCAGCTCTGGCAAGTGTCGAATAGGCGAGTCCAAAGAAGACGGGCTTTCAAGCATATCCGTTGCTGCACAGAATCTGCTGGAAGATTTGCTGCCAGCGTTGACGCTGGTAGCACACGGAAATAGAGAGAAGAATTGAGAGGAGCAGTGACGTCGGTATGATTGTATTCCCGCATTGAATAAAATGTACGCCGTGTGTCAGACGGAAAATCAGCGAGCACGGCGGAGCGGCCAGTCGAGATGGATAGGGAAAATGTGGCTGCATACAAGGTGTCTGCTGTGTGCAGAAGACGATGCCTCCGCATACTGGTTGTGAGCGAGAGGTATTTCTTGGCACGCACGTCGTTGAATTTGCGTTCTCTTGCAGCGGCAGCTAACGGGTAGATGATCGATTAGCGGACGAGACCCTGGAAAACCTGGAATGACCCCGGTACGGCTTGCGATCCATGACAGGCTCGCTTTGGGACCCAAGCCAGCCTGCCGCGACAGAGCAAATCATGTTGCGATAGGCGAGAGTACGGCATTCTGTGGCCGACACTAGTGTTGACACGCGAGCTCCGAGCAGCTGTACGAAAGCCAGAAAGTAATATTTGAATGTGTCCGTATGCATGTTTGCACTTCCACCCCAGCCGCTGGCTTCGGAAGGCGGGAAATCCGAAGAGGGTCACCCAGCAGGGTCAATCTTTGGTCTCTTGTGGTTCTGGATGATGATTCGGTGGTTTTGTATACCATTTCTCAAAGTATACAGACTGAGCATGTGAGGCTGATTGATCAAGCAGGGGTCAAGAGAGCCTCTTTGCATGTGTGTCGCGGCTACTAGCATCAGAATTGAACCATGTAGTATGGATAAGTGTCCTTGCAGCAGGCGGCGTTCCCCAAGAGACGACGATGGCCGACGACAACGACGTTCACCGCTCAGTTCAGTTGCATTATAACCCAACGAAGGGCCCCGGAGCCGGTATGAAGCATCTCACGAATCAATACTGCAGCAGCGGGATGCCCGGGTCAAGGGTGACGACGAACCTTGTACCTTGAGCCATGCATATATAACAATGCGCCAATAGGCCGCCAAGGGTCAGCCACGATCCCCATCGGCGATCCTATCCGTGCTTTTCAATGGGCGGTAGGTTGACAGGGTAGATAGTGTAGGAATGTAATAATTTCTAGCGTGCACGGTGTGGTTCAGCTGCATTTTGCATTCGGAACGCTCCGGCGCCTCTGACATTCCATGGAGGCGATAGTCTTGTCTTCTGGCAGCTGGTGGTGGGAAGTACGGAGGTTACGTATCGCAGGCCCGTGGTTGTCGATCTCGAGATCTCTTCCTCTTGTTTTATTTATTTTTCTTTCTCCCGCCACGCCGCTAGTCATGCCGTCTTTTGCCAGGCCGGAGTTGGTCCAATGGTGAGACGGCGGACCCGGTTACTGGTAGTCTCAGAGTCACAGTGTCCGGGTCGCGTGCATATCGGAGAACCAGCCGTGCGCTATGCTGTACACCGATTGGCAAGTATTTGGCTCCTAACGATATGCAGGGTCTCAAGGGTCCGAAGCGCTCTCCCGTGCAGATACACAACAGGAACCCTGTCCCCAGAGTCAAAAGTTGGGTGATTGATGTCACGCCCTGGACGTCACGTCACAGAGCTGGAAATGGGTTAGGTGACGGACGGACGATCTGTGGTCCCAAGCGTCGAGAGGAGAACAGATATGAGTAATCGGAAAATATGACAGCAAGGATTAGTGGACGGCGCAGAGAAACCTCATGGTTGATTGACTGGCCGAGGAGAACTGCATGGTCTTGCGTGTGTTTTTGCATACCTAGTGGTAACCAGGTAAGCAGGTGTGTGGTTACTTTGAAGTCTTGAGGTGGTGGAGAGGGTGAAAATGTGACGATTTGATTTGCTCCTTCCTTCTGGAGTTGCCAACCACATGCATGTACTCATGCCCGCCAAAATCCACAAGATTGGAAACATGGCACTCGTCTTGTCTATAGGGACTAGTCAGACCAGCTTTTCTTTTCAAAATCATCCATTGAGAGACACATTCAGCGAGCAAAAGAAATGTCGAGCACAATATATGCAGCGTCAGTTATCTCCTCCTTGGAGACTCTTGCATTGATTGACACGTCTGTCTACTAGGGTACCTATCTTTACTTTTGCGTCTCCCCTCTTGTCAAATCATACCAGGCTGCGATACATTTCTACGCCAGGAACGAAAATACTCCGGCCATGGACAAAGACAATCCATTGGCAGTCGAGACTACTGCTCATCCTTGAGGTGGGAGCAGGTTCCAGCGCTGACAGAAATGATGTAGTGGTCATCAGTGGTGGACTTGGAGCTTCCACTGACCAGAAACTTGCTCGTGTCCGACTGCTCAGGAGTCTCGCAGTGATCGACGACTAGGGAGACCTGGTCGGCCAGATCACCGCTCTTGAAGGAGAGAGTCTTGCTGTCGGTGTTGCACCACCAGACGACGGCGCCATTGTCACAGCCGAGGTGAATGCACTGCTGGGGATCGGTGGACAGGTCATCACCGGCATGGGCCTTGAGGTCGGAGACAATGTTGTTGACCAAGGAGACGTCGGTCAGCTGAGCGAACGAGCAGGTGACGAAGGGCTGTCATGTTGTAATCTGTTAGCTCTACTGGTGGTTGACAGCACATTCATGCAACCCAACAAGAAAAAGAAAATCACTAACCTGATCACGGATGCGAACGCGTCCTCCCGAAGTGACCTGGTTGGCTCCAGCAAGGGCAGCGGCAGAACAAGTCTACAAGAGACAATTAGTATAGAAGGGCAGTATCCAACAGCGCCACGTACCTGGATGGCGACAGAGAGAGTGGCAAGAGCCAGAAGACGAGAGTTGGTCTGCATCTTGAAGAAAGGATTGTCGGTTGCTTGGTGTACGTGTTGTGAATTGGTCTTTGATCTGTGGAAGAGGATGAATTGAGTGGAATTGAAATACTCAACGGCCAAAGTTGTTGTTGGAGTTCGGAAGAAGAAGAGGAGGAGGAGGAGGAGTAAGGCGTTTGATTGTGGACAGCTTTATATCTTGGAAAATTCTGTATTTGCCCAGGCTTCGTTTGTATCTGGCAGCTTTGAGTTCTTTCCAGTTGAGTTTCAGGTTTCAGATTGGAGTGGTGATTATTGATATCTGGAGCTTGAATTTCCAGATTGATACAATGGCACAAACGAGCCCGCCAAGGCAAGAGCGTTTGCATTTCACATTCCCTTGCGTCTTCGCATTATTTGAAGACGACGGACCTAATCATCTCAATGACCACGGATCAAGACATCCCCTTGAACAATTCACACGCATGATTTTCTCTTGCTACTTGTGATTATCCTCAATAATGTCTGTCTAGCAGACGCCTAATGTTCCAGCCGCCTTGGTGGAATGTATGAAATGGCCCTGTAAGCGGGAAACAATCGGCATATTCCATATTTACGGAGCCAATATGCCCTGATCACATCATTCACTTGTGAGATTCAAAGTAGGAGTTACGAGAGATTGTAGCTGGCAAATTTGGCCAGCAAGGCACCAAATACCTAGACGATTAAGATATCTTGTGTTAGCTATGGACTCAACCTTTCAAGAGACCACTCATCCTTGCCATCTTCCTTTCTTTCATACACAAATCTGTCGTGCAAGCGACTCTCTCGGCCCTGCCAAAATTCTATCGATTCGGGCACGATCCTCAAACCACCCCAGAACTCGGGGACCGGGATCTTCTCCTGATCACGAAACTTCTCTTCCGTCTCCGCGACCCAGCCCTCGAGCTCCTTCCGTCCGTCGTCTCCTTCTGCAGCTGCCGGCTTTAGCACCTGACTCTGCCGACTGGCCCAGGCACCGATGCGGCTCCCCCGCACTCTGGTGTCATAATAATTTTGGCTCTCCTCGGCACTGAGCCTACTCGCTCTGCCCTCGACCCGGACCTGGCGCTCCAGGCTCTCCCACCAAAACGTCAGGCTGGCCCAGGGGTTCGTGGCCAGGTCGGCGGCCTTGCGGCTCGTGCCAAAGTTGCTGTACACCACAAAGCCCTTGTCGTCGAGCTCCTTGAGGTACACCATGCGGGCGCTCACACGGCCCGACGGCAGCGACGCCGTCGACAGCGTGCACGTCTCTGGGTGGGCGACGCCCGACCCGGCCTGCTGCGCTGCCCCGAACCAGCTGTGAAACTGGCGGACGGGCGACGAAGGGTCCAGGTCTGCACGGGTGAGGTGTCCCTTGACGAATTGGTCTGCCTGTCCGTGTGCTTCTTGCCCAGCAGGTGCAACTGACATTGGTGAAAACACGTAAGTGGTACGGTCCAAGGAGGGGCGGGCGGGCGTTGCGGCACTTACAGATGAGTTTGGAATCCTCTTTTGCTGCGTGGAGAGCCATTTTGGTAGTGTAGCTCAGAAATCTAGAGAGTGTTGATTGCATTCAAATGATATTGCTCGTTTTGTCCTAGGAGATACGATAGGACGCTGCAGATTTGGATTGTGTGTTTGTTGTTGGCTGGTATAAGACAAGGTGTAAGTCGATGATCGAAAGTTCATGACGCATCCAGCAGAACAAATCGCTTGTGTTTTGTGGGGTCCAATTTCTAGGCCAGCACACGAGAGCAACTCATGTGTTTCACCACCATTCAGTCAGTGTTGGATCTAGAATCATGCAAATCTTGCATTAACTAAAGGTCAATTTATTCAAGCTTCTAATTTCTATTTCTCCTTGCACCAAATATAGATACAGGGTTACTTGTCCAATTTTGAGTGAATGACAATCGAGGGGAGATTGGAGAGCGGATAGTCAAGCACAGCAGTTTACTGCCTAGCTTGATGTATAATCTACCGGCACAGTCGAAGCACTCTTGGCGCTCCTTCTAGACAAGACTCACAAAGCGATGGAACTCAAAACTAATATGTTGATTGACATAACAAGAACGAGGCTTAATGGGAACCCCAAAATCATTTCCTCAGGTACACGAATATAACACAATACATATTATATCGTACATTACTCGAATTCATTCCCCTCGAGCACATGAAATCCATCTTTTTCTCAGTGCCAGAATTTACTAAGAAGAAGGAAGGTGAAAATGAAAAAAGAGAAAGAAACAACAAAATCCCAGTTCCTTGACCAAAAACCCCAAAAGAAGAACACACGAATTCGTGATGGAGTTAGATGACAAAAACGAGATACAAAAAACAGGTCAGTCGGGGATTCGAACCCCGGTTACCGGAAGTCACGATGAAGAATCAGAATCCGATGTGATAACCAACTACACTAACCGACCATGAGGCTGTAAACGCTCGCTATGACATCCAATTTCATTAAAGCAGTTTATGATGTTAACGCAAAAACCATTCCTTGCGGCTTCGGAGCGCGGCGATAAGATAAGGTGCAGTTCTTGGGAACTGCCCCTCCATCAGGCCTGGAAAGAGAAAAAAAAGTTGTCGGTCCCACAGTGGGGGACTGGGTTTTTATGCCACCCTGCGGGACTCTCAGGCACCACGAAGCTGGTCTCGCTCTGGCGCTGCTGGCTGCATTCGTCGCCGTACTGTACCACACTTGCAAAATAATTATACTGCGCTTGTTGGATACAACTCCTGTCAGATTAGAGTTCCAACATTGTGTATGGAAATTCTATAGCATCCATTTTTAAGATACGGCCACTCCTTCTCCGCACTCTACGTTCCGTCGTCCGACACAACCACAAATATGACCGCCGACGCCCCGGCTACCACCATCGCCAGCCTGCGCGAGTCCCTGTGCTCCGAGGCCACCCCACTTCCTCTGCGTTTCCGCGCCCTCTTCTCGCTCAAGCATCTCGCCAGGCACGCTGAGACCCCAGCCGAGTCCCAGGAGGCCATTGATGCCATCGCCGCCGGTTTCGCCTCTCCCTCGGCCCTACTCAAGCATGAACTCGCCTATTGCTTGGGCCAGTCCGGCAACATGGAGGCTGCCAAGCCCCTGCGCGCCGTCCTGTCCGATTTGCACGAGGATACCATGTGCCGCCACGAGGCCGCTGAGGCTCTTGGAGCGCTAGGCGACCTGAACAGTCTGGCCCTGTTGAAGCAGTTCAGAGACTCCAAGGATGAAGACGTAGTCATTACCGAAACCTGCGAGCTCGCAATCGACCGTATCGAGTGGGAGAACTCCGAGGAGAGAAAGAAGGAGAAGTTGCACCAGAGGTTTGTCCATTTCTCAAAATCTGCCATTGATCCCTCTCGCACGAGTCGGGCTCAGATCCCATTATGCTACCTTTATGAGTGCTCATGGCTAACCGGATACAGCGACTTTGCATCGATAGATCCTGCCCCTCCCATGCCTGAGACGTCGCAAACAGTCGACGATCTTGGAAAGACCCTCATGGACACATCCGCTCCTCTCTTCCTCCGATACAGGGCCATGTTTGCTCTCCGCGACCTCGCTTCGCCTCCGGATTTGCCTACTGCAGTCCCTGCCGTCCTTGCTCTTGCCAAGGGTCTCGCCGACTCGTCTGCACTCTTCCGCCATGAAATCGCCTTCGTTTTCGGACAGCTCTCCCACCCTGCCTCGATTCCAGCACTGACCGAGGCGCTCTCCAACACTGAAGAAGCCAGCATGGTTCGACACGAGGCTGCCGAGGCTCTGGGTAGCCTGGGCGAGGAAGAGGGTGTTGAGGAGATCCTCAAGCGTTTCCTCCACGACAAGGAAAAGGTTGTGCGCGAATCTGTCATTGTTGCACTAGACATGGTCGATTACGAGCAGAGTGGTCAAGCAGAGTATGCTCTGATTCCAGAGTCAGCTGAAGCCACCGCGGCGGCATAAATTGGGACGGTCCTCTTGGGTGATGAGTTTTCAGGCGTTTGAGCGTTTGTATTGATATCAGGTACCAAAAAAAAGAGAATAGAACGCGGTGATGGTTTTGGGATTTGGGTATCTTGTTATTCCGTCGCATACGAGAAGTAGTAAAAGCGTCGCTCTTAATGCGCATAGTTGCTCAGTTGTTGTGGCTCCATCTGCAAGAAGACTGTTTAGCAAGTCATACGTTATTGGGCGGCCTGGTGGAACGTACTTGTGACCACATTCGCATGTATAAAAGTTGGTAGCACCTTCATCGGCACTTCGCAGCTGAACGCTGGTGAACCGGACCTCCTTGCGACCACACTTTTCACATGTCTCTTGGATCAAGGCCTCAGTCTGGACCTTGTGTCTCTCAACCGTCTGCGTAGTGGAGAGTTTCTGGCGGAGCAGGGAGGGAAAGTCGGTAGGCTTGCTCGTGGTGACAATTGTCTTGGAGGCCATGTCTATGAAGTTTGACAAACGTTAGCCTCATGCATAATCTCTCAAGTCTGCTTTACACAATGCGAGGCCATAGTGGAGCGTACCTTGATTTTCGGCGCCGCAACACTCGCATTTCAGGATATTCTTTGCATTGCCTTTGGATGCAGGTAAGAGATTACCGCAGTCGGTACAAAAAACCAGGGAACCAATGGTGGTCATTTTGGTATGTTGGAATAGCAAAGTCTGCTGAACGGGATTGGAGAGAGTCGGCAGAAGCGATGTTACCGGTAGGAAAGTTATTTTGGCAGCTTGTCCTTCGTCCAAGTCAAGTATTTAGCAAAATGGCAGAAGATCCAAAAAGTTTTGGACCAGTAATTGCGACTCCAAAATTTCGAGCTTGAACCCACCCGCGTTAGTTTGTACCGAAGCCACGGATGTCTTATCGTTATCAGCAGTCAGTACGTACTCTGTACATTACAAACAGCCAAGGCAGCGACCAAGGTGCACTGACCATAGCTTAATCAGTCCTTATCCCTCGCGGTCTGATCGGGGGCAGTCTCAGGCCTGCCAGGGGGTCACTTCCGGGGGAGTTGAATTGCGATGCCAATCTGAGCTCCGTTACCCGTCTAATGTCATCTGTTAGCGTAAGGCTACTGTGCCTTACTGTTACCTCGTCAGTGTGAATCTTGTGAATCGCGTAGTCCGCGACATCAATTTTTGGCGACAACGAATCAAGAGATTCTTCCATTTCCTCCGTGATTTCAGTCCAGACTATGCAGCTCCGTCTACTGTGCTCAGCGATACTCCCAACTTCCTAGACGCGCCCTCTGCGAACCCGATATCCGGTCGACGCGCATGGCAAACAACCTTACAGCATCGTGGTATTAGCAGGGGGAGAAGAAGGATCCTGCCTACGGCGATGCGATTGATGATTGCAGTGGGATAAACGTATGGAATAGCAGGAGGGTATGTGAGGAGGATAGGCACACACAACGCGCAAGCATGGCAGACCCAAGGACTCTCGTCCAAAATGGCTTCGCGCCGCAGTATGAGCAGCAGCAGCAGCAGCAACAGTTCATCGACCCAAGTGCGTTGCAACAATCGCAACAGGTCGAAAGCCATGGCCGAGGACAGGCACAAAGTATACCGAGGCCGTATACTTTGGACGAAGCGCTCCCATTCACACCCTTTACCACGGTGTTTCCCTTCGAAACTGGTAAGTGCGACTGCCTATCGCGCACCTTCCCTCCAGAACTCGCAACCCAGAGAGATTTTCCCTTTTTGCCCTCATGTATCTTTTTAGCCTCTTGCCATTGGGTTCTCTTTCTCGATAATGGAATTTCTCTCCCTCTCTACGTCCAATTTATTTCTGACCACTTTCTTTTGCAATTCCACAGATATCATCAACAATCCCACCATTGGGTCAGGTCAGATCGCGCCCTCTATCCTTGGTCTTGTCGAACACGAGGATTACGATGCCCTGAACAAGGAGGCAGAGAATTCTAGCAGCTCGAAACGGCTCGAGGGAAGCTTAGAATTTGTGCAAAATTTATTGAAGCCCGAGAAGATCACATTGTTGTAAGTTTTGCCTTTCTGCGATTGTTCCCCGTTTGGCACTTGTGCTGCGCTCGGTAGACAATCACATTGCAATAATGTCTGTTGGGATTGTTCTAGCATCATTTATTGACAATTATTCGATCGCAGTCAATTCAAAACAGCGCCCGTCTCAAACTCTTCAAACAACACATCGAAATCGAGTCTTGCTCGTGGCCTGTCTCCCCTCGCTCGCATGATCTACGAAACCACCAACATCGGGTTTAAAGACCCTTCAACTGATACGATCAAGTCACAGATGCCCAGCGCAAACGGCACCAGCATGTCGCCAAAGCCGGTAAAGAAGTCGCCTAAGGCTCGCAAGCCGGAGCCACACAAGGTGGTCAAGCACAACCCGTCATCATTTAATGCCCAGAGCGTGACCAAGAATAGGGCCTCTATTGAGATCCACCTTCCATCGCGCCGAGACCATGAAGCTGCAGCCTCCATGTACAGCTCACCCAAACCAGAACCCCGTGATCAAATCGCTCTAGCACCTACTCCTAGAGTCTCACAAACCATATCTCCAGCAGATCTTGTGCTGGCTCCACCGACTGCACCAGTATCAGTCAGACCAGCCGAGACAGAGCAGAAAGATATCAAGCCCGACCTCGACACTCTTGATAAAAAATCTCTTCCACCGGCTTCTAGAAGTCCATCCGAAGCTGTACCTCAGATTCCAACAGAAAAGAAGCCCGCAATTGAAGCATTAGAGTCGCCCAGCAGTCAGGCTCAAAATATTAGCGGCATCACCATCGAACTGCCAGCTGCAGGTTTCAACAAGGCCGACTACATGGTTGTGGATGACTCGCCTGCTGCGCCTGCAGATCTCTCCAAGAAACGCAAACGCACTGAGCTGGACAACGCTGATTATCTCATTGATGGCGGTCTCAATAACCGGGAGCGCGCAAACACTCATCTACGGGAGCTGGAGAGAAGTCTCCAAGAGATTCGTCATGCTGAGAATGTGGCTGTCAACTCAAGGACATCCAACACCTGGATCACGCTGACTTCGGACGAAGACGCTACCATGACCGTTTCAGCGTACAACAAGGTCATGAAATTGATTTCAAGAACTCTTGAGTTGCAATGCTTCAACATGGTCCCATTCGAAGATTTGCATAACATTCAAAATCTTTGTACTCCCTCGTTGAAGCGTGCCGAGGTCCTAGAGGTCAAGGTCGATCAGTCATGGGCAGAAGTGGATGTGAATATGTGGCTGCAATTGCTGCCCGACATTGAGGCAGGCCTGAAAGCAGCACGCCTGGCCCTTACGATCATGACTGGAGGGAGATCCGAAAAACAGCTGTACTCTGAAGGCCTGATAAAGCGAGGGCTTAGTCTCTTTAGATCGGTCTTGGAAGGTATCATTGTACCCATTGCAGAAATGCGCAGCTCGGGCCAGGACGGCTTGTTCAAACTTCTGTCTGCGCAGAGAAAAGCCATCAACGTCGTTTTCATGGCTTGCCAAAAGCTCTTTGCTTTGATGACCAATCTAATCTCCAGCATCGACCTGTCCGAGGACGTTGTCAATGGCTTAGAGGTCGCATCTTCCCAAATCATATTTGTTGACAATGCGCTCTCGGAGCGAGACTCCGTTGTTGGTGTCCAGAAGTTCGATGGGCTTCGTCTGGTCGCCATGGATATGCTATCTCAAATCTTCCTGGTCAACCCGTCACAACGACGAGGCATTTTGACAGATATCTTGACCTCTCTAGAAAAGCTTCCAAAGGCAAAGCAAAGCTCCCGACAGTTCAAGCTCGCCGACGGCGGCAGCATCCAGCCGGTCTCTGCATTGATCATGCGTTTGGTGCAGGCTAGTGCCGGCAAGGTCGAGGTTCGTGGATCGGCCAGTGGTCAAATCATTCAATCTTTGGAAGATCAAACTGGTGAAGAGAAGCATCTACCAGATGGTCGAGGAAAGCCTGGGCCTTCATACACTATTAAAACCGAGGATCATGCTGCCATTCAACATTCTGAAGCAGTACAGGAACTCGGTGGCCTCGTGAATCCGCTCTTCGACACAGCTCGGTTCAACAGTTCTTTTGTGATCAACTTTCTCGTCAAACGTGCAGAGAAGTCCACCAAGACTGGTGATACACCATACCGAAATCTACTGGACAACTTCATTGAAGATTTCAACCTCTGCCTCGACTCGCCTGACTGGCCTGCTGCCGAGCTGCTTCTTCGTACCTCAATGTCCATGATGCTCGAGCTCATGAAGGGCGAAAAGACGTCGGCCCCGGCGAAGAACATGGCCCTAGAGCTGCTTGGAAATATGGCTGCAGCCATTTCCAAATTACGGTCGCATGTGCGGAAGGTCGCCAGTGCCTTTGAGGGCAGTGATGCCGATGAGCTTGGCCGTTGGCTTGCTGACCTAGCTTCAATGGTATTGGATCGCAAGTTCTATCCTGAAAAGTTGACCAGTTGGCTCGGTCCTTACCGAGTTGTCCTAGAATACCTCGAGGACCGCGTCAAGGAGGACCCACATCTAAGAAGTGCCATTTCTTACCTAGTAACAGATTGGGCCGTAGGTCTGTCCAATGCTTACAACGAGGAGCAGCATGAATACCCCGATGATCGGGACGCTGAGTATGGCCGATCAGCATATCGACTACGCAACATGGTCAACGACCGTATGTGGCTATCTAACGAGTACAGCTTCAGATCGGTCGTTAGCAACCATGCCAGACTCTCTCACTCACTCATTCTACTGCGCTCGCCATTTTGCGACTCCTTCAAGGGAATCCTAAATATTCTTCTGCATTCAATGACCACGGATGCCGCAACGGTGCGAAGCAGAAGCTTGAAAAGTATCAATTCTGTGCTAGAGACTGATCCTTCAATTCTCGATGGTGATAGCACCGTCATCGATATGATCCTGCAATGCTCACATGATCCTTCACCACAAGTGCGTGACTCTGCTCTCAGTCTTGTTGGAAAATGCATCAGCATGCGGCCTTCTCTTGAAGAGAGAATGACCCCAACAGTCATTGAACGATTCATGGATTCCGGCGTTGGTGTCCGAAAGAGGGCCATGAAGCTCGCCAGAGATATTTATCTCGGTAATCAGAGCAAACAAGTTCGAAGCGATATCTCGAATGGTCTCCTAGTTCGTTGTCAAGATCCAGATGAAGGCGTTCGTGAGCTCGCGCGACAGATGGTGGAAGAAATTTGGATTTCTCCATTCTACAAGGCCGACGACTCAACGGCCTACAAGCAAGCTCTGACGGACCACATTGCCCTGATCGTTCAGACGGTTGCCCAGAACAATTCGGCCACAACCCTTGAAAAGGTCTTTGAGACCATTCTGTCACCACAATACAGACTTGCAGACGCGAACAATAAGGTATGCGTCAGGCTTGTAGCAAATCTGTTCGACTTGATCCACAACCCGGACTCGGATGATCCATCAACACCTTCCGGTAAAGATGCTTTACAGGTCTTGATGATTTTTGCCAAAGCAGATCCGAAACTGTTCACATTCGAACAAATTCGAATGTTGCAACCTCGCATCTCGAATGTCGGGACAAGTGATGATCTGGCCAGTTCGAGAGCTGTGGTGGTCATCTACCGCCGTGTTTTGCCTCAGGTCACCACAGTTCACTCGCAGTTTCTTGCGGACATTCGGAAGGACTTGATGCCAGTCGTCTCCAAAGTCAGAAGAGCCCTACTGGATGATGTCATTGCTTGTTTGTGGATCATCAGTGGTCTTTTGGGAACTTCTGAACATTTGGCCCGTCTTGCTTGTTCCAGCTTGGTGGGAATCCAGAAAATCCGAATGATATCGATCAAGGGATCTCTAGATGAGCAAAAGATTCGACAATTTGATCGATACTCTCTCATCGTCGGCATGGTAGGAAAGCATTGTAATCTCGATGGCCACGAGCAGATATTCAAGTCACAATTCCAGAAGTGGTCTGGTGGGCCGGTCTCCAAACTCATGGTCGATACTCTATCGCCCTTGGCCAGCCCCTCACAGCCGGCAGAAGTTCGTAAGTCAGCCCTTGATGCGATGGGTCTAGTTTGTCAATCCAACCCGCGGAATTTTGTTGCTGTCAACGTCTACACCGTATTCCAGCAAGCCTTTGATGAGCAAGATGCAATTTTGGAGACGATGATACTCCGCTCCATCAAAGAGTTCTTGTTCACCGAAGAACGACGTTCCGAGCAGGCCTCTGCTGCTGCTAAGGAAGGCAAGGAGGCTTCGAAGAAGGACTTGAAGGTCATGGGATCTACCAGCTTCGATGACGTTGCCAGTGCTACTACAGTTCGATTTCTCAAGGATATTACTCGTATCACACTGGCCTCAAAAGATGAGCACGCTTTCTTGGCATTGGAGGTCCTGGCTAGTATCAATCGGCAAGGCTTGGTCCATCCCAAGGAGACCGGTACTACCTTTATCACACTCGAGACATGTCCTACCCACCAGATCTCTGAATTGGCGTATCACGAACACCGTTCCCTGCACGAGAAACACGAAACGGTTGTGGAACGAGAGTATGCCAAAGCCGTTCAATCTGCTTTCCACTATCAACGCGATGTGATCAAAGACTCTCGTGGCGCGACGACTGATCCCTTCACTTCGAAGCTCCATCTTCTTCTCGATGTGCTCAAGATCAGCAAAGGCAAGAATCGAAAGCGATTCTTTGATAAACTGGTCAGTCAAATTGAGTTTGAGCCATCAACCATGGAAATTGGCCAGGGCATGCCAGAGCATGTGGAATTCTCTCGCTTCCTCATCGACAACATTGCCTTCTTCGAGTTTGTAGCAACAGATGAACTGCAAGCCTTGGTGACGAGCATGGAGAAGATGGTAACGAACATTGGTACGGGTCTCGCGCAAGCCATTGAATCGGACATCTTCCAAGTACGCGTCGATGCCATCGTGGGAGTGCAACCTACAATGGACGGCGAAACTGCGTCAACTCTGCCAGTGGAACCTCCGGTCGACATGGATCGCCTGCGTCAGCTTACAGCTAGCGCGATGATACTTCTCGCACTTTGGGAAGCGCGTACTCATCTTCGTCGGCTGTACAGCTTGAAGTCAGCCCGTGAGACTAAGGTCAAGGCTGGGACAAAAGATCCCAACAAGACGCCTGTCAAGGCGCAAGGTGTGACTGGTGACAAATTCTGGGAGAACATGGAATATATCATGTCAGGCCTAGAATCTGAGGCGCGCATGAAGGAGACATGCCGTTCTTTCGTGGAGCTTCTCAATGTTGACCACGAAGTCAAGGTAGCAGATGAGGACGATGAACTGGATGGGGATGGTGATCCACGGACACCAGAACCCGATGATGATGAAGAAGGAGACTCGTTCAACGGCGAGACACGAGGCCGCAAGAGAAAAGCTAGTGGCACACCCGGAGGCAAGAAGAAGCGACCCCGTTCGAGCTCGAAGCCAAGGGGTCGTGGTCGCCCTAGAAAGAACCCGCTCCCGGGGGCCGAAGTCGACGCCGAAGGTGACGCTGATTTTGACGACTTTTAATGCTCGCGGCACGCCCCACCACCCTGAGTCGGAGGCAAGGATGCCTGCAAAGTTATCGACATCATCAGCTTGGAATGTATCACGATAGATCACGGTACACATTGCATCGGGTCACATTTATCTATTAACATTGAAGCGACTGCTTCTCGAGAACAGCAGGGATACGGCGTTTGAAGAAACGGAGGGACGGGCAAAGGATTGTCATCAGGGCTGTGAAGAAATGGGTTTGCTATTTATGATGATACCTCTTGCTTTGATCATGGAGTCTCGGGCAGCTCTAGGCCCGGACTGATTGTTGGCTGACGTTTCAGCAGCCGACTGATAGGTGAATAGAGCTCAAACATTTCAAACAGACACTGATAGTCGTGCCACGTTGTGTTTACACTTGAACTGCAAATGGGAACGAGTATCAAAGGCCAGAAGCAGGCCTCGGTAGAATCGCGGTGCCTTTCCTCACGGGGATTTTGATATGTATACATTTGAAGTACACTGGCAAAGCATTCATCTGCTATTAGTTGTGGAGTACTTGCTGCGTTTACGTGGCTCTTTAGCTCGGTGTCATATTGCACATACGATATATCGAATGATGCTCAACATGTTGTCGAGGTGAATAAAGCCAAATCGCCCTTCGCCGACACTTTCCTATCACGCACAGGATATATGCAGCTATCAGCTGGCCCAGCCCGATATATTCCGGCCAGTGCTGCCGCGCCATACCCGGCTGTTTCCCCATGTTTAGGGTTTCCTTCAAGGTCGACCAATAGCGGAGCTCGCAATGCCTGTTGTGCTTCAGCAGCTGTTCTCGGTCCCTGGGTCTGCTGCTTTCTTTGCCTTCCCCGCTGTAAGCTAGTGAAACTCTCCTTTACCCCAGCTCGCTCAGTGCCAGGGCCTTTCCCGTTGTGATCGCGTGTTGCTTTTCCCGACCAGGCTTAGGCCCTGGACTGGGGTGGCTACATGTAGCGTAGGGCGTTGGGCAAAGTCCAAACATTACATTAGATTTTACCTCCATGCAGGCAAAGGGGCAAAAAAACAGAGTTGGAGCTCAACAGAAACAACTCGATGGGGACCTGAAAACAAGTGACTAAATGGTGCACTTGTATGACATAAAGCGCATGAGCTATTGCCTATCGATCTCATGGGGCACAGGGCAAGGTACACATCTTGGTGGTGGACCTTGATCCATCCATCTCGCGGGGAAAGCACGTAGACATTTAGCATATATAACTTTTACCTTTGCGTGTTGTCTTTATTAGCCCTTTTCCCTCTCCTCCTTATCCATACATCATCCATCGTGCCCTCGCCAAAAAAGACCCAAGCTACAAGTAGTCTAGAGGCCCATACAGTGAAAGCCGAGGATATAAATCGAGACCGGGACCCTTTTCTTCTTTCACCGCTCTTTAGCTCGATCAATCACGAGGAATTGGTGCTTGATTCCTCTTCAAAAGTTCCCTCATCAGAGATAAGATTAAAAGCAGACGGTGTTTAGAGTCGGCCTTCTCCGCCCATTTGTCCGATAGAGCACATTCAACCAGAAGCCATTGACACTTCGATTATTCTACACCACTCTAGATACCTCTTTTTTTTTCTTTTTTTAAACAAACAAACGAAAGGCCAAAAACATGGATCCCGTTAGACCTAATGTTGGTGGAAGCGGTAGCCGACCTCTTCGTCCGGTGGCATCGTAGGTTTCACTCTTCTCTCCGTTGGGCTTGAAATGTTTCCGCTACGCCGACAATCTCTTCATCCTTTGCCAGAATGGCGATTACATAAACAGCTAGAGAGAGAGAGAGAATGCTAACATATCTTGATTCGCCCCAACAAAGTCGTCGTCCTGGCTTGGCTATCCTGACCGCGGCCGTCGGCGGCATCGGCATGGTCTTTTACGCCAAGAATAGTTCCAGTAAGCAAATCTCTACTACATCTCTCATTTTTCTTGGTTTGTCTCCACGAGCAAACATTTCCCCCGATCTGGTGCCATGAGAGAGAGCAGACTCCGATGAATTGCTTCAAAGAGCTTTACTTGAGAAACTCGTTTATCCACCTGAAAAGGCTCATTGCTAACACATGTTGTAGTGCGCCGCAATGAGCTGGCACAGAAGCGGGAGCAGGGCGGATATTATGTTAGTGTTGACCGGAGCGGCGGTGGTGTCTGAGCAACTCTGCAAGAAATGTCCTTTTTTTTCCCCAGCCGGCAGTCTTTCTTTATGCCTTCTCTCGGCGGACCATGGTTGGATATGAAATCTATAGTGGCTGGGTAAATCGCCTTTGCATTGCTTTCATTTGGGTTTGGGGGCCCTTTTTGCCATTCTCAAATAGAGGAGACATCTGTCAGCTTTTCTTTCCCTCGTCATTGAGGGTTTCCTCTGTTGGACGGGAGAAGAGATTGATACAAAGTGAGATTTGGTGGCATGTCCAGGCAATTACTAGATTAGAAGACCAAGATGGTCGAGGCAGGGCGGCACATGTCCAGAGTCAAAAGACTTCGATGAGGCAACAGCATGTACTCAATCTTGGAGGTCACGAGGCTACCATCCATGGTGGTGGTTAGATCGGCGTTCTGGTCAACGGAATAAACGAACTTGTTGCACAATTCAGTAGTCACGTTAGAAGCGCAATTTTGTCTCTCGCTCGTTCCCAATGCATGTGTTCAGTGGGACAGCTTTTGTCAAAGCAATTCTCTGGATTTGTCAATCACACGCACGGTTGCATGTCGTTCGGTCCCTCTATTAATACACATGTACGTCTGTGAATGTAGCTTCATTCCGCGAAGCGCAAGCAAAACGGCAAATGCCCAATCCAATAACGCCGGCCGGTGCCAATAGCAGTGGTATATCGCAATGCACGGGAATGCAGAGATGAGAACAACATAGGCCTCGCTGGGACCCGGGCTTCCCCATCCGGGGTTACTGTAGCCCTTCGTTCATATGCAATCTGACGGAAGAAATGTCCAGAGTATACCTCTAGACGTCCCAAAATCAAAAGGAGCTTCCTCTTCTGCGAATTCGTCTCACTTCCTGTGCGTCGTCACTGCTCTCATCGGGTTGGATGATTGCTTTACCCTTGCCCTTCTCAATCCGCTGTTTAGTACTTCTCCTGCTGGAAGTAGGTCGCTCCTCTCTTCCATTCACGGGCAGGAGCCTCTCGCTCTTGAACCGTTTGTACGCCGTGCCTGGTCGTCTTCGATCTCTGCTAGCAACTTCGACTGCAATGGTTCCTGTTGCGCTGCTGCCACCTTTTGAGCTCTTATCATCTGCCGAGTTGTGTGCGGTGGGGACTGCAGAGCGCATGACTTCAACGACATTATCGAATCTTTCTTCCAGCGCTTTCATTTTGGCCAACATGAGGCGAGTCAGGCGGTCCGAATGCTCTTGATCTTGGGTCTTCCGGTTCATCCCCTTCAGCTGGCCCGTAGCCCAGGCCATTTGAGTCTGGAAAGATGCCGGTATACCGCTAAACTCCACATTACTGGTGTCCAGACCGAGTTCTGAGTTGAGTTCCATCTCGTCGTTGACAGCAGGGCGGCGACGGCTCGCTGGGGCACTCAGCAGCGGTGGGCGCTCAGAGGTTGTCCTAGACGGGATTGGAAGAGGTCTCGTAGGCGGTTGTATATAGACTGCGCGCCGTGGCGAACGTGGCCCGCTCGAGGCTGGAGTTGCTGCCACTGTGTTTTGCCGACTGCTTAAGGGGCGGGAATGAGGTGCCGGCCCCTGTTCTGTCTCTGAACTCGATCCGGCATTGGCCAAAGCCTTCCTAACTTCCTGGGGCGCATATAGAATCGTATTAGTGGACATGGTGCGGCTATGCAGACCCTGCCGACGGGTGCGAGGCGAAGCCGTTGCCGCCGGGATAGAGGATCGAGTTGAAGTCAGTGAAGCAGGAGCCAAGACTCCGAAACGAGTCGCGACTGGAGTTGTAAAGTAATCCTCCTCTTCCTCGTCTCGTCGGGACTGAACAGCCCGCTGATCCTCCGTCGCAACCTCATCCTCATCGTCATCGTTTGTCACAAGCTCGTCGTCTCCATCCGCATCAGTTTGGTCCTTATCTTCTTCTGGCTGTTGCCCGGGAGAGAATGCTGAAAAACGACCAAACGGTCCACCCGATGGGAATCCACTGTTCGAGATGAGATCTGCAGGGTCACTTGCAGCCGATCTCACATCAGATACGGTTCTGAATCTCCGAGTAAACCGACTGCCACCACTGCGTCGACTGTCCATGGTCGGCCAATGTGATAGAGGCGGGCCCTGATTATCATCGTTCTGATCCATCCAATTCCTAATGGCAGTCTGTGATTTCCTCCTCTCTTGCCTCCGCTGCTGTCGGAATGAGCTAGCATCCGGAACGCGCCAGAATACCTCAGCTAGAGCTTGATCTTTTTGCTGGCCAGCAACGGACCCTTCAAAGGCTCCAATATTGGGACTGAACAATGCTGTTCTAGAAGCCGGGTCGGCAAAGGAGATCATTCGGGAGCGATGACGGCCTTGGTTTTCGACCAAGTCTGTTGGTTCGTATATATCGGCTGTCAGGAAATATTTCTCGTAGCAAAAGATTCCGAGCAGAAGAGGCCAGTGAGTCAGCTTGATCGCGGTCCTGTTCATTCGAACAAAGTCACGTATCGGCATGACGTATCTCAATGGCATCAAGAGCCATGCGATGATATTGCCTGGGGCGACATAGCTGAAAAGAGCATCATTTTTGACCATGGATATGGTGTTGATCGCAAATAGAAACTGGTGTTCCTGCTGGGCATTGGAAGCGATTGCCGTGAAAGAGTTGGTCAAGACCGTGATCAAAATCGTGCTTATGATTGTCAGTGGAGTTACCAATACCAGCACCATGAAATACGTACACAACGACAAAGTGACAAATGATCAGGAATATGGCTAGAAGGACTCTGCCGAGAGGATTGTATTCTGGCCAGCTAAAAAAAATTTTCATTAGTCAAATACTTATGAATCTGGCGTTGGCTGAACTCACACATCCCAGGCAGCTGGCGTAAATCCCTGAGGAGAAAATTTCTGTTAGCACTACTAGATGTCCATGATTTTCAACTTTGTCTCGAGAGGCTGAATTACGCCGCACAGACACTATCAGAGCGCAGAACTTACCATGAGAATCTGGAAAATCTTATATGCCACCTCGCCAGCATCATTATTGTTTCTCGATAAAGTGAAAAACACAAAGAATCCAGAACAGCTGATGAGGATCAAGATGAATACAGCAGCCAAGTCGACAGCCATCAGTCGAAAGGCAATCAAAAGCTGAGAAAAGTACTGGTAATGATCAAGGACACTGAAGATGCGGGGCAAGAGCAAGATTGCATTTGCAGCCAATACATCATACGCCATATCATTCCAGCCCTTGGCCTCCACAAGAAACACGCCGTAGATCCTCATACAGTAGAAGATCACCAGGAGCAGTAAAATACCAATGTCAAAGACATTCCAAAAGCTCATGATGTAGAGAGAGAACCCCTGCTCATTGAAGCCGACCACCTCGTCCAGCATGAAGCCAGCGCTCCAGAACCAGAAAACCAACTCTAGTGAGGTGATCCGGTTGGAGCGTTCCACAAGAACAGCTAGAAACAGACAGATGAGTATGAAGAGTGAGCAGGTCGAGAAGAATTGACGGTAACGCGGCACTCTTAATCGAGACAACTTCATTGGGGATGCGTTATGTGGGTTGTAGAGGGCTACAGTGCGTCTTATAGGCACCTCAAAGAACGGCAGCCGGTCTCCACGGCCTTGATCCTCGTTCTCTTTCAAACTGGGGGCCTGGAATCGGAGGAGAGGCGTTCTCGCATCGGCGGGCAGTCTGCCTGCTGGCGACCTAACTCCATTTTCAGCCGGAGTCTTTGGTGTTGGCGGTTTTCGATGCAACTGATCAGCCGAAGAATAAAAGCTGATTGATCCATTCCAAATAGCTTCAAGCTGCTGCACCACAAGGGGATGCGACAAGAAATGTTTGGCTGAAGCACGAATTGCGACTTCCAGAGTGGATGTTCTGGCAGCAACTTGTCTGGCTGAAGTCCGGACGCCGCTCTCTGGCGCACCTTGCAGTGGGTAAAAGTCGTAGGAAAGCGCGTCGATCAGCTCTCTCGTGTTGTACTCCTTCAACAGTTTCAATGCGAGAAGCTCGCACACTTTGGCTCGGGTGCTGCTTGTTCCTGCATTGGCGGGATAGAGTTCGCTTTCTGTCTTGAAGCCTAGACAATTTGCCATTAATGCATACAATGTTGCTCGGTTCAGGTGGGCATTTCTGATCTGTTGCTGCATTGGCTTCATCAGAAACTGCGAAACTTGGGGGGACTTGAGCTGTTCCCACGACAGGCTCGTTTCTGTTCGTGTCTGGATAACGATTCGAATGGAATGGACAAGGCCATAGATTGGCAAGGAATCTGCAAACAACATTGTTAGATACAGACACGCCCAACACAAACTCTCTGAATGTCTCAACTTACCTAGATAGCTTGCAGAAAACAAGGGGAGCGTGGCAGTCGAGTTTCTTCGTGCTTCGCCGTCATGTATACCACCGCCATCATACCTGGGGCGCTGAAAGCGAGGCAGTTCGCCGACATTCTCGTCCCCTTCGTTCGACTCTTCATCCTCCTCGTCTTCAGCTTCTGTAAAGTCGGCCGTGGCATGTCGAGGCTCGAGATATTCGCGTCGGCTGGCTGGGCCAGGTGAAGGCGTGTTGGGGTTGGAGTGAAACATGAACGAGTCGACGCGTCGTCGCTTATCTTTTGGAGCTGGCTTCTTGCTGGAGCGCAGCAACGTCGACAACATCTCCCGCGCTTGAGTCGACATGGCGAACTCGGTCCCTGGCGCCAGGGACAGGTGCGAAGGTTATAAGCGCATTAGGTTTGGCAACAAGGAACCGTCAGCTTGACTCGTCACGGCTCAATGGGTTGCGACAGACGGGACCGCGAAGTGCGGGAAGCAAGCTAGAGACTTGAATTAGGTACAGCTGCTTTTGGGGAGGAGACGCTAATGAGAAAGAATAAGGGTGACGATCTCGGGTGGATGCACGCTAAAAGCACTGACCTAGATGGGCCACGGACCGCTAAAGACTTCACCAAAAAACAAGGATTTGGTACTGCTCTGGTGGGTCGATGGAGGCAACCCGTTGCGATTCAATTTGACGTGCTTCATGCGCTGAGAACAACCCAGCATGCAACGACCCGCCCGCGATGTGCCCGCTTGTAATACTCGGTCATTGATCGTGAATTATGGTGGTGAGAGGTGCATGCCACAAGGTCAGATGATGCAAATGACTAGTTTATCATGGACGGCTCGCCAGAAACATTGGGGCCTCGTACATGTAAGACGAAGAAAGTCACCTGGAACTTACATCTATGAGAGATAGCAGTGGACGTCTAAACTATTCGTCACACCCGACACACGAGCTGGTATCCATGATCGAAGCGAGAAAAGCCCATCACTCAGCCTCACGTACGAAAGATTATTTAGATTGCATCTTGACACATTTGCACTAATTGCCAAGTCTGGATGTTAGTGGTCGGCTACATGAATTATACCAGACCTGATCTGGTATACTTTTTTCTTAGTAAAAAGAACCACTGGACAGAATCCATTCCGACTGTTTCACTTCTCGATCATCGTGCGATCGACGACCATGAGTTTTGTGTAAAAAGTGCCTCTTTCGTCTCGCCTCTGCCTCGGTAAATGGACCGAGTTTATATAGTACCAACCATCCCGCCTCATTTCGATTCTTTCACCACGACCCACCTCATGATTCATGTTATGTAGTTACCGGCTACACAAAGGCTCGATCGCCTCTGTCGCGAGTTGAGCACACAGCAGGCGGGCACCTGGAAAGATAAGGGCCTTTTTTTCCCTCCTCTCTCTCTCACCTAGTGGTGTGCATCCTTTCCCTCTAAATGTAGTCTGTCACACCGCCTACTTGCTAGACTCCTCACCGGCTCGATTTCTTTTCCTCTTTCAGATGCAACATCTTGCTTTCCGGTGTTGGAGGGCAAAAAGATTCCCGACCTACACCTTGCTGCTGTCGAATCACGATGCCCAGCCGCTGCACCTCCCATATGCAATGTAAACTCCCTGGCCCCCTGTACCCCGTGGAATCGCTAAGGAAAGCGATTGTCTCTGATTGGCAACCCGGAGCCTTTTCTCAGAGACGATGCATCGCATCGTGAAGTCGAGTAAGACAGGAATCCACTGCTTGGCCATTGTTTGCAAATTTTCCGCAACAATTCAATGTTGTTTGCCTGTTGTAGTTCTGCTCCAATGTACTAAAGGACGTCATACCGTCGCAAGTAGTAGTAGTAGCACGTTTGTTGTACTATTGTTGTGACACCAAGAGCTCTTTTCTGCCTGGGATTGTGTATTTTAGTTTGTCTCCCCCAGACATCAATTGCAACGCTGATACTGTGTATTTTAGATAACACTCTATTGCACCCAGTTACCCCGCTGTTTTCTTGCATTTGGAGATGCTTCTTCATTTCCTACCCCTACCGCCACATTTTGCAATCATATGCAGATGCCTTCCTTCACCGGGGATAAGGCCGTGTCCCTATTGCAACGACGGAGCTCTATCGTCAATGTTGCTTCACACGAATCATTGGCGCTTTCCGAGTGATCTGAAGTCTCGAGCTGTATAACGCCCAACATGATTGTGATTTTGTCTCCAGGCTCCTGTCACAATGCTACAAGCTGGAAGAAGTACAACATTGCGAGAAGCAAGGAATGGCATTACTCTTTCAGCCGTTCCTTCGGCGCCAGTGCTTATCTAAGGTTCGGCATGCCCTATATGGCCATCGGGCGGTCTTCTCGGAACTGTCAGAAGATCTTGTCAGGCAAATCAAGTCATCTGACTCTTGGATGACATCTGGACTTCCTGCTTTTAGCGTTAGTCGTCATGCAACCCCACGCATCGACCCCCCAGATTTCGTACATATCCAGGAGCAAATGACATGCTTCCAGTAATAAGTCGTATTGTTTATTTATACCAATGATCCAGGCGAGTCTGCGGCAAGGAAGAGCACGTACGTATTTGTGATCCACCTTCAACCAGTGTAGCTCATACTGCCTGTTTTGCACTATTAATCCGCTTTTTACCTGCCCTCGTCTTGTTGGCTCGTTGTTTATAGAGTGGCTGGCTTGATCGACAAATGTAAACAATATGGAATAATTTTCCCACTTGCAACCCACCCAAGCCACGCAGATTCAAGCTGTCAGCCCAATGTACAGGAATCAACGCTGCCTCCATCATCAGATTGATCTTATGCCTCGTCGCATCGGCCACCTTATAATTTTTTTTCCCCCATTTATTGTCTTGTTACTTGGGTGAGCCAGATATAATTGCATCGCTGAACAATTTTGTAATCCATCGGGAAGCACGACCCGCGGGCAGTACTGTATTGTGCACCTCTTATAGTTCGACAACCGCCATTCTTAAATGATTGCGGGACTGCCATTAGTCGCTTTACTGAAGAAGCCACCTACACGGACTGGTAAGGGCAATATCGCTTCCTCTGCTATATACTAACTTGTTGTCATGAGAATAATCCCCATGGAGAAACTTTTGGGCGAATGGATATTCTTGATTCCCCCTCTGTTTCGTGAACAAACTACTCATTCAGGAAACCGAGCCCCTCTATGCTAAGTTATCCAGAAGAGAGAAAGTATGCGCTTTGTATACACAAACTTTATGGAAGGGCTGATACATGTATGATGCTCCCCGTAACACTATGTCTCTCGGCCATACAGATTTCCATAGACAGTTCCATACGTGCTAGCAGACTGGTTCTTCGCAGTGTAGCAAGATCAGACACAGGCGGTAGGTATATGCGTTCATTTGTACGAAGGTACCTTGTTAACTTGAGAAGCTCAGCAAAGCAAACAACGCCTAGAAACTAGCGCCAAAACTTTGAGATGCTGAATTTGCTAGTGCCGTGGTAGAATCGTCCAGGATGTTGATCATACCAATGACAAACCACGCAAAAGAATCATGAATGGTGTACAACCCAAGTGTTTTAAGCTAGATTTACAAGCAAGTCCCTTGCTCCATACTGTGAGTTATTATTACCGTCACCGGGTGTTGACCCAGAACTACGGAATGCAAGCAGCCTGGCAGTCCGAATCCGCTCCCGGCCACTCATAAATAAAAGAGCCAGCGAAATTCTCAAAGATCAGCCTCAACATTTCGCGTCGGATCCGGCGATCATTGTAGAATTGATATTTTCTGCGTCAAGATTCCATACCTATTATGCGATAGTAACTCCGCCCAGTCCCATCCTTCAATCACTGGAGGCTATATTCGTAAATATTTTTCAAATAGCGGTGTTGGCGGTGCGTAATAGCAATCGAACTTTGTGCGGGTTGAGCGGGCTCCCATCGGCCTTATGCTTATCGATAACACAGTTCCTTTATGGTAGAACGTCATTCTGCCCCGCGTTGCCCACATATGGCTGAAAGTATATGGCCAATGCTGTCTCGGTCCTATGGAAAGGCTTATTATTCGTGCCAAGCTCGTCTGCATCATGCTTCTCTCACTTTTCTGGTATATCTCTTGATCCAAACCGCGACCTGCTAGCAACTGTGCGATACTCGGCCAACAATTGGTGAGCTCAACCAGGAACAGGTGGAAGGGAAAAAATTGTTTTACACGTGCAGCTGGCCCAGAAGCTGACTATTGAGGTATCTGACTGGTAGGGCTTTCGTGGCAACTGGCCAATGGGGCGGGCGACTCATGCACCAGCATGCCGACCTTTTCCTCTCTCGTCCGGGCTTGGGGTTAATCAAGAGTCTGATTGGCTGAAGCTGTCGTAGATCGAGAAGATTTCTGGTTGGTTCGCCCCGCCCTTAGTGCCATTGCGGGGACCGAAGCAGGAGCAGGACGAAAAAAAAAGTTTCAAAAGTTGAAACCTCGATTGCACCAGAGACTCGCTGAAGTTTTTCTTCTTCTTCCTCTTCCAATCTTTTGGAAGCCAATTCCATACTGCAAGAGTCGCTCATAAGCTCAGCGGCGGCATGAGAACTTGAAGCCCTGACGAATCGCAGCAAGACGAGTGCTCAATTCCACGGGCTACTGAGCTGCAATCTTTTCTTCCCCCCATTCCTCCCCATTGGGGCCCTTCGTTCTCTACCGAGAGTAGCCGCAGGCTGAACTCTGTGTGTACTTGAACCCATTGACACCTCAATCAAGATCACAAGATACCCATAATCATGGAGGTTGTTCACCACCAGCCCGCCACTGCGCGGGTCGAGACGAGCGACGATGGCCTCGTCTGCCTCGAGCTCGAAGATGGCTCGACCTTCCAGGGTTACAGCTTCGGTGCTCAGAAGTCCGTTGCTGGAGAGCTAGTTTTCCAGACCGGTATGGTGGGATATCCGGAGTCTGTGACGGACCCCTCCTACCGCGGCCAGCTTCTGGTCATCACCTTCCCTCTTGTGGGAAACTACGGTGTGCCCTCTAGAGAAGCTGTTGACAAGCTCCTCGAGGATCTCCCCGAGCACTTCGAGTCCAACCAGATTCACATTGCCGGTCTCGTGGTCGCATCATACGCCGGTGAGACCTACTCACACCATCTTGCCACCTCGTCCTTGGGCGCCTGGCTCAAGGAACAAGGCGTTCCCGCCATCTACGGAGTCGACACACGAGCCCTGACGAAGCGGATACGAGTCGAGGGAAGCATGCTTGGCCGCATGCTTCTGCAAAAGAACAGTGCTCCCAACGGAGTCAATGGCACTGCAAGCCATTCCCAGAAGTTTTCCCGGGATGACTTTGAGACAATTGAATGGGTCAACCCCAACGAGAAGAACCTGGTTGCTGAGGGTAAGTCGCCGTTTCACTCATGACATGGAACATGAGCTTACCATGAATTAGTTTCCATCAAGGCCCCCAAGCTCTACAAGCCGAGCCCTGAGACGGCTTTGAAGCACCCCTCGGGCCGCACCCTGCGCGTCCTCTGCCTTGATGTTGGTATGAAGTACAACCAGCTTCGATGCTTCCTCAAGAGAGGTGTCGAGGTCATGGTCTGCCCCTGGGACTATGATTTCTCCACTGAGGCTGGAAAGGCCTATGATGGTCTGTTCATCTCCAACGGACCCGGTGACCCTGCAGTCATGAAGGACACCGTCAAGCATATCTCTGCCACCATGGAGAGAAACCAGACCCCTGTCTTCGGTATCTGTCTTGGTCACCAGCTGCTCGCCAGAGCGGCCGGAGCTGACACTCTGAAGCTCAAGTTCGGTAACCGTGGTCACAACATTCCTTGCACCAGCATGGTCACTGGAAAGTGTCACATCACTTCTCAGAACCACGGATATGCTGTGGACGCTGCAACCCTGCCTTCGGGCTGGAAGGAGCTCTTTGTCAACGCCAACGACGGCAGCAACGAAGGTATCATGCACGAGAGCAAGCCATACTTCAGCGTGCAGTTCCACCCGGAGAGCACACCTGGTCCTCGTGATACTGAGTTCCTGTTTGATGTCTTCATCCAGACCATTGTCGATTGTGCCAAGGACTCCAAGCTCCTGAATGCCCCAGTCCAGTTCCCCGGTGGCACCGCCGAGGAGAATGACCGGGCCCACCCCAAAGTTCACGTCAAGAAGATCTTGGTCCTTGGCAGTGGAGGTCTGAGCATCGGTCAGGCTGGAGAGTTCGATTACTCCGGTAGTCAAGCTATCAAGGCATTGAAGGAGGAAGGGATCTATACCGTCCTCATCAACCCCAACATTGCTACCATCCAGACCTCCAAGGGTCTTGCCGATAAGGTCTACTTCCTCCCAGTGACCGCCGACTTTGTTCGCAAGGTCATCAAGTACGAGCACCCTGATGCCATCTACGTCACCTTTGGTGGCCAGACCGCTCTCCAGGTCGGTATTCAGCTCAAGGATGAGTTTGAGGAGCTCGGTGTCAAGGTTCTCGGAACCCCCATTGACACCATCATTACCACAGAGGACCGAGAGCTCTTTGCCCGCAGCATGGAATCCATTGGCGAGAAGTGCGCCAAGTCCGCTTCTGCCTGCAACATTGACGAGGCCATGCACGTCGTCAAGGACATTGGCTTCCCCGTCATTGTGCGAGCTGCCTATGCGCTTGGTGGTCTCGGGAGTGGTTTTGCCAACAACGAGGCCGAATTGCTCGACCTTTGCAACAAGGCCTTCGCTGCCAGTCCTCAAGTCCTCATTGAGCGCAGTATGAAGGGCTGGAAGGAGATCGAGTACGAAGTGGTGCGTGATGCTCAGGATAACTGTATCACGGTTTGTAACATGGAGAACTTCGATCCCCTCGGTATTCACACCGGTGACTCCATTGTCGTCGCTCCTTCGCAAACTCTGTCTGACGAGGACTACAACATGCTCCGTACCACTGCCGTCAATGTCATTCGCCACCTTGGTGTTGTGGGAGAGTGTAACATCCAGTACGCCTTGAACCCTGACTCCAAGGAGTACTGCATCATCGAGGTCAATGCCAGATTGTCCCGATCTTCCGCATTGGCTTCCAAGGCCACGGGTTACCCCCTTGCTTTCATTGCTGCCAAGCTTGGTCTTAACATTCCCCTCAAGGATATCAAGAACTCGGTCACCAAGAGCACTTGCGCATGCTTCGAGCCTTCCCTCGATTATGTCGTGGTCAAGATGCCCCGCTGGGATTTGAAGAAGTTTACTCGTGTATCCACTCAGCTCGGCTCTTCCATGAAGAGTGTGGGTGAGGTCATGAGTATTGGTAGAAGCTTCGAAGAAGCTATCCAAAAGGCCATTCGCTCGGTCAACTTCAGCAACCTTGGCTTTAGCGAGACCAAGGCTCTCATGTCCATTGACGATGAGCTGCAGACTCCTTCCGACCAGCGTCTTTTCGCCATTGCCAATGCCATGGCTCAGGGATACTCTGTTGACAAGATCTGGGAGTTGACCAAGATTGACAAGTGGTTCTTGCACAGGCTCAAGGGCCTCAACGACTTCGCCTCATCTCTGACCCAGTACAAGGTGGAGGATGTTGCCAACCGCCCAGACGTCCTTCGTCGTGCCAAGCAACTAGGTTTCAGTGATCAGCAGATCGCCAAGTACATGTCTTCAACAGAACTCGAAGTCCGTGAGCTGAGATTGGAAGCTGGTATCACGCCATTCGTCAAGCAAATTGATACTGTGGCAGCTGAGTTCCCTGCCTTTACCAACTACCTCTACATGACCTACAATGCGTCAGAGCACGATCTCGACTTCAACGACCATGGTGTCATGGTTCTCGGCTCCGGTGTCTACCGTATTGGTTCATCAGTCGAGTTCGATTGGTGCTCTGTCCGCGGCATTCGAACATTGAGAAACGAGGGATTCAAAACGATCATGGTGAACTACAACCCAGAAACTGTTTCCACCGATTACGACGAGGCAGACCGTCTGTACTTCGAGAACATCAGCTTGGAGACCATTCTTGATATCTATCAGCTTGAGGGCTCTACAGGTGTTCTGGGTGCATTTGGTGGCCAGACCCCTAACAACATTGCCTTGCCCCTTCACCATGCTGGTGTCAAGATGCTCGGAACATCCCCGGAGATGATCGATAATGCGGAGAACAGATTCAAGTTCTCGCGTACCCTTGACAGAATTGATGTTGATCAGCCAGCCTGGAAGGTCCTCACGAGCTTCGATGATGCCAAGGCATTCTGTAACAAGGTCTCTTACCCAGTGCTGGTCCGTCCGTCGTACGTCTTGTCGGGTGCGGCCATGAACACTGTTTACTCGGAGGCAGACTTGGAGTCTTTCCTCGACCAGGCTGTCGAGGTTTCCCCAGCTCACCCTGTCGTCATTACCAAGTACATTGAGAACGCCAAGGAGATCGAAATGGACGCCGTCGCTAAGAATGGCAAGGTGATTGGCCACTTCATCTCTGAGCACGTGGAGAACGCTGGTGTCCACTCTGGTGATGCCACCCTCATCCTGCCTCCTCAGGATCTTGAGCGCACCACGATCGAGCGTATCGAGGATGCCACCAGGAAGATTGGTGCTGCCCTGAATGTTACTGGTCCTTTCAACATTCAGTTCATTGCCAAGGATAACGATATCAAGGTTATCGAGTGTAACGTCAGAGCATCTCGCTCCTTCCCCTTTGTCAGCAAGGTTTCAGGCACTGATCTGATCGAGTTGGCAACGAAGGCAATCATGGACGTGCCTTTTACTGCTTATCCTCCGAACACCATTGCCCCAGACTGTGTCGGTGTCAAGGTGCCCCAGTTCAGTTTCTCTCGTCTTTCGGGAGCTGACCCAGTCCTGGGTGTCGAGATGGCCTCAACAGGAGAGGTCGCTTGCTTCGGCAAGGACAAGTACGAGGCTTATCTCAAGGCCTTGATCTCCACTGGTTTCAAGATCCCCAAGGCCAATGTCCTTCTGTCCATGGGTTCTTATGCAGACAAGAAGGAGATGTTGCCCTCTGTTGCGAAGCTGCAAAAGCTTGGCTACAAGCTGTTCTCCACCGCGGGAACTGCCGATTTCCTGCAGGAGAATGGTATCCCTGTGCAGTATCTCGAGGTTCTGGGCAAGGATGAGGATGACCAGAGATCTGAGTACTCTCTCACACAACATCTTGCCAACAACAAGATCGATCTCTACATCAACCTTCCTTCAAACAACAAGTACAGACGTCCTGCCAACTACATGAGCAAGGGTTACCAGACCAGACGAATGGCTGTTGACTACCAAATCCCCCTGGTTACCAACGTTAAGAACGCCAAGATCCTTATCGAGGCCATCGCCAGACAGTTTGATCTCGAGGTCCAGAACCGCGATTACCAGACGAGCCACAAAACCATCGTTCTGCCCGGTCTGATCAACATTGCCGCCTTTGTCCCTGGAATCGTCTCTCAGGACAGCCGTGATTTGCAGGCTGTTACCAAGGCTTCCGTTGCTGCCGGCTTCACCATGGTCCGCTTGATGCCTCTTGGTGTTGAGGGATCCATCACGGATGCCAAGACCCTGAAGGTGGCACAACTCAATGGCAAGTCTGGTGGCTTCTGTGACTACAACTTCTCGGTCTCAGCCACATCTGACAATGCTGATCAGATCAGCCAAGTCACTAGCGAAGTTGGGTCGTTGTTCATTCCCTTTAACCATCTCTCGGACAACATCAACAAGGTTGCCGCGGTCATGGCCCACTTCGACTCGTGGCCCACCCACAAGCCCATCTTGACAGACGCAAAGACGACCGATCTTGCCTCCATCCTGCTGCTTGCCAGCCTTCACAGCAGACGCATCCACGTCAGCAGTGTTACCACCAAGGAGGATATCAGACTGATTTCGCTCAGCAAGGCCAAGGGCTTGAACGTCACATGTGATGTGTCCATCTACTCGCTCTACCTTTCGCAGCAAGAGTATCCTGAGTGCCAGGCACTGCCTACTGTTGCCGACCAGGAGGCCCTCTGGGACCACCTGAGCGCCATTGACGTCTTCTCCATTGGAAGTCTACCCTACCAGGTCGCGCAATGCGGAAAGATCGAAGCAGACCCCCTTATTGGCATTGCCGATGCCCTGCCATTGCTCCTGACTTCCGTTACTGAGGGCAAGTTGACCATTGACGACATCAAGGCTCGTCTGTATGACAACCCCAAGGAGATCTTTGAGCTTCATGAGCAGGTCTCTACTTCCATCGAAGTCGAGATTGATCGTCCTTACACCATCGGTACTGGTTCTACCTGGACTCCTTTCGCTGGCAAGACCATGCAGGGAGCAGTTCGGCGCGTCACCTTCAATGGCAAGACCGTCTGCCTCGATGGCGATGTCCTCCCCATTCAGCCTCTGGGACAAGACATGTCCTCCCACGGTAGCATGCCGGCACCCATGTCGCCACCCATCAAGCCTACCACGCAGCCTCTTGGCTTCGACAGCCCACGGGTGAGACGTCAATCTGTCCTTGGCCAGCGCCCTGCATTCCAGCCTCGTGCTTTGGACGGTGTCTTGGACGGCGAGCGAAGATTGACCTCGCCGGGCGGAGAAGACTTTGGTCTAGCCCCGGCTCTGCGGCCATCATTCGATTCTCTCCGTGAGCTGCTGAGACAGCCAAACGCTTTCAAGAACTCCCACGTTCTGTCCGTCAAGCAGTATACACGTGCCGATCTGCACCTTCTCTTCACAGTCGCTCAGGAGATGCGTGTCGGTGTTCAGAGAGAAGGTGTCCTCGACACTTTGAAGGGACGGGTCTTGATGACCATGTTCTACGAGCCATCGACTCGTACTTCGGCATCCTTCGATGCTGCCATGCAACGCCTGGGTGGTCGAACCATAGCCATCACTACGTCGCACTCTTCTGTCAAGAAGGGAGAGACACTCCAGGATACTCTGAGAACTCTTGAGTGCTACGGTGACGCTGTCGTCCTCCGTCACCCAGAGGAAACCTCGGTCGATGTTGCCAAGAAGTTCGCCCACGTGCCGGTCATCAACGGCGGAAACGGTAGCAAGGAGCACCCCACCCAGGCCTTCCTTGACCTGTTCACCATCCGTGAAGAGCTCGGTACCGTGCAGGGCCTGACCATCACCTTTGTTGGTGACCTGTTGTACGGCCGCACTGTACACTCTTTGGTGTACTTGCTCCGCCACTACCAGGCCAGAGTGCAGCTAGTATCGCCAAAGTCTCTCAAGCTGCCTGCCAAGGTTCGCGAGCAGCTCGTTGCTTCTGGTCAGCTTCTGTGCGAGTCCGAGGAGTTGACAAAGGAGATTCTGGCAAGAAGTGATGTTCTGTACTGCACTAGAGTGCAGAAGGAGAGATTCCCCAGCCTGGAGGAGTACGAGGCTGTGAAGGATTCGTACCGTATTGATAATGCAACCCTGAAGCATGCAAAGAGCACAACGGCCGTGCTCCATCCTCTCCCCAGGAACGAGGAGATTGCGGAGGAGGTTGACTTTGACTCCAGGGCTGCGTACTTCAGACAGGTGAGTCATGATATTGCCGCGCTGGCTTCTGGCGCCTTGAACGACAATTGCTAACTGTTTCTGCAGATGAGATACGGTCTATACTGCCGCATGGCTCTGCTGGCTCTCGTCATGTCCCACTAGACTCTGACTTGAGTTGAGTTGTTGCCTGGCGTTGTACATATTACAACCAATTTCTTTGCTTCCTTTTTTAGATGACGGGCGTATTGAAAAAAAGTTTGATTTCTTTATTAGATAGCTATACTATCGTACGTGTGTTTGTTCTGGGATTTTCTCAAGGTAGAAAAGGCAAACCGCATCCTTAGACATTGCAATGGCTCAAGCCACTCATGAGTGAAATGATATAAATGATCATGGTTTATGTGGCGTTTATACGTACGTTTGGGTATGCGTACGTTGGGTTGGGTTATGCGTACGTTTGGTATACGTACGTTGGGTTTGGGTATAGGTTATATAGATCATGTCTGGTGCGTATGGCGTACATTGTGTATATAGCTTTTATAATACCGTTTGTTCATCTGTTCATCCGTGCGTTCAGTTCGTTTGAGTGTGTTATGTGTATCGTTTCCCTGTGTGTGAGGGGCGAGCTCCACTATGGACTCGCTTGGGTTAGATCCGAATGAGGGACAAACTGCCCTGTTGTCTGGCGCATAGAGCCAGCAAGCAATAATGGTTGATTGCGAATAATGAGGGATGCTTAGAATATTTCTTCTAAATATAATGTTATTTCCAAAATATTGGTATTTATAAAATTGGCAGGTCGGTTGTCTGGTTAATTGTCAAGTGACGTCACTGTTGTATTTGGTCGACGACTTATTACAATATCGCATGTTTTGCGTCTAAAACGTGGGTCAAGTGTTGATTCATCACCACAGCTCATCACTTTTCAAAGAATCAGGCCAACAAATTGAGCAATATTGACACATTCTTGATCCGTTCCAACAGCAATTGACAGGACAGCCTTCACAAAGTTTCATTAGCACGGCCACGTAAAGGAAGACACATGGTCCAAGGGTTGCCTCGCTCGCTACTACAGAGCAGAATCACGTCACGCATTAAACATATTAGCAACCACATCAACAGGACCTACCTCGGCCGACGCACCATGTCGTCGCCTGCCGGATCAAACCCGGCTGCCCCTTGGCGCAGTCTGTTCATAGAGCACATTGAGGCCATGAAGTCGCCCGAGTTCACCCTGTCCACCATCCGCAAGGTACCAAGCTCGTCGCCGCAAGCAAAGCAACTGGGCGCCATCCAAACCGGCGACGGTTTCGCGCACATTCCCCGGGCCCGTACTTGCATTTTTCGGGGCATGTGGGCAGGACTGAACGCAAACCCAAAGAATGACGCCCCGCTCAACCCGGAGCTATACGACAGCGAGCTGCTGACGTTTACTACCGACGTCCGCATGGACAAGATGCCCGAGCTGTGGGGTGCTGCTGCCGCCGCCGACGAGATGGTACCGGGCACCGACGGCGGTAGTAAGCTGGACGGCACGGGCGGCGGCGGACCCGTCGAGGCCGTCTTTTGGGCCGAGGACGCCATGGTGCAGTGGCGCGTGCGGGGGCGGGCGTACGTCCTGGGCCCCGACGTGGATCAGGAGACGAGCAAGCCAACGAGGGAGCTGCTCCGGGACCGCATGCGCAAGCGGGACTCGCAGCACGCCTCGGGCCAGGAGGCCGAGTGGAGCTGGACTCGCGAGGTGACGGCGCACTTTGGCAACTTGAGCCCCGGCATGAGAGGCACGTTCCGGAACCCGCCGCCAGGTCGGCCGGTGAACCTGCCCGTGGGAGACGGGCTTGGGCTCGGGCAAAAGGTGGCGGACTTGGGGGACGAGATTGCTCGCCGCAATTTCCGTGTTGTCGTCATTGTGCCCGAGGAGGTCGACCGCTGCGATTTGAGTGACCCGGCTCGCGGCCGCAGATGGCTTTACCGGTTTGTGGGCGCCGACGGAAAGCCCGAGTCTCCAGGTGGCCATGTCGAGGATGGGTGGGAAAAGGTCGAGACGTGGCCTTGAGTGATTTGCGTGTGCGCAAGAAATCTTGTTGTACCGTGTCACGACGTCTTATAGTTTGTATATAACATGGAAGAAATGTCATTGCATCTTGAGCACGCCTATTTCAGGCAAGTTCACTTTGGTCCTGTCATTCTTGCAGTTTCTGCTTGTCCAAGCTTTGTGTGCGCAACAAGGATTGCTAGTAGAAAAGTTTCATCGTGTGCAGCCTAGATCTTTTTTCTTATTCTCAATTTTGTACATGTATAGCATCGGAAATAGCAATCCTGGGCTTATGAATCGTTCCGCGGACCAACAGCTACCGGGAGAAGCCGGTCGTTGGCACAAGTATGCTGAAGCACTGATACTGCGAGTGACAAGTAGAATTTTGAATATATTTTCTGTTATTGCAGAGTTTGGGATTTTCTGGAGACCAAGTTTTTGTTTTCAGCTGGTAACCCCCCTCCCCCAATCGTTCTTTGGTATTAAGTTGACTTGCTTTTTTTCTACAAAAGACCTCGTCGGAAAGGCGTGATTTAATCTGGGCAGATTCATTGGAGTTGGACCGAAGGACGCGAATAACTGTATGGACCGAAGCCACCGGTGCTCCGGTTGCGTAGTTGTCATAGAAAAACTCAAGCCGCCCATATCTGGTCAATCGATTGGCCAGGTCGTGAAGAAGAGGAAGAAAAAGAAGAGGATATTTTGGTTGAGGTGAAGGTATTTTGATCTTGTTCTCAAATCAACACATTGATAACACACACCACATCTGTGTAGTCACAAGTCAAGGCCATTAGATTCTCAGTGAATGATACATCTAGTGAAATTCCTCGAAATCTTCTTCGTCCCGTGTAGTCCATAGGCCGTTCTTAGTGTTGAGAGTTGCTTCCATTATACGGCCAAAAGTCAATATGCAAAGGTGCCAGAGGACATTTCTTTGCAAATAAAGCACCAATTGTGAACCCTTCGTTGAAACGGGTCTGTCCGGCCAACATACTCTCGGAGGAGAAATGCCAATCTAGTTTCTCAAAGGTGTTTTGGACACGAAATCAAGGTGCCTGCGCAGCTCTACTCATTAGATGGGGCAAAATATTATAGAAACAATATAGTAGGTTGTCGCCCAACAAGCAAAAGTCAGCACGATGTTTTCTTCTCTCCCCTACTTTTGGCGCTGCTTGCCGAAGTGTCACTGTTTGTGGCGATTTGCTAGTGAGTAGCCAAGGTGCGGAAAGTATATATCTAAATGCCCGCACTGACAGACCTGCGTGCTTTAAAACAGCCACATTGTTAGTTTCTTTTTCTTTCCCGTGAGGTTCGTTATGGAATAGTTGTTAGCTGGGTGGACCCCTTGACCTTGTGTGTGTGTGTGTGTGACACTGCCTGTAAAACATCAGACCATGAATCATCTCACAACGCCAAAACATGCAAAGAAGAAAAGGCCCGTCCCGCAAGTAGCAACAGCTCAACTACCGTTATCACATTATCAAGGTGAAGAAGAAAAAGAAAGGCACACTCGCGGGGCCCCCCGGAGAGGAAGGCGGGCGGAGAATGGCTTGAATCCATCATGATAAGTAATGAAGAGACAAGAAAGGAAAAAAAAAAAAAAAAAAAAAAAAAAAGAACAGGCATGGGGCCTGGTCGTCGTGGTCATTGTCGCCCTGCCTGCGAGCAATCAACGGTTCGGGGACCTAAATTTCCACGTGCACATGCTCGGGGACCACTGGGGGGTGGCAGGGGTTGGTTAATGTACATAGTAGCTCTGGTTCAATGTTCAGGCGCTTTGCCGCCCATTGCAACAACATTTTTTTTTTTTGTTTTTTAAGGGTTATGTATACTAGAATGGGCGCGGCGGCGGGGAGGTGGGGGGAAGTGTGCGTGCTTGCCAAGAACGCTGCTTGCTCTTGTGCCTGTTGTGTTCCCCATTAAACTTGTCAATGTTGCCCGCTAGATCAGAGCGCAGTTCAATCTCGTTGCAATTAAGGTCATGGCCAAATGGAAACAGAAATCCCGCCCTTGGCCTGCTGGACGCAACCCGGCACCCTTTATGCAGATTCGCTTGTTTTGCCCCAAAACTGTACCAACTTGCCGCAACACTGCAACTTTAAGAATAAAGAGAGAGAGATGAAGAGAGGTAAGGGGGGCACTTTATCCCGGCATTACTACATACAGTATATGTGTGCTGCGGATTGCTTGCTTCTGCCACTGCTGCAACCACCGACATGAACAGACCTTTGAATACCTGCAACCTGCAATAGTAAATTCTCTTGTAAAACGCACCTAGCTCATGTACATGGCATTTTCTTCAACGGGTTTCGGTAGCAATTCCGAGATGATCGCGAGTTCCAGCCGCTAGTGCTGACAGTGGTCTAGGGGGGGCCAGCGGGAGCCGTTGCGATTTAGTCAAAATAGTCGATAAAAAATGAACGCGTTTTTAGTCGTATGTGATTCTGCTGATGGTGTGCAGCGGTCCGAGCCAGTCCTGTTGACATGCCAGTCCAATGACACACGGACCGCGCGCAATTCCGCTAAAATAAAAAGAGAGCGATCGATAGAGAGAATGAGAATTGTACACAGGCTGGCTCAGTAAAAGGCTTTGGCTGTCTGTCATGCCGCCCACTGGATCATGTAAGCAAGCATTGAGCGTGCCATTCCCACGTTATGCGCATATAATTATAACTCCGTGGTTACACAATCGTACTCTGGCCAACCAGATTGCTCCGACTGGTGACACAGGACTGATTTCAGATCGGACGGTCTATTGTGACGAGTTCTGACGGTTGCAACGGAGGGGGGCGGGCGCCTGTCTTTTCTTCTAGAACCCGCAGCTGGACACTTCTTTGCCGAAATTGGACGTCGAACTGTGTATGTGTATATACGTGCGTGTGCACAAGAGATGACTCAATGTTCGTACTTCTCGTCCAACGGCATGTACGTAGTGGTGTATAGCGTACTACTCTCGGTGTAACGGCGAGAACTAAATTAGACTATCCATAACCCCTTATTAGCCAGATGTGGTGGCCATTGAGCCTTTGTGTTTTGAATGGACAGAGTCAATGTTTGTTTGACGAATGGAGCCTGTCTGTGTCTGCGTAGTTTACGTGCACTTTGCCTGAAGCAGATTGCCCCAAGTGCCGACATGTGGAGTGGCATTCGGAGCTCGCAGGCTCTCGAGAGCGAGAGCCGCGGACACATGTCAGTGGATCGACACTAATGTCGATCCGGCAAGCTTCTCGAAGTGAAGGTCCTTGTATTTTTTCCCTTCACACTTTCACACATTCTCCATTTATATATCGAGATGCCTGTCGTTGTTGATTGCCAAGCAGAAATGTTCATGTGCGTGTTGCCTGTCGGCACTTTCAATCGGCCCAGCCCTAAGACAAACACATCAACAGTGTATCAGAAAACCCCCAGGGCCGAAGAATACAACGGGACCCGGGACCGAGCAAAAGCAAAGCTCCGGCTGTGCCGTCTCGCAACCATGGACTCTTTTGGAGACGAACGCTCGTCTTTCTCCAGCGGGTTTTTTTTTATTGTTTTTTTTTTCTTTCTCAATCCAATTTGCTGCCCCCATAGCGGCCCGAGCCAACTAGCTTTGCAACGCTCTTTGAACCCTAAAGACAGTCATCATCCATGGACAGAGCATAAAGCTTTGGGAGCTCAATGTTTTTTCTCCATCATGGTTGCAGTGTCCAGAAAGCCGTTCGGCCGTAGTATGGATTGGACCAACCTGCAAACCGGGCAGCAACACCGAAAAAGGTATACTATGTACAATCCGAATTTGCGGAGTACCATAACACGAAACCGAGCGGCTGCCATGATGTTTGTTGGTGTGGCACATTCGTAACAAATGCTGCACAAGCACGGAACTTTGACCTGGATTCGTCCGCTTGCTGCTAGTGTACCTACCTAGTATTCTTTTCTCCTGGCGATATGGTGGCAGGACAGACAGCGGATCGGCCCTGGGGGGCTTTGTTGCCGAGGGTGGTCCGCAATCCGAGCAACCGTAGCAGTGCATTGGGGGGCGGGGGAGGAGCGTTATTGCAGCGAGCAAAGGTTGCCTGCTTCCGATAGGGAAGAGAAAAAAAAACACGCATCACCAAAGGCCGTCTTGTCTGACGAAGGTGTCGACGTGGTAATCCGGTTCTCATGATTGTGTCTCGCTGCTGTTGCATGGTTCTAGCTACGTAGGTAGCAAGCAAGATACCATGTAAAAGGTTGAGAGAGAGCGAGGAGCCAATTTCAAGCGCCAATGCGCTGTCGCCAGGTATTCGAAAAGGTACCTTGTTATGTGCTGTAGAGACGTGCAGTACGGTAGCGAGGGAGGTTATTAGGTCACCTGCTTGGTATCCATTATTATTATTAGAGCGATCGAATTTTCAGACAGGTAAAGTGAGAAGAGTCGCATGCATTATGGGGCATTGGATCGAATCAAACGAAAAGACATGGGTAAGCAAAAAGGTCCTCGCATCTCATCGTTCCCTGCATATGTTGCAGGTCCCCCACACGACTGCCTAGGGTATGAAAGGTAGGGGGCAGGGAGGTATCACGATCTCAAGTTATCGTAGGTAGGTCATGTATGTAATGTTAGGTATAGTTGTAGTAATTGAGGTAGACAGAGCAGGCAAGGAAGGGAATCGATGCAAAGCCAAGCAAGGTACTCTGTAGAATGCGATGCGAGATGGACGAACCAACCGACTCCGCAATACAAGGCCTTGTTTGGAGGAAATGCATATACACAGCATGGTTCACAGGAATAAGGCAAAAAGAAAACATTGAAGGCTCTCATTTCATCCACACACTCACTGTATCCTCCACTACTCTATGTGTACATTATACCTACCTACCTTCCTACCCCATGAGTTCAGTGGGGGTGAAGGAGGGAAAAGAGCAGCGGGCCTTTTTTCCTTCTTCTTCCCTCCTCCCTCCCTTCGCTTATTGAAACGCACGATGGACGAGCGAGCATGAGATGTGGATCGCGTGCTGTATTTTCAAATCCGACAAAATCAATCAATATTCAATGTATGGATTACGATCAAATAGCAAGTGGCCGGGCGGGGATGGCCGAATAGAAGCCAAAGAGAGAGAGAGAGAGAGAGGAGAGACAGAGGGAAGCCAGGATTGGCTAGTTGATAGATTGCGACGAGTAGATGATGTGGCTTTTCCTTCTTCTTTTTTCTTTTTTTCACCGCCATGAGTTTAATGTTACTGGTCCTCTCGCTCTTTCTGTATGCGAAGCTAGCAGGAAAATCTCCTAACAGTACGTATTGATTAACCATGTTTATCCCACAAGGAAGGCCGCCGAGACGTTACACCGATAGGATTCCGTCCGGGTGCCGCATTGGCTGGCCCGTCTGCAAGAATTTACATGGTAGATGGGCGTCAGTAACGGTGATCCCACAGGGGATTGGACCACTGTGGCCAATGGGGGTGCGGACGGTGGCCCGTGAAGACGCGGACCAAGACGTTTGAATGCAGCGATTGCAGACTCTCGGCCGGCACAAAGTCCACAATTCAGAGGATAAAATACATACATACCTTTGTAAAGTCACATAATAATAGTAGGTACGTGCCACGCAGCATTTGCAGTGCCATTCCATTCCAGTAGTATTTTTGAATTACTGATCAGAACATTGATGTTAGACATGGATTGACTGGACCGGCCCCATCCCCATGCGCGAGGGGAGGAGGCATGAGCGAGTCGCGCAAAATAGAACACATATCTACATAACCTATCTGCAGTGCAAGCACTCATCACTACGTATACATTAATGATGTTATCATCTTATTCTCCAAAGTACGGTACATGATGAATGTCCTGTAAATAAGTGTGCATTGATTCATCTGCTGCTATTCCCGGCCTACATACAACAGCCGACACACCAAGGGCAATCGGTCTCGTGCCCCAGCTTGCTAACCCGTTCATAGCCACACCCATCATCAACAATGTAATTCCCATGTTTGAACAGTCAAGCATGTAATGACATATCGTACCTAGTGTAGCTTTAGTATACTTTTGCACCTATACTACGTATTTGGGACCACAGCTAATCAGTATATATGTGTACGTACATATTTAGACGGACGCTTGTCATCGCGTGGCTGACGAGGCATCTTGAGCAAAAAGCATGGGGGGGAATGGGATGATGAGCGTTGCAAGGTTCGCCCAACTCGGCCGCGGTCTGCTTTACCTCCCGCACTTGCAGCAGGGCCCTTGTCACACATTCACACCCACACACGCCTCGAGTTAGTACCTCCCACGCACGGTAGGTAGGTAGGTAAGTATGGGGCCAACAATGAGGCTGGGGGTTTGCTCTACTACCATGCAAAGGGTTGGAAGATCTCTGTCTCTTTCTTGCCTTGCAACCACTTTCCGTCGTCAGCTTGGCAGGTCTTTTGCGGATAAAAGATTAATACCAAGGTAAAACTTGTTTCTAGACAAACCTGGGAAAAAGCAGGTGTCAGATGCGTATCTCCAGGAGCAATCAAACCACACGATGTCAACCCAGGTCACGAGAATCGCAACAAATGAATCATTGCATTGCTTGGGGGGGTTTTTTTTTTTTGGCCCTTCACTTCTGATTCATCATCTGAATTGCCATCCTTGAATACAGATTTGATGCGGCAGAATCTATGTCGAAAAACATGTACGGTACCTGTGCAGACAAGGCACAGTCAATCAGGCCACTGACACCATGATGAACAACGACAACTCCTCCTCCAGAAGATGTCTACCTACATTACCTACCTATTGTACCCAGGTTTACCTGGTAATATCAAGTCTCATGCCCCACACTTTCCTCCGCAGTATACTATTCAATGTTTACCACCTTTAATACTCCTCCTGCCCTACCCGGTAGTGGATTACGCACTAACTCTCCGCACAATCTGTCCATATCATTCATGTATAGCTGCTTCTACTTCCAATTTGCTACATGTGAGCCTTGAGATACGCTGCGACTGCTCGACAAATGTTTGATGATCCAAAAGTACGATTCGCTAAAAAGAGCTACATGAGGTAACAAGTCTTGATTTGTTGACAATCCATCCGGGCATCAAATAGAAAAAAAAAAAAAAAAAACAATGATTGCGAGCCATACATAACCAGTGGCACGCATAACACGTATCCACTACACACACACACATTCTCTTCTTTCGGTCCGTCCATCAGTCAGTCACTTAGTCATTCAGTCAATTGATCGCTGAGCAGACAACGCACGCAACCATTAGAATAATCCCCCTTCCCCCTCACCCCTTGTACGCGAACTCCAACTATGCCTTTCCTATCAAGAATGGGTAATGGGGAAGGGTAGGTAGGTACTTTTCGACAACTGTCCATTCAAGCCCTGGCGAATGCTACCCCACAGACAGACGTACATTACTAGGTAACCTAGGTATGTACGTGCCCGCACTGGGCCAAGGGGGCTTGCGGAGGAAAGGCAATGCATAGGTACTATATCGTACATAGTACAGTAGAGATGTCGCCAACGTCATCCCGACGAATGAACAAACGAACGACTAAGGAGAAAATAATGCCTATGACTAAAGGTAGTAATAACAAGTCTATTCTAAGTTTGCATGAACCTGGGCACGAAAGCAGCTCTGTTTCATCTCTCGAACCACAGATACATGCAGAAGAAAAGTGAAAAGAAGGGAAAAAAAGAAAAAGAAAAGGGCATTCTCCAAGGTCGGGCAAGAAAGAGCATGCGTCTTTGCGCACCTCGCGGTGAAACAGTGGATCGTAGATACATAGAGATCGAAGTGTAGATCATCGGGACGACAGCCGACTAGTGGGCAGATAGGCGCACCTTGACCGTTGCTTCTCATGGTAGCCAACAATTGCATTTCATAGCAAAGTAACATATAGGCGAGCAACCATGTGATAACATGGCAATTATGAGCCAGTATTGCCGCATACGCGGTGTATAGTTCAGTCCTAGCAAGGCCACAAAGAGCTTACAGCTGGCCGATCCATTTTCAGGATACATCAGTACCTATGCTCAGGGGTCGCGAGCCCTGGAATCGCAGTGTATGGGTGTTTGACAGGCACAAAATCTGACGAATTGTTTTGCGTTTTGGCGCCCCATTCGAGAAGCCACATACTCTAACCAAGGGGGATTAACCTAGTCGAACGGCTCCTTTGCGTCTAGACTCTCGTGGCTCCAAAGGCAACAGATTCCTAGGTCTGTCGATTCAGAAACTCAATCGTTAGCACGCGGCAGTAGTAAAAACGGCAGAAGCCAAAACCGAGTGGAAGAGGTGCACGAGGCGAGGGTTCGTTCACGGCTCTTTTCTTCTTGTTTCTTTTTCTGCCCTTCTGGCCGCTCAATTATAAGTCTTGGAAGTCCTTCTTTCAAGTAACCATTGAGCCAGGTCAGCTCACGACACATTAGATATATGGCCATATTGATTCATCAGTCAAGTGCCAGTTGATTGAAGTAGACCAACGTTACTTTCATGCATTCGATTCAATTGAGCGTAGATCTGCCAGCTCTCTCGAAGTACACGCGTATACTAGTGAGGTACCAACGGTATGTGAGAAGTCAACTTTGAAACCTAGATGTGTGTTTGTAGGTACCTACTCAGTACCCCCGACTCTAGACATAATGGCAACATGGCATGACCGGCCAGTGAACAGATACCTAACCTACTACAACTTATTACTCTGCAAGACACCTACCTAAGCGGGAGGTTAAGCGGCGGGAGCCAGTGCCAGGTTACCGACGCATGCGCCTACGTACTAGGTACTAAAATGGTGATTACCTTTTATCCACCCCCCCCAACCCAGCCAAAGCCGCTTCTGAAAGAGCAAAAGAGAGGGGATGGGGAAAGGAAAACAGAGACAGAGAGAGGAGCCATTTTCAAGCACCCTTGGCACCATAGCCCTGGAATTAGCGCTACTGCAGACTACTCGAAAAAGCCACCGTTAGTCTCCACACGGAAGGACGGGGGCTTGATTGACGGCCCAGACGGACAGAGACGGGGAGTCTAGTCCTAGCTAATGCCTAGTATTATTATTAGTCTAGTCTGCTGCCCATCATCAAATGGCTGCTGGCTCCTCATACCTAAATTCCGTCTGGGGCCTCGATTTCTTTCTCGGCCGCTTATTCTCACCTTCATCATCATCTACCTACCTACCTACCTACCTATCTACCGACCTAACGCGCTGTTCTTCTTTCCTTCTCTCTTAGAATCTTCCTTACCGCCGCCTCGACATCTCGCATATGTACCTATAGTCCTGAACCACATCTTGTGCCGCCCAGCTTGCTTGTTTTCTCACACTTGCTCGAGTGAGATCGAAATCTACAAGAAGCCTCGCCATGAGCAATCACCTCTGAAACTCCCGACGACGCTCGGTACAACTGGTACCACACCCACCCGTAGTCGGTCCCTCAAACAGTAAACACAGCTCAACCCCCCACTCCCGGCATCGTTTCCGGGCGGCCAACCAATTTATCGACTTGTAAAGCACAACAGTAATTGTACCATCCTGTGGTTGTCGTTGTTTTTTCTCTCTCTTTTGTTTGGGGTCTTGGTAGTAGCTGCTCTCACCATGGAGACATTGGATTGCCTGTCCAAAGTCGCGCCAGACTGGGTCAAGCGACTCGACGAACTCACCGGCCAGATCGAACAACGCCAGCTGGATCTGGCCAATCTGGCCAAGCTCGAAGGCAGAAAGTCGAGTTCGCCTGCCCGCTCCATTCGCAACAAAGGCTCGACCGAGTCGCTCAAGCCAAAGAACGATGGCAACGCCTTCTTCAGCCCAGAGGACCCTCAGCCAGAACAACCACGTAATGGCGCCGTGCCCAACACAAAACAACCGCCACAGAGTTCGTCGCGGCGACGCTCGAGCCCAGATAGTGGACCAAAGACACCCTCCTTCATTCAGCGCCAGACCGAAGAAGTCGCCGCAACTGCGCAACGACGGGCGCGCGCGGTACTGCGAAAGCGCCAGAAGACCGACTCCATGATCAGTGCCGAGGGCGTAGTGCCCACTTATAGGTCGAGGAGTATGATTATTGTATACTACGACAGCTTTGTCCAGTCATTTTTCGAAGAACTCGTCAAGTTTGTATCTGCGCAGAGAAACCACTTGCGGCGAGCCAAGATGGCCGCCAAGGTCGCAGAGATTAAGCGACTGGCCGAGCTCGAGATGCCCGATGACGATGATGATGATGACAACGACGACGACGGCAGTACACTGCAGCCTGGCGACGGCTTGATAGCAGCAGATCCTACCATTACTGCCAAGCCAGCGAGGAGTGACCCGAGGTTGCATTATATGAGCACGCGCACCATGGGACCAACTTTTCGTTCTCCAAATACAAATTATGGGCAAGATCGGTCAGCTCTAACGGCCAGTGGGCCCGGAATAATCAATCGCGCAATGAGCGCCGGCGATCAAGGACCTACCGACATTTTTGACGAGCTCGACAGATCCTTGGAATTTGTTCAGAGCATGTGCGAACGGGCGGCGCATCAGTTTCTCCGCGACGGCGACTGTTCCGAGGAGATAAGCAAGATCAAGAAGCGGCTAGAAGAGGCCAGGAGAAGCGCACAGCAGGAAATGGATCGACTGGAGAAAGAGAACCCAGATGCCTTGAAGACTGAGCCGCCAAACCCCCGTAGCTACCGTCCTTCAACCATGCGGAGGGACCATGGTGCGTCACTCCCTGCTAAAAGGGTTCTAAAAGTGGACATTGACGAAGGCGTTGAAGACATGTGATGACTTCCCGTCCCCATTGCATTAGACGCAAGTCGACCCGGCGATGGTTAGATATGACCAGCAATTACTTTTTATATCACGACCGCATCAGCATTTTCTTTCTTTTTCCATCTTGGGATGTCGAATATCACTTGCTGGTGCTATTTACTACATCTACACCATACCAAGTGTTTTACGAGCTCATTTCATTCTGAGCATTGCGACGGAGTTGGCATTTACGATTCAAAACATTTCACCAAACATAGAGAAGTGTAATTGCAAAATACCGGGGGGGTTTATCACAGACGGAGCAAACGGCCACCACAATATTACCGACGATGACGAGCCAGGAAGATGCAGGATAGGACAAAGCAAGTGACCGTGAAGGAGATGGCACTGCATGCAAAATAGCTTCATAAATCGGGCCAAGCTGTAGGCATAGAGCTGGCACCAGCTGCATTCGTTCAAAGCATCCAAAATTAATGAGAAACAACAAATAACAAACCTTGTGCGTTGACTGAAGATTCTGAAAGAACGTGCCCATGATGTGGAACACGACAATATTGCCATGTCAGGCTCCCCAAGTATGCTAGACAAAGATCTCTCTCGATCGTGGGTGACGCGAGGTGTCATTATGTCCGGAGACGGTAAGGGGGGAACAAGTCGTTGCTGTACAATAGTTATCGAATTTCCTTCTGAGGTCATAGCCATATTCAGTCAAACACTCGTCCAGCCATGTATACTCTTTGCAGCCTCAAGCTCATGTGGGCTCGTCGTCATATGTATCGGTTGGGGGGACAAGTCTCTAACTGTTGTGGCTGCACTGACAGGTGAGATGGAACTACCTGAATGGTAAACAAGTTATTACTCATCTTGGTGATACATTTTGATTGTCATCTACATTGACGTGCTTGTATCTTGGAGTAGACTTACGGCAAGATATCTACAAAGAAAGAAGAGTCTAGACATTCCTCCTCCATCCTCACATGGATATAGTCCTAGCATCACAGTAGTGTGGTTTCTGTTTTACTTTTACAGGTTTACATGATCCGCTGTGAGATTACTTGTTTATCCCCCCGGCCTGCCTAACAACCTCGCGAGCCCATTCCACAGCGATCTCGTCTCCTCCAGGGTTTCCCATGTGACGACGATTTTCCAGCAGGCGCACTTCTTTTGGCCGACCCCGACTCGCGACGAGCCAGCTGTCCTCAATGGGGAAAACTGAATCCTCGAGGCCATTGACGATGAGCAATCTGCAGCTGCGGCCGTTCAACATACCAGCATCTAGGCCGTCTTCTAGGCTGAATCGTTTCTTGGCCTCCCCTACGTATGCCGCAACGTCGGCTTCTTCCTCGCTGCGAGAGCTATTGGTCTTATCCAGCCGCTGCCGCCGGAACCCAAATTTCCACGCCAGCGCCTCTGCCAGCCCAAAGGGATACTCCATGTGATCCTGAGCGCGTATCCAGTCCGGCTCGAACATGTAGTGGCAGGCTCCGCCGTGGCAAATGACAGCCAGCAGATGCTCGGAGTGCGTGTGCGCCAGGCGCAGCGCGTGGTAGCCGCCCGTGCTACAGCCCCGGCCCGTCGTGGCGATCCACTCCAGCACCGACGAGAACAGCCGGTCCGACGCCGACGGATCCCCCGCCGCCGCCGGCGAGTCTGCCGTCCCCGGTATGTCCACAGCGAGCACGGCGAGCCCCGTGGCCGTGTGCGCAGTGGTGCGGGTCGTGCTGTCGCTGCGGTACGAGTCTAGTCCAGAAATGAGGACGAGGACCGGCCAGCTGCTGGCGTCGGGCTTTTGCGAGGAACACGACGACGAAGACGACGACGGGATCCGCAAATTTGCGAGAATGGGCCGTTCTGCCGCATCTACACCCGCCTTTGCATGGGTAAAGGGTATGGCGACCTCACGGACGGGCGGCTCCAGGTACGCGGCTCCACGCAGATAGGATCCGCGGCCCATTTCCCAAGCCACGTGGCCCAGCGGCGAGCGGTTGACGGGAAAGCGGGCGATGCGGTAGATGGCCGCGGCACGGAGGAACAGGTCGCGGGCACGGTCCGTATCCTGGACCTTTTCCGACGCTTCGGCCTCGCGGACCAGCGCCGCGGCCGCGGGCAGGAAAGACGCGGCGTACCCGTCCGGATCACGGACCAGAGCCTCGGGGTCGTTGTGGAATTTGGTGACGAGGGAGGCAAAGATGGGCTCGAAATCCTCCAATGCCGCCTCCCCGAAGGGGTACTCGGCTGTACGGCAAAGGTCTCGCCATCTCGACTCCCACAGCTGCGTGATGGAGTCATGATGCGGGAACTTGTGGACCTTGTCCACGGTGGATTGTACGTGAAAAGGCAGAGGACGGTCAAAGGGGGCCATTTTCAGAAATAGGGTACTGCTCTAATCGTCACGATCGAAGATGTGTTGCTACGTACGGCCGTGGTATAAGTCAGCGAAGCCTTCAGTTTGTCCAGGCAGAGGAAAGTTTGAATAAAGCATTCAGCGAGTCTTTACAGAACTTTGCTGCGAGATACAGCTCTTCTCAGGCTGCTGCTTATGCCTTGTCATACTTGTACAGATGGGCAAATGTATGATATATACCCTCGACGAGTATAGGTGTCTGCTACGTTATCTTGTCCTATTCAGCTAAAAATATATATTAAAAGTGCAAATAGCTCGTATGCCGGCTCGGGACTCGAATTTACGAAGAGCATATTTCACTTAACTCTGACTAAGAACCCCAAGAGATGACTCCCCAGACTGGAGGAATTTATTTCAGCAGAAGTGGTAAGTGGCTCATGGAGAGCTGATGCACTACCTGAACTTTCATATTTTGGAAGCCCCCGAAAACGCCGAGCTCCCTCACTACTCTGGGACACCGGGAGAGCTGTGGAAGAGACTCGGACAAAATATGATCCTACTCGGGTAGGCATACGATATGGGTGTTAGATTGAATGATTTGTCCAGGAGTTTAAACTACTCCTCCGTAACACGATGTTGCCGTGATTTTGCGCTGTTGTTTTGAAACTCACTATACTTTTGAGTCTCGCTGTTCTTCTATACATAGCACAAGTTTTGTAAGGCAAGGCAGTGTTGACGCCAATAAATGATGTTGCAACCCGAAATGGGGATGTGTCTTGGTTAAGTGAGCAGTCGAAGAAATCAGTGTCCATGTCGACTGGCGCAGCACCGTCTTGACCCGACAGAGATGCTCTTGTAGTTTGTGCTGATCTTGGCTGCAACTATTCAGCGATTTTAGGAGCCCGAGGAGTCGGAGAAAGTCATTTTAATAAAATAGGTCCTAGAGATTATGAGCTAACCTTTCTCGACACGATGATGGAAGGATTAGTCGACTGCCACTATTATCTATATGCTTGCAACATGCGACGGCTTGTTATTGATAACGTGATGCGTATCATCAGAAATGATCCCTTGAATAGTGTCATTTGCGCCCACGGCTGCCGTAAAGAGCCTCTATGTGAAGGCTGCTACGTTCACCGAGGATCCGGAGAGGACGGCTTTTTATACCCGGTATATTACCATATATACTTCGTGCATGCATGAGAACTGTGGCATAGGCACTGTTGAATATACTTGTGAGCCGTGTTGCACGTGGAGCAGACAGCGCGCTGTGACCGTGGGGGTAATTTGTTGCAGGATAGGGAGGACCTTCGGATGATCGGAGCATGATGAAAGAAATCTCGGAAGTTCAGGTTGACTTACTTGTAGCATGGCGCCTGTAGCACGTCATAATGGGCGGATTTAATGCTTTCAATTCAATGTTTGGCACCCTTTGCTTTTTTTTGCATTTTCATTAGCCCATGTATACCATCTTGGCGGTACGCGGCTCAGCTGAAGACGCTCGTACTAAATCAGATCGTCTCGGAACTTGCCATAGTAGCTAATTGTAGTCTGTACCACTTTGGGAATATCCAAACCTGACTCAATTTGCGATTTTACAATTATGGCCGACATTTTTGGGGTGTTTTGGATGACGTCAGTATTGATTTGATTCTTTCGTCAACTCTTGTCCAACGAAAGAGCACTTGGGAAATTATCGCCGGAATTGCGATAAGAAGCAAGAAAAACATGTCCTGGTTTGGGAGGGTTCGCGGGGTCAATCAACCGAGACGCTCGGGGTTTGCTGAGTCCAGCTCGGAAGAAGAGTCTGTGGCCGTGAATGACCACTGACCAAGCTGACAGGCTGACGACTGCTGGGGGTGTAATGTAGGCACCGGGGGGGAATGCTCGCCACCACCCCGCGGACACGGTTACATTGTCGGCGGTTGGGGGTGGAATCTGGTGTCCGTTTAGTGAGCAATTACCAATTCTCAAGACGTCCAATATGGCCAAGGAGACGTGAGAAATGCTTGAGAGATTCCATGGGTTCTCGATCTAGAAAACACGTATCATGCAAACCAATTAATCAATCAACCACCACCACCACCACCAGCAGCCGACTTTCTTGACCTGTCTCGTTGCCTGCATTACCTACTAACATATGTGCCCAGCTCAAGCAGCTAAGCTAGCTTACTAGCTACCCAGTAGCTCGATCGTGGTAGTTGACCTTGCACCCATGTTCCTTCCGTTCCCCTAGCTGAGCTGAGCTCGGGCTACTAGCTTGAAGTGGCCAAAGAAAGCGCGATAACCACAACAGCCGGGACTGAACTGAATTGCGGCTGCGGGATAAGGACAAGAATTGGGAAGCGAAGCAGGTGACATTGTGGGCGTCACGGTCGAGACTGAGTCTAGATTCATATACACACAGTAAATCTTATTATTTTTTTGCTTTTTTTTCTCTCTCTCTCTTCGTCTGCTTCCCGTAGGCTCGTTTTACGCGCTGTCTCAAGCCGCAAATTAGAGTGCCTCCCCAGCAGTTAAAGGGTCAGTACCATTATGGTATTCTACCTTAGCTCATTCAACTGCGTGGGTTGTAAAAGAGGCGTTACCTACCCTAGACAATTCACTACTCTACTCCACTAACATGGGCTCCTGTCAACCTGTAGTAGTAGAGTACTAGAAATCCGGGGTGATCGAGAAAGTCTCGCTCGTTCCAATTCTCGCAATCGAACGAACTAACTAACCGGCAGTCCCAAGTCCTAGTCTCTCTTCTCTGTCTCCTCTTTGCCTCTCTCTCTCTTGCTCTCTCTCTCTCCCCTGGCCACCTGCTGACCATTTTCCAAATCAGCTCCTTCTTATCTCCAGCTGTCCCCCCGTTTCTTTTTTCACAATTTCCCTTCATTCCCGGACCCAAACCCGCACGCGAGCGAACTTGTCAGTCAGCAAAGAAGACACACACACCACACACGCCAGCCAGTGCCACGTCGCTGATCGCAAACCGTCTCAAAATAAAAATAAAAGCATTGGATTTGCTTGTCCCACGGCACTTGTCGGCTTATTCCCGGACAGCCCAGTTGCTTGTCTTTTCCTGCAAGCAATTCCCAATCCCCATACTCTGCTCCGCACTCGCCACCAGCGCGCTTCAATTGCCTTTTCAACCCCAAACCAAGCCTGGGGAGCCGCCAAGGCAGTAGTAGAACTGCCGCCTCGTCGTCGCCCGCAAGCGGCTTACGAGACGTTTTTGCTGATCCGGCAGTTGTATACCCATTACCCACCAACCCATCTGCTTGTCTGTCTTGCTGCAAACGCTTGCTCGCGCCTTTTTGGCTCCGCCGTCCCTCTGGGAATAAGCAGGATTTTGGAGTTTACTACCGTTGTACCTTATTCTATAATGTCTTACGCCTCCGGAAGGCCGCATCCTAATACCATTCTAACACCTACATCGCTGGACTCATCAGCCCACAATGCCGCCCCCTACGGCTCACCCACTGCTTTAGCCGTCAAGTCGGAATGGGGCGACAGCGGTCAGAGCAACGCCGTCACCCCCGAGGATTCAACTGCCCATTCCAAGAAGAAGCAGAAGCGCAATAAGCCAACCTTGTCGTGCCATGAATGCGTCGAGAGAAAAACAAAGGTAAGATCGACCTTGCTTGCAAATTCCCAAATCTCCTCTACCCACACCAATCACAGTGTGTACCGGGGCTCACTCCGATGGGCCTGATTTGTGTATACACCATAGCAATTGGCAGAGCAGATCGTCTCATTGTCCAATCGTCTGTTACATGGGTGACTAACTTGGTTATCGCTTGCGCATTACACAATCATTTTTGTATATTGTAATACTATGTGACTGAGTTTGGTTGGCTGGGGCGGCCCTGTCGTACTCAACCACTTTCCGCATGACAAGAAACCTTTCAACATACTGTGACACACGAGACTCATTTCTTGCTAACGAAATGTCTCCATTAGTGTGACAGAGGACGGCCGAATTGTCTGGCATGCATCAAACGTCAAACCGAGTGCAAATATGCCCACGTTGCGGATCTGCTCGAGTAAGTCGAGACGCCAGACACGGCGACTGTGCTTGCTCTTTCTGACACTCTTCCACAGGCAAACTACACGAACAGCAGCCAATGGGACCAGGATGACCAAGCCGCCCAAGAGGAAGCTGTCGGACACGACCAAAGATGCACCAACATCTGTTCCTAATATTGCAGATAAAGGCTTCTCTTCTGGCCCCATGTCCCGAGGCACTGTCGCCTCATCCACAGGCTTGCTGTCAAACATACCTTATTCATTGCCTACTGCATCCAAGGTATTCGGGGTGGGAGCAGAACATCCGTTTGCAAACTATTGGACCTTTGAAGGCAAGCTCGAACAAGTCATCAGCGTCATGCCCAAGGAGAAGGCAAATGCCGACATGCTGATTGCGCAATACTTTGAATGTGTGGATCCGGTGTATCCAATGATTCATCGTCAGACCTTTTACGCCGATTATGAGCACTTTTGGTCCCTTTTACACAGGAACCAGCATGAGAATGCTGATGCCGCTTTTGTTGGCCTAGTTTTCGTCATGATGGCCCTGGGAACGCAATTTCAAACCGTGACGACGCTAGAGGATGGCAAAAAAAGTGCGGAGTTCTACGCATCTGCATCAAACCAGGCCCTGCGGATCGGGTGTTACCTTAGTTCAGCTTCCATCCAGTCGATACAAGCAATGGTCTTGCTTACCTATTTCCTCATCAACGATAACCACGCTTCAGACGGTTGGTCATTTGCTGGAATCCTCATGAGACAAGCGTATGCAATGGGACTACATCGAGACCCGAATATTGGTAGGTCCTATCAGCCTCACGCCGAGCCTAATTATACTGACGTTCCTCCCTAGTCGTGCCTGACGCGAGCAAATTTGAGAAGCAACAACGGCGAAAACTTTGGCAGGCTGTTTTGCACCAAGACACATTTTTGACAATTCTGCTGTCCCTGCCACCAAGCGCGACACATACAGATGTCAATGTGGACGATCTCGTGGATGATCCCAACGACATTGTCAGCACAGACCCTCGGGATACAGCCTATATTCGAGGTTCCTGGTCATTAGCAAATTTGGTCCAAGAAACAATATGTAGTCCTCGTTCTCTCGACATACCCATATGCTCTACACAGCGTCAGAAGTCGAAGCTTATTTCGGATTTCCGGGCCGTGTATAGATCATTTCCCGACATATTCCGCTCCTGGGACCAGGAGTCTCTCACGCAGCTTGCCGCGACGAACAAGCGAATCGTACGGCAAACGCTTTTTCTGACAAGCAACTACTACCACAACCTCATGCTAGTACATGCTTCAGAAAGTCCAGATGTTCCTGTAAACGTTCGAGCGACACTCGAGGCAGCGCACGAGGCCATCAATGCTTTCTTCATGCTGTACAACCTTTTTGCACACGAGGCGCGGGTATGGTGGGTCTTCAACCACCGTGCATTCCTCGAGGCGCTGTGCATTGGCAATGTCCTGCGGGAGACGGCTAGCGATGTTGAGCCTGATGAGGTAGAGAGGTTTGAGCGGGACCCATTGTTTGCGAGGGCCAGAGCGGACCTTAGTAAGTCTATTTTGTTTCCGTCAATTTCAAAGTATACACTTTGGCCATGATAACTGACATGTTTCTCTCGGTAGCTCGTATGATTCAGATCATGCAAATCATGGCTGATGGTGATCAAGGATCTGAGGTCGCCAGAACAAGAGTCACAGTTCTTAGCGAGTTTCTGTAGAGCAACACGCTCCTCGAGTAACACTACACCTCGAAGCTCTTTTACATGTTTCAGGGCATTAATGACATCAAACTTTTATTTCCTAGGATAGCTACAAGTTCCGGATACTTTTTACATATCAGGGGCTGTCATGTAAGTAGCACTGAAGATAAACTAGGAATCAGAAAGGTAGTGTATAATGATACCATATGCATCACCTGGATAACTTGTGTCGCATTACTGGAAAAGACGCCAGTATCACGACTGTTTGTTTATTGGTGTTATTCTTGTGGAACCTAGCACTTCCTCCCACGCTAAGGTAAGAAGATTCAGCATTGTGACCCATAGGTATCAATGTCTTTAGCTCAGAAAAGTGCAAATTTTTCTTCTTCAACAAATCAGTCGTCGAAAACGAATTCGCGGTAGTTTCGAGCGAGCTGCTCGACCCCTTCCCTCAAAGGCCAGCCCTTGAGTTCGCAAACTTTGCGACAGATGGACTCGAGGGCCCCATCCATGCTATCACCGGCCACGTGCAGATCGCTCTCAACCAAGACTCTATTATCGGGACATGCCCGAATCGCCTCCTCAGTCTTTTGGTTTTTTTCACCACCCTCGGGATCAAAGTTGATGGCCGTTGAGAAGGAAAAGAAGACCTTGGAGGGCACCGTCTTGTGAAGATATTGGTTCATGATATTTACGGGCCCGCTGTACGAGTGCAGACATATCCGCGGCGGGAACGGTTTACCTGCCGTGTTTCCTTTGCGGATGCCGCTCGGCTTCACGTCGGGTTGAGCGTTAGAGTCGCTACTACTGTCATCTTCCAAGTCGTGAGCATGGGGGGCTATCTTCCTCTGCTCGCGACGTGACAAGACTTCTTTCTCGTAACCTTTCCAGCAATCAGAGATGGCGTTGTATACGCCGCCATGCACTTGAACGCCATGGACACTAACGGCCCGGTTGAGCTCACCAGCAAGTTGCAGCTGTGCCTTTAAAATGCTTGTCTGGTGCGCAATATTAACGCGGTGCGGGCTCAGGCGGCGGCCCTCACGACCCCCGGGCGTCAACGTCTCATCTCGTCCGCCGTCGCCTACCACGGTCCAGCTCTCGGGGATGCGAAAGGCCTTGTCCAAACCTATCTCTCCCACGAGGGCGTGGGGATGTTCTTGGAGACGAGCTCTCGTCTCGCTGATGAACTTGGACAGTGCTACGGGGTCCTGCAGGCCCGAGCTGAATGCCTTGGACTGGGACGAAGGGGCAGGTGACAGGATCTTGTCATAGTGTGCCGCCTTGCCCTCTGCTGTCCCATCATACGTCGGCTCGGATGCTTTGTCATCGTATATTTGGTACGAGAACCATGGATGCCAGCCAAATGACGGAATCACCCGTCTGTGGTGGCTGCTCATGTCCTCGGTTGAAAAAATAGCTCCCGGTGCCTCCACGCCCTGTTCCAGAGCGAGATCGTGTACTAGGTTTTGGTCTTGAGATCTCGTGGACATGACTGTAAGGGCACGGGCCTTCATGTCTGGTATCGACGAGACTAGTGCCATGGTATCCGTAGGATGGCAGTGGGCGTCAAAGACTCCCACGTCCCACGGGAAGGGATCCTTTGGGATAGTCTCATCAGACCGGCTAGATCCGTAGGCGTCTGCTGCCCTTGGTTGCTGCTGACTTGTATCGCCATGCTGTTGACACATGCTGTAAGTGATGCCTCTCTCTGGCCTGGCTCCACGGGAATGCAGCGGGTGATTCCAGCTCCGACGTTACCGGACTGCACCTGTCGGTGCCGGCCGTCCTTGGCCCTATTTGGGTTTTGACAGGTGAGATTGGGATATTGTGGCTGGCAACCGTCCAAAGCAAACTGATTGTTCAGCCTTGCGTGGTCCCAAGTCGGGTAGGTATGATGTAAGGGCTTTTGATGAACGTGGTCAGCATACACACAGTTGGGCAACTTTGAGGTGTCCTACTTATTCCGATGCTCCGGAATCTTCCCCCTCTCTCAAGAACACGGGCAAGGTTTCGACATGCACAAAGACAAGAGGGGGAGCTAAGGATTCTTTGTAGACCTCGAATAGCGGCGTCCTTCTAGAAGGGGCCTTGTTAAAGCCCTAGAAGGGGGGTCAGGGTCTTGCTCATCTGGGACGCAAAGTGAGATCGAGGCGTGGCAACATACCTCAAGCGAACCCGAATCTATTTTGGGTCGATAGTCCCGTTCTGATTGGCTTTCCCCAGAGATTGATAATGGGAACACCCTTTTTTTTATTTCTTGGATACACCACCAAATTGTTTGATGCTGCAAGATGAAGTCAAGTCTGAAGACTGGCTGGAAATCTCCTTGAAGGAGCGGCGGTGGAAGTGTGCGTACCTCGGAGTCCAAAGAGATTAGATGTTGTTGCTGCGAGGTGAGAAGATGTACCTATGTAGTGAGTGACTGGGGCGGCGGCTTGCGTTTCGTCATTGTCCCCACATTTGAGCGAGCTTGTCACTCGACAGAAGCAGCTCCAATTCCCATGCGATGCTATTTAATGTGGTGATATTGACTTGACATTCAAAACCTCCTATCGTAAATATGGGAAAGAAACATATGAGGTTTATTACTTGCTCACCTGATTGATTTGATTCCCTCAAATGCCCCAAGACTCTTTTCATGAGCCGAGTATTGAATGGCCTTTTCATCCTTGGGCCACTCGCTGCTACTACAGCAATTAGTACTACTACTATTGGATCATGGGCCCCTAAAAAGGGCAGCTTCAAAAACCATTGGTTATAGACAAGTATCCGTCCCATCCACCCCCGGAGTTTTGGTTGCTGGTGCCTCCCTCTTGCTAAGGGGCCATTGCAAAGAGTTCCCCAAGCGAACCAAGAAAGAGAAGTTCACGTACCAATAGGATCGCATGCCAATAGTTTCTGTTTTGCGCCAAAGACTACAACTAAATAAGTTGCACCATCTTAGCTGCCTCTCTCTCTCTCATTAGCTGCAGTGGGTTTATAATTGCCAGTGCTTTGGCCCTGGCGCTCCCCCAGATCTAGCCTTGTAGTAGCTTACATTTGCGTGTACAGGCTTGAGGTGGTTACAAGCTTGAGGAGGTTAAAAGGACCAAGGACCTTGGATAGCTGCTAGATGATACATTCCAAGTGCATAGCAAAGGTAAGGAATGTACTCTGTACGTATCATGGCCCTGAGGTAGGTGGTATGGAGAAGATGGGTGATGTTGTTGCAGGGCTTCGGCTTCTTTGGTGGGTGGCAAGTGGGTGGTGTGGAAGTGGTTCGAGGCCTCTCCAGACCCTGCCAACCTGCCTACCTGTATGTACGTACCATAGTGTAGAGCTCTCTCCTTCTTTCTTGTGTGGGGTTGGTTGTGTTCCAAATGTGTGCCTCGAACTCTAATAAAAACCACAGTCCCACCATGCACCCTTCGTTTGCCGTGTGGTCCTGGCTGGGTCCTGGCTGGTCCCAGTCTCCCCCCCCCCCCCAAATTGCCGGGGAAGTTCTCCAGGATCGATCAATCAAAAATGTCTCCAGTCTTTTTGTTATTTTTCTTCTTCTCCAGACCTACCAATCTATGTACCCATACTATCTATTAGTGTGTTATCTATGTGCGTTGTGTGTGCGATGTACCGAGTAGTAAAGTCCGAGCAGTACATACTCTGCAGTGAGTGAGTAGCACATTTACAGGCATATACTTTGATTGGAGTACATAAGCATCTGCATCCAGCGGCATCATATCAAACATGTGAAAACGCGGCCGGGACCCAGTTTCCGAGCTTATCTTCTCTGTTGCTGTTGCAACCCACCTCGCAATAGGAAACCTTACAGTGTTGGCTCGGGCCGGAGGATAAGGAAGGGCAGAGTAGTAGAAACAAACCCCCGGGCTGGCTGGCTGGCTCCATACAATCTTTTGCATATAATCTTTGTACAATTCATTCATCCCAGACCATATCTCTCGTCCAGGATCAATTCCCTCCCCACCCATCACTCTGAACGACAGACTGGCCGCTGGAGGAGTACGAGAGAGAGAGAGAGAGCGCGCGCGCGAGAGAGAAGAGAAGAGAAGAGAGGGGATGAAGACCGCACTGCCCATTATTGCACTAATGTATCTACGGTAGCTGGCTGGCTATTTTGTGACGACTTTCTCCTAGTCGGCAAGGAAAGCGCCAGTAACACGAAACAGCGTACGAAGTCGTGCCATTTCTCTCCGACTGACCGGCTGCTGCTGCTGCTACAACAACAACTCCTGAATGAACGCCGCCGCCGCCGCCACCACCACCACTACTACTACGCACCATTACTACTAGGTATCAGAAAGGAAGACCCCTACCTCGCACACCATCTCCGCTCTTGTGCAACCTCTCCGATATATGAGCAGATAACCGTCTTCGCCGCTGTCACAGACTCGGAAAAGAAATAACGTCTTACCTCCCTTTCTGTCCCCCCCTGGCTACACAAAAGACTCGTCCCGCACCTCCTCAACCTCCTTCTTCTCCCGTGTGCTTTACTACGGTGCAGCATCACCCCCGTCCTTTAGGATGGGCTTGGCCCAGAGTCAGCCTACGCCTTTCTGAGCTTACAAAGTACGACAACGGCATACTTGGACTCTTTATCAACTCAACCATTGCAAATAGAAGTCGTTGTTCAAGGTGTGAGACTCGACCAGAATTCTTCAGCAATCCACACCCCCCCAAAAGATCGAGGGATCGGCTCCGTGCTACCTACCTCCCCGAGCTTTCCAAACTGCTCAAAAACTGATCCACCCCCAATGTCTCACACAATGGCCTTTTTCAATCCGATCCAGCTCATCGCTACCCTCTTTCTCGCCCTGGTGGCCCTGCCTCTAGCCTTCCTGGCCTGCATCACGACGTGGCTGGCCTGCTGGATCCTAGTCACACGCCTACTGTTCGTCTATGCAGAGCTGGCGTGGGAGATTGTTCGATACACACTTTACGACCGCTGGCGGCCGGGCCACTACATCGAGTCACCCTCGGTCAGTCGCCGATCCAGCCGGGCCGTCTCCCCCATCGGCTCGCCCCCAAGGTCGCCCGAGTTCTCGTCTTTCAAGGGTGCCCCGCGATCCCGACGGCGCGCCGGCAGTCTCAGCAGCACGGCCAGCACTGCCGTGCCCCGTGTCGCCTTCTCTGCCGCCGCTCTGCTGGAACCCAACCCCAACGCCCTGGAAAGGGACTTCGAGGGACTCGGCGGCTGGGTGATTCACGACGACGGCGCAGACGTGGCAGACGAGCAGGCCTGGGATACACTCAATCCCCGGCTCGAGCCAGTCGAGTCCCATCGCCACCACTCCCGCGCACACACAGTCGCCACGCCCTTTTCCACGGGCAATTATACGTTTGGGTCGCCCGCTAGGTCAGGCATGATGTCAGTGTCTCACAGCCCAGAGAGGCTGACAACGACAGGTCTAAGCCCTCGCAGCCCGGGCAGCCGGACGCCCACGAGGGCTAGGGGAGTCGGGCCCCTTACTCACCTGGAGAAGAGTGACTCGTATTTTCCACTGCAGGCTCAGCTGAAGAAAATTGCCGCTTGACCAAAGAGTTTACGCAAAGATTATATGAGATGCCTTTTGATTTTTCTCTTCATCAAAACAAGAGATGGTTGCGGACCTTTCCCCCGCGCCAACTTTTATTTCAAACAAAACGAATCATCAACATTAGCTACCTTGTATAAGGCTCAAAGCGTGTCCAGAGTCAGCGATTTCATTTTTGGCAATGACACATTTTTGCTCCAGGACTTTGTCGGACCTAAACTTTTGCGGCACTGTCTTGATGAAACGACATCATGACCTGATGACTTTCTGTATATATGATATCCTAAAACGGCATTTTCAAAAAAAAAGTTTTGGCGTATCTTGGGTTCTAGAATCTGGCCGGTCAACAAGGCAGGGGCCAAGGTGGTAGGAATTCAATCAGGCTACGGGTTGTGGTATCAGGTCGGCGTCTTATGTGTATGGTAAATGACATGTATCGATGGTCATCTGCCAAATGTGTGTTCAATACTATTAGTATCTTAAATAGGGATTACGGGACCTTGAAATATACACTTCTATTTTGATAGCATCGACATCAAGTGCGTCGACCAGTTTGAATATCACCCTCACTACTACAACCCAATTGATTCATATTTGTTTTCAAGAGAACCGTTTCACCACCTACGCAAGTACCCTGCTCGAAGAATGCTTGTATCTATTCTTAAGCGGAAGAATATATGGTCCACGGGCTTCTGATGCTTCCTTCGTCTCTGGCATGGTCAAATATCGACTGCGGAACATGCTGCTGCACAAAAATGGACGTATGTATCTGTAGAAACGCCTTCTCTGTTCAATTTTTTTTTTTGCTCGACCTCAAGTACTCACGAGGTCAAATCACCGCCGGGGCTGTGGGGGAACCATGTATCTCTTGTTCCTGAGCAGCCTCAGCACGCATATACACTGGCGCAATCATAATGACGCGCTCTATCCATTATCATGAAAACTTTTATCAAAAGACCCAAACAGGACAGTCCTTGTCCCGTAGGGTTTCGTTCAATCGTGTCTCCCGTAAACTAAGCACGCTCCGCCAAATGCAAGAAAGTCATGGCAAATAAATAGAGCATTGTGTTGCCAATCCCCAGTCAATCGCTTTTCTATTGGCGATTTCTATCCCTAGTAAAGGAACCTCTTATTCTGCTAAAGAGACTGCCACCGCCAGACGAACCTCTGTCGCTGCTCGACTCACTCCGTGATGATCGACGACCAGTGGGAGAACCGTCTCGAACTCTTCGGTTTGCTGGTTGAAAACTGGCCGAAGGCGGGGAGTCTGATGTCCGTCGCGATGAGGCGCTTCTCCAATTGATACCAGAGGCATCTCCCGAGACAGCCTCATCTCTGATACTTGCTAGACGCTCTGAGCCACGCTGTCGCAGATGCGATCGTCGCTGTTCGGCAGTCGGTCTGGGAGTAGTAGGTGGTTCTGGAGCAGACGCTCCCATGAATGAAGATTCGGCTCTAGGGGCGTTCTGTGCGTTGTCTGGCTGGCCAGCGGCATTGCCCTCAATAGGAGCTCGGCAGATGGGGCAGGTGTTATGCTCCTTTAGCCAAAGGACGACACACTCCTCGTGGAACCAGTGCTTGCATGGCAATACGAGGGCCTCATCTCCTAGTGACATCTCGTCTATACAAATGGTGCATTCACCCTTGAGTTCCGGTCCTAGCATCTGTTCATCTAATTTCTTTCGAGGAAGTTTGGCTATAGTCTCTTCGGAAGCAGGCGGGGGAGCATTTGATTGGGGATTCTGTTCCATGAGCTGCGTGATGATGCGATCTAGCGCTTCCTGAGAGTAGACTGCATCACCATGGGCACCACCAGCATTGAAAAAATTGCTAAAGAGGTGTTGTAGGAGCAGGTGCATTGGCGGCTCGGGTTGATTACCCTCACCAGGTACGCCAGGCTGTCCCGATGCGTTCCCGTCGGCATCTGGGCTTCGAGCTCCGGTCGGAGGAGGCGGAATCATGGCACCAAGAATGTTACCAAAAACCCTAGGCTAAGTGTTAGCGACATCGTTACGGTATAGAGGACTTTGTGAATCATGACACACGCTTGGAATGGATCCGCCTGGTTCACACTGTCGCGCGTTGCCATCGGAGAACTGCTTCTGAAGGAACTCCTCGTCGTACCACCGCTGGTGCTGAAAGTGTAGGTCGTGACGCCACCAAAGCCAGGGCCCGAAAATTGAGTATAGGTAATGCGGCCAGGACCAATATTCTCTGTGCGAGGCGGAAAGAGCTGCTCTGGCCCCGATCTTCCAACAGGGGATCTGGGGCCGCCTCCGATTCCCTCCAGCATTTCTTGGAATCTGCTCAAAATTTGATTTGCATCGGCAGGATTTGCACGACCGCGATTGCCATCTGCCGGACCCTCAGGGTCGCGAAACAGCACGCGGCGACCAAGGAACGCCGGGTGTCCATCCATCAGGTGATCCTCGATATCATCCTCGTCCGGATCATTTGCGTCGCTGTCGTGTCCGTGGTGATGATGATGATGGTGAGCGGGACCCGTTAGATCTGCCAAACGAGGGTCATTGTCTGGTGTAACCTGCATGAAGCGTCTTTAGTATTCCAACGAGTCAAGTGGCATTTCAAAGCTAAAGTCAAGAGTGCTTACGATTTCGGTAGCTTCACCGTCACAATTCGGACAGACTAAGCCAGACTGATCCCGATACCACTCATGATCACATTGATGGCAGTAAACAACCTCGCGGTCACCCGTGGCATCGAGATGCTGACCTATGGATTCCCCGCCGGAAGACATCTGGCGATGTCTCTCTCCTCCGTTGGCGAGGAGTGCCGTCAGTCCCAGGCCAAGTGCAAGGGCCCCGATCGATAACCCGCGGAAAGCCAGAGTGCCGGCGGTGAATTGTGATTGACAAGGCTGAGTGATGGTCCAGAATCGAATGGAAGGGGCGCTTTTTTTTCTTTTTTATGACAAGCTGTCTTTGTCTTCGCTCCTTCCTTTCCTCTTTACCTCGAGAGTGCTTCTTTCAAGAACACGGCCAAGTAAGAGCGTCGAATAGCTTTCCTGTTCCATGCGCAACGCACGTCCTGCGTAGCTGCGAAGCGGGCGCGACTGCTGTTGGTCGAGGCAATGATCTTTGATAAAAGATAGTGCTGACCGAGAACAAGAGGGCACGGAGTAGGTAACTGCGGGCCGATCGTTGCAAAGCCTTGCGAGGTTGAATGGGAAATCAATCGGTATGTCTTAAAGCGGGAGAGGCTGTGCACATGGGCGGCTGCTGTAGGAGGGCAATCGGGCGATGGCGGTGGATAAGGCCGACTTTTGTGGTGGTGCAGGTGCAGGCGTACGGTGGGCGCAGATGCAGGCTCCAAAAGATGGATGGTGACTGGAGTTGCAATAGGTATGTACGTGTAGTACCTAGGTAGATGCGGGGCGTGTATGTAGGTAATGTATTTGATGTAAGCAGTCGTGTACCACTACGTACTTGATTGATGGAGTGATTGAGTGAATCTTTTATGGTACCACTGGATTGGAGTGCAGATTCTCTAGACGTGCTCGTCAGGCTACAGTGGCATGGGAACGTTCGCTAGATTCTGTGTTTTCTTGGAGAGAGAGAGAAAGGCGCATTGGTTGGAATCACAGGCCTGTAAGATTGTGTTAGCTACACCTCACTCCCTGCACAGCACCAACGAGATTGTTGGCGATTGGCTCGATGCCTTACTTGAGGATCGGCGTGATAGAGCGGCACATAAATAAGTACGTTGGTGTGTTGGCTATCTAGGTATACCTCAAGTAGACCGGAAGATAAGAGATTGGGATGCAGGAATGGAAATGGAAGAGTGGTCATGATGGAGCTTTAAGAGATATTGTTTGCGTAACACATACCTGTATGTACTTGGACCATGTAGCTTGCTGTGTTTGGTTCTGTCTGTCCTTTTTGAGGGCAAGAATGCGCAGGAGCGACTGGAAATGCTGGTTTGGAAACTTCCAGTAGGCAATGAATAGACGAAGAGGGAAAAAAAGAGTCCAAGTCCAATGTGCCAAAAAGACGACAACTGCTACTGCCAGCAGTTGAATGAGTGCGATGAAGCGCGTCACGATACCTTGGTGGTGTTGACGCTATCGATAAATCTTGACCCTAGTTGATGCAGGGTCTCATCTTCAAGGAACTTACGTCAACGTTCCCTGGACCCGTTTCTTAGCAGTATTGGGAATTCCGGAGGTCGTTGCGTTAGCGAGTTGCTGGTAGGTGATCCACAAGTCGTGAGTTGAGAAATGCGCAAAGTGATAGCAATAATACACCTATGCCTGTTTCAGCGGTTTGATGGTAGGTAATAGTAAGAACAAACAAAGAGCTGCTGGGAAAGTAGATGCGGGCGAGCGAAAAGAGTGAATCACAATTCCTACTAGCAGCCCAGTTGACTAGTAGCCAGTACTTGGCGTTCAGCTGCCATGGATTTGGGACCAGGGACCAGGTTATGAAAGACTTCCTCCACATTCGTCATGCTTCTATCTACGGCTTAGTTAAGGTAGGTAGGCAGATGAGCCGGCGTTCCGATAGGCTCCGAGGTCCAATATGACCGCGGGGCAACGTGAGTGGCCTGACTACAGTACATACATTGACCACCTTGTCGTACCCAGTAGGCACATGTGCACCGCCACTTTTATCGTTTACGTTACTTTTGTCTCGGAATGGTATGATGAATGGCAATTCTTCTACCTGGGGGAAATCATACGGCCAGGTAATGAAGAGAATGTGGCGCAACCACTTTCTAGCCATGTCAATGTTCTGCCGTGGGAGTTGAAACACTCCTTGGTCCTTCCTTTATACTACGTACTTCTTGTGTATGGGAAATCCAGATATACTGAATTTAGCAAAACAACCACTGGCATTAGCAAGGTTTTAAATCGCAGTCGATCAGAGACACTAAAGTCAGTCGCAGAGAGAGAGAAAGAAGCCACGAGTTTATACATGGATACAATAAATGGGCGCCCATGCGAAGATCCAGCCAAGCAATGAAAACAATATTATATATATATACCATAGATTGATACTAGAGCGTGGATTGTTCAGAAAAAGCCGCCACCTTTAAACGCCATTAAAAGCACAAGCCAAACCAGCCCGTCGCTTCACGGAAGTGCTTTTTCCCCCCCTATCATCTCCTCCGTCCCCTGAAGAGAATACCCCCAACGACACCCGCGGCAATGGCGACGCCCGAGATGATCGCAACACCCATAAGTCCTTCCTTGGCGACCTTGTCGTCGATTAGTCGCCTCAAGTCCGCCGCTTGCATGTTCATGGGCTCCTTGTCGAGAAGTAAGTCGTTGTACCGCCTGGCGTCGGCATAGTTGCCCAGCTTGTAGTTGCCCAGAGCCAAGTAGTATAGACATTCGCGACGACGCTCGGGCGAGACCCGGAAGATCTCGGAGAGCAGGCGCACACCAGTTTGCTGGTCATTTCGGGAGTTGGATTTCACAAGGCCCTGTTGAGCGAGAGAGAAAACATGTCAGTCTGGGTATTTGAGCCCAATAAGGGAGGCGATGAGTGGTAGGCCTCCAACAGGCACAAGAAGAATCGAATAGGCTCGCAACGACATACCCATGCATAGTTGAATTTTGTCTGCACACCGACCATATCACCTTCCTTCTCGTACTGGTTCCTCAGAACCTGCAGTTCCGAAGGTTTAAGTGGCGTTTCCGCATCGACAGCATCTGGGACCAAGAATCATTAGCAGCTTGTGCTGGCACGAATCCTCGAGTTGCATCGAACAGAAAGTAAAGACTCACGAGGAAGGGCTGTCATTGTGGCGGTTGCGCGCAGCAGTCGTTGAATACAAACCAAGTGAGCAAGTATATCCAGAAGAAATCTGCTCTACACTTTTTCTTTTCTTGTCTGGTTTTTGTTCGAGGTGCGTGTTCGGGTAGTGTCGCTTGCAAATGTCAAGTCTATCAGTCAGGTCTTGGGAAATGTGGCGGAAGCTTTCCAAGCTCGGCTGGTCGCATGCAATGGCCTTGGGCGGCCTTTGGTGGTTCCCCAAGTGGGTATGACGCAGCCTTGACGCGAATCAGGCCGCCTGGACTAGCCGCGATAAGCATCGATTGTTGGCCCTGGTGATGGAGAATCGCTCTGTTTTGCCTTTTGCCTCTTTCAGACTAGTGGCGCGCGAGGTGCTTCTCGAACTTTTGAGACTCTTGTGCGACGACCGACACTGCAGGTTAATCAGATAATCTCTGTTTTGCGATAACGAACAAGAACTCTCAATCACGAAATCAATCTCACACTCACGAGAACACGCCATTTGTGTGGCCATCATAACCACACCTTGATACCACTTTCAATCAGTACTAAAATCGGCAATTATAACAGAATGATTCTCGAGGAAGATCCCGCAGCCGTATGCCCCCTCATCCGACCTGTCCCCCTCCCTGGCTTCGATCTGCTAACATTGCCATCAGCTCATCCGGCACACCATAGCCAACTTTAACACACAGCCAGACCGAGCTGCCATATCGCGCGTGCATGACTCCATCAGCACCCTGCAGTCGGCGCGCGATTTGCGTGTCAACGAGGCGAGCTCGCAGCTCAAGAAGCTGACGCGCGCGCTCTCGACACTCAACTCGCAGCACGAGGAGCTCGTGTCGCAGCACTCGTCCACCGCCCACGCCTCCGAAATCGCCCGCCTCGATACCCAGAAATTCCGCATCGCCAAGGCCTGCTCCGACCTGGAGATGGAGGAGGAGCGCCTCGCGTCAACGGCCGCCGACCTGGCCGCGCGGCTCGCAGAGCTCGAATCCCAGGGAGTCGAGGGCGACGCTGCCGAGAACGCCCGGAGGAGGGACCCAGTAGACGACGAGGTGCTCCTCCGACTCAAGGTGTACCGGAGCCTGGGCATTGAGATTGAGCGGGACGGCAAGGACGGCGAGTTTGCACGCGCCGTTATTAGGAATGATCGCAAGGGCGATGTGCACGTTGTCAACATTGACAAGAACTTTTCACGCTTCTTCTACGCCAACTACTTTTGGAATACACTATAGTGCAGCGCAGGCGAGGTTGCATTCAGGCAGTCTCGAGCGATGAGGAGGGCCGACGAACTCTACGAGGATGACGATTCATTGGGCTGGCGTTTGGAGTTTTCACAGGTGATCGATACCAAGCAACTTCACCTTGCATTTTATTTGAATTGAAAATGCTTCTTCCACCACTTCAGTCATTTTTGGCAATATTTTCTTTTTTTCAAACCAGAACCAAGTCTCGATACTATCTAAAGCTAAATACCAACCATATCCACCGCGATTAACCGCCACAGTTCAACAAGTTTCACAGTGAACAAGCATATTGGGACACAATTGTGTTTAAAAATTGAATCTATAGGTATTATTTCCCCACTTTAAAACACCACTGTAAATGCAAAGAGTTACCGCTCATTCCATGTTAGGTGAATCTGACCACAAGTCACTGCGAGTCCATTCCAATCAGTGGTCTTGATATCCCTTCATTATCATTAAATTCTCATCCGGCCATTTGAGCCCAATCATTCCTCCTCGTCGGCGCTGACAGCGAACTTGCTCATACTCCGTAATCGCGCGCCGATAAAGTACAGCACCCAGATGCCAATGATGCCAATGATGCTCAGGCCCGCAAGCAATGTGGTACCGCGAGCGACACCGAGGTGGGCAAACATGGGCTTGGCAAAAAGAATACTGGCAAACGCCAACGCGCTCCGGAAGAAGTCGTTGCCGGCAAAAAGACTGGCGGCGTACTGGGGATACGACAGGGGAACATAGACAAAGATACATTGCATAATGACAAATACTGTGGCTCCATACACGGTGATGCCTACGGTGGGCGCCAGCCAGTGCACGTCGGGCCGCGCCGTCCACGCAAAGATGAACAGGCCGACCGTGGGGCCAAAGGCTGCCAGGAGCGCGGGAGTGAGACGCGACTCCTGCACAGGGAATCCGTGCGCGGCGATTCGGGGGTTGAGGTAAAAGTACAAGTACGCGATGTAAATGGCGACACCAATCAGACAGGCGACAAGGATGCAGAGGAAGACGAGGCCGATTTGTCCGGGTCCCATGCCATAGTACACGGGGTAGACGAGGGGAAAGACCTCGAAAAAGGAGTAGTAGATGCCGTAGATGATGGCACTATAGACCTGGACAAAGAGGATGGCCGGGTCCTTGATGGTAATCTCCAGGGGCTTGATCAGTGCGTCGATGAGCACGGCGCGCTTGTCGAGGTTACGCTGCTCAATCTCGGACTGGGACATGAAGCGCGCGTCGCCAGTGATCTTGCGGAGGCGCTGGGCGCGCTGCCGCAGCAGCGTCGGTGTCGAGGTCTCGGGCAGGAACAAAAACATGGCCAGGAAAACGGGGACCGAGGCCCAGAGAACCTCGAGCAGCGACCACCGCCAGCCCATGACGGGCACCGAGAAGCCCGAGAGCAAAGGGCCGAGGGCCGGGCCGCAATAAGCGGCCGAGACCCAAGCAATCAGAGCATAGGGAACCGCCATCATCGAGTACATGTCAGCCAGCGACGCCGCACCGTTGGCCAGGCACGGCGAGCCAAAGAGGCCCTGCAGGAAGCGCAGGACCATGAGGCCCGGGTAGTTGGTCGCCACGGCCGCGGGGATGGACACAATGACAAAGAGGAACATGGTCCACGTGTACACTGGGTTGCGTCCGACAGAAGGCAGCTCGCTCAAGGGCGAAAAGAGCAAGGGGCCGATTCCGTAGCCGAGAACAAAGAGGGCGAGGCCCAAGGCGGCCTGGGTGTCGTTGACGCCAAACTCGGCCATGACGCCGGACTCGGAGGTTGTGTAAATGGCTGATGAGGTGTAGACGACAAATGTGTAAATACAGATGAGGACTGTCACCATGGCCCGACGGAGATTAGTCCAATTGTGTGGATTCTCTGGATCATCCGTGTAATACCAGTCGACCAAAATGGCGCCATCTTTTGTCTTTTTGGGAACAATCGGTATGCTCTGAGTCTTTTCGAGCTTGAGTTCCTGTTCATCATTGCCATTATTTTCGGGGTCGGGTTGGTTCCGCGTCGACGATAATACTGCGGGCTGGGGAGGGTTGATAGTATCGGTATTGTGCGTCTGTGTGTCGTTTTCATCGTCGTCTTGCCTCGTGGAGGACGAAGAAGAGGAAGTAGTGGTTTCGGATGTGGAATCTGGAGCTGCGTATTTCGATTCGTTGTTCATGAGCTTTTTCCATGGCTCGGGTAGGGCAAAGTCTGGCTGCTCTTCTGCGTATCGGAGAACACGATTTCTGGTGATGAGACGGACCAGCTGCCCAATGGGGGCGTCTCGAATTATATTGGACATTGTTGGACAAGTTTATGTATGAAGCCAATGGAGATTTTGCACAGGAACTTTTGCTATATTGTTGATATCAAGTGTGTGTATAGAGGTGCTTGTTTGTGCCAATGTCCCTGGTTCAATGTGTTGTGCAGATCCAATTTGATATCCCCGGCACTGGCAGCAAGAACGGCGCCTTATATGAACACGATCGTATACCCATCACCCTGAATTACATATACTAGTGATATATCTTGCATTCTCAATTGGTAATGGTGATAGCTAGTCCAAGCTGACGGAAGCAAATAGAAAATCTTCATGTTTCACAAGCGAAAGAGTCATACCGCAAGAATAGCGTGGAGCTAATACATTTTGATTCCATAAGAGTGTAGGTGCTGCTGGTAATAGAGTATGGCGTCTTTAGTCGAAATACAGCATTCGGAGGAACTCAAAGTGGACGGTGAGTGCAACGGGGCTTGGCATTGGTGACGGAATGGAAAGGCTGAAAGATAATCACTGTTGGTAAAAGACTTTCTGTTGGCTCCAAGACTTGTATGTGGTGCAAAGTATTGCACTATCTGTTCTTACTAGGCAGTGCATTAGTCAGTATAGTTGATGTCACTGCATTTGTAATCCCCCCCCTCCCCAACCCATGTGAGACGGCGGGCACTATAGCCAAGGTAGTAAGTAGGGAGGCATGGATTTTAGGTCCCCTATATCCAGGGGAGCTATGGATTTATCAGCGGTTAAGTCCAGCCTTGGAAAACCTGACATGATTGGACCAACACTAAAGAAAAATTTGGTTGTCGTTTACGGAATTTGCGATCGCATCATCATCATCATGGCTTGGCATGCTTCTTCTAGCACGTATCTAGAAGTACCAAGTTTGGAATCTTCGAAATCATGCTCCCATCTTTGTAATCTGATCCTGCTTGTGAGTGAATTGATTGGACCAAAGTCACCAGCTAGAAAAAAACGTCAATATTCTTGCAGTGAGACAAGATTGCACCTATATTGACAATATGATCAAGTTTGGAGCATGTCTTTCACTAAAGTTGCATGACCCGAGTGGCTGGGTAGTTGGCGCCTTGCGTGTCAACCACGAGGAACGTAGGCAAGTCAGCATCTTCACTTGATAGAAATCCACCATTTACATCTGACTGTACTCTGATGGCGTTCAAATTATGTAATATGGGCATTTATACATAGTTCCATGCGCATGTGTCCATACCTGGTCACCATCGCCTTACCTATTCAGGCTCGGCCAGAATCAAGAGGCCTCTGCCGTTTCCTTGGATGATATCTGAGCGGCCTCGATCTGCACATTCTCATGAGTAGCAGGCGCCAGTCCCTGACTTTGGTCCCCTTGACTCATTGTATTCATCAAGACCTCAATATCAGCCTGGTCGATGATCCCTCTCTTCTCGCATTCCTCCATGAGACCTTGGGTCCGATTATCTTTAGCTGATATGGCTCTCCTAAGCAGTGAAAGCGCTGTTGGCCGGCTGATCCACCAGCCACTTGACTCCTCATCGGTCTTGTTAGACACCATCTGCTCCAAGTAACGAAAAGCTGGTTCGTAATTCGTATTCGAAGTGCTAATGAAAATCATGCGGTCAAAGGCTGCTTCGTCAGGAGCAATGGAGAACGCTTCCATCTCCGCGACAAGGAATCGCATGAATTTGGGAACGTCGCAGTGCTGAAGGAGTAAGTTGTAGGTCTCCAGACTGGGCTTTACGGAGCAGATCCGGCCGATGCTGCGATATAAGTCCAAACCAGCCGGAAAACCACGAGTGAGCAAAGTTGCTTCCAGAACAACATTGAAGGCAGCGATTGGAACCTGCATGCTCTTTTTCAAGTCGTGAAGCAACCCAACCGCCTCCTCTGCCAGTTTGGGTGTGGATTGCAACTGGGCCACAACTGAGCGAGTGCTGGACCGATCTGGTACGTGGCCAGCCTTTGACATGAGGCATATAGTGGACAATGCCTGTTGAATTTCTTGATCCGCAGATTGAATTTCAAGCAGAGGCTCAAAATGATGCATTCCAAGTTTCACGCCGCGATCCAATAGTTGCTGGATGACCTGCGTGGCCATATTTGCATCGTTATGCCTCGAGGCGAGATTGAGAACATTGACGGCTGTTCCATCGGATGCAACAGCTTTGCCCTGCATAACCATGCGGTTCCACACGGTCCTGGTACCTTCGTAGAATGAATCCTTGCTAAAGACATCTAGAAGATAGTGCCATAAATTATGTGTAGGGGGTGCGTCAATGCACCTTTCTTTTTGTTGCAGAATCATGAGGGTCTCCTCGTGAGCACCCAAAGCTCCAAAAGTGTAGATGAATATATCGTAGAGCCAATGCGGGATGGGCGCCCCGTTTTTGTACAGGTATTCTAGCGATTCGAGAGCCATCTCGTATTGGCCGTCGCGTATGAGCCCGACGGTGATTGCGACTCGTCCATTAATCGTGGGCGGCTTCCAGATTGCCTCCATCTTGTCTATCGCCCTGTTACGTAAAACATAGTCTGGGTGGACTGCGAGAACCTGTGCTACACGTTAGCCAAGTCCGATTAGAACCCAATGTTTAGAGGCCACTGACTTCGAGGACACTCTGATATGTGGCCGCGGTTGGCAGCACCCGCGTAGACTCCATCTCTTCTAACATGTCACCAACAGCTTCGGCAGACCCAAATTCAGGGTCACAGTTCGCTTGGATAAGACAGTTGTATAAGAAAACATCGGCCTTTTTATTGCGATTGGTTACCAGGTAGCGAACGGTATTGCAAATGCCATGGTACTGGCCCTGGGATTCGCATAGCTCCCGAAGTCCTTCGACGATCGCATCGGTGCTGGCACCGTGCAACTCTTCATCGGATGAGCCCTGGTCGGTGAAGAACGAGCGAGGTAGAGTGGGATGTCGTTTCCATTTGCGGTGGACATAGCGCTTATCGCTCACCTTCGCCGCGGTCTTCGTATGCGGTGGCGCCCGTTTCGATATATGTTTCCATACTCGGGCTGAATGCCGCTCGGCCTGACGCCCATGATGTGGCCATTGAATGGCTGGGGAAGTCGTTGTGGCATTGAGTTGCGGTTGTGTCTCAACCGCTGCAGTGCTTGCGCTCCTGCTCGTGATCGCTGTCGGTTGGCGCCGAGAAACGGCGGGTCGTCGCAGTGTCTGATAGAAAGCTGCAGCATCTACTGATGGACACAGGCAGCGCCAGAGGCCATCTATAACGATGCGCCCTGGTTTCATGGCATTGGACTGGTTGTCGCAGGCACCAAGTGTGTCGGCGTCGCGTTGGACTGGGGAAAATCATTGGCCTTTTAGATCGGAGATTGGAAATAGTAGCTTCGATCGTTCCAAGCTGCGATAAGAATCACGTGATATATGCTATACTTTATTGCCAACACAACCTCATCTCTCTTAACGATTGCTCTGCGACGTTAATTCAGGAGAATAATCACATGGTTGGGTGCTTCGCTCATTGTATACAATTTCACGTGGTTTCTAGGATCCGAAGCAGAAAACGCATTGGATGCTCCGACTTGCCGTGTTCCGCACGCATCACGCGTTGAATTGGACCTCATGAGTACAAATTTAACAGTGCATATAATCTGCAATCATGGCCCATGATGCATGTATTCTTTTCTTCAATTGGGTGGTTATAGGATCGTACCCGCTGCTGCGGGCCATGCTAGAAGCCAATCTCGCTGGACAAAGACCCTACATTTCATGGCCTATTCGCGAGAATGTGGAATGCTACTCGATTCCTCGGCTCATAGCTGACATCTTCGGAGCTGCTGAAATGAGCTGTGCTCATACTGGGTTTATGCTGTCCCTGCGCCGTGCAATGGTCCAACTAGCCTGATAGTCTGTCTGGCTTTCAGGATGATGGGTATACCTCGAACCTGTTTGCAGACAGCTCCGCACCAGATTGCCCTAGTATCTCGCCCGCCATTGTAGTATCAAGTGCAGATTTTTGCTTCTCAGGCGCCCCGACCGCGGCCTCTGCCTCTTCCTTGGCCGCGCCCACCGCGTCCGCCCCTTTCGCCGCCACGGCCGCCGTGATCGCCTCTCGAGCCTCCTCGTCCGCCTCTAAAACCGCTTTGTTGTGATTGTTGCTGTTCCTTGGCAATGTCAATAATGTCGTCTGGTACTCGCAAGTATTTAATCTACGGCTACAGTTAGCCAGTCTTCCGACGCAATGCGTGCGCTTTGGCGATTGAGTGCCATACGTTGTTTCCTTTAATGTAGACCTCTGGCAGGCGGACGAACTTGTCACCCTCGGGACTTGTTTGCACCACCTCTTTTAGAGTCAAGTTCATCCATGTATCGCATTGCACCAGATGTCCGTTGAGCGTCTCGCCATTCTTGAGCTCGACCAACATGGGGTGGCCTTGCGCCGCATTCAGAAGGCCTAGGGGTAACTGCGCAAAGCCTCCGTTAGTACAAGTCTGCTGCGTGGGGGATTGTAAAGCATTTCCTCACCATGGTGCCCAATACGCACTACACGTAAAGGAGAATGAGCGTGTGGGTATAAGTGTTGTGTCGTATGCGCTTTGGTTGATGATTGCGAACGACGAGGCTTTCGTAGCTGATGACGGAAGCTCCAATGGTGTTTGGAGGTTTTGGTGGGGCGGTTGGGTGTATTTACTCTGTAGTAGACCCAGTCAAGGCCAGTACTAAAATAAATGCCAGCCTCGTTGCAGATCCTTGGACCTTTTCCGCAGCTGAACAAAATGTGAACAAATTTATGTAAAGTATAATTCTCGGAGCTAAGATAACATGCTGGGTCGGGCCTCGGGGCCTGATAAGATTTTCAATACAACAACAACTAGGCTTGCTGGGCAGTGCTCCTTGCAGTGCTGTTGGCCTGTCATGTCGCCTTCTGCACAGACCAATTTTTGTTTCTTAATTACTCGTCATTCATGAAATAAATGCGACACTAGCCAATTCATTGGGGGCGGGAGTCCCGATCCATAATCCGGCGACCAGTCAGTAGTCTTGACCCCGGCTCGAATGATTTTTCTTGTCATCAAACATTTGCCCTTGCGCTCCGCCCGTCGCCTGCGCAATATTGGCAACATCCATCGTGCACGCCAGCGGCTAGGATATGCGCAACCCAAGTAAAACCAGATGGACCTGGTCCCTCAATACGATGAGGATTTCGGCACTTTTTGCTATCTACAGGATTTGCGCGCGCATGACATGATATCGACCCAGCACCGCGGGTAGTTCCAAGACCTTGGCAAGATCTAACAATCTGATACTGCTGACTAGGTATCTTAGTATTCAAGAGTCGTTGTACGTGTAGCCCTTGATCAACTACACATTGCAACTGGGGGAGAGTTTTTTTTTTTTTTTTTTTGGAAAGGCCCAACAAGTCTTGGTGTAGTGTTGTCGAACCTTTTGGTTGCACGCAACATGTGTGCAATTCATTTGATGGCGATAGAGGCCGAAGCAATGCCTTTACTTCCGAGAAAACCACAATGGATCTCGGGCGTCGCGACATGCTGGCTGCTAGTCTGATTGAATTCAGCGTTGGGTAAAAGGTGATCTACAATATTTTTTCGCGTCCTTACCCGCAGTCCTCGTGGCTCTTATCCCTGGCCAATTCCATACTGGTTAGAGGACTCGTCAGCTCGTGGGCCATGATTGGCTCAGCAGCCATGGACCCTGGTCCACACAGGAGATGGGCTTGCGCAGCCTCAAGAGGCGTCCCGCAGTGACAAGTCCTTGATCTGCTGCACCTTTCGCACGTCTTGTCTCGGTCTCGTCTGTGGTCTTATGTTCCTCGTTCGCTCTACATTAGGCATCCATTCTTGTCCTTCCTTTCGTTTCGTTTTTTTCCCATTGCGCAGCTCCCATACCGTCGTCCAAACGGGGAGTAATTGATTTTCCATTACATCGCCACACTAACTGATCTTTCGACCACATCTTTACTACCGAACAGCAGACCCCCCCGGTTCTTGGCTGCCTACGGACCATGCGCGGGCTGCTCACGGCCGCCGCGCTTTTGGCGCCGGCTCTGGCCAGCGGCCGTACCCTTAAGCGAGACGAGGAGGCACCTTCGGCCTTCATCCGTCTTGATGTTCCTCACGCCGAGGATGATTCCGTCAAGCTCCAGACAACGCTACGATTGAGCGTTCTTGAATCCGAGGAATCTTGTGGCCACGGAAATGTTTTGCTTAATGGCCAGGCTCTTTCCCAGGACGCCGATGGCCTCGGCTCTGGCTCCATCTCCACGGAGCAGGGTAGCCTCCTGATTGCCAACTGGAAGTTTGCCTGTGTCGACCTCGACGACGTGCACAAGGAACAGACCTTGGCCGTGCACGTCGATTTTGTCGATGGCAAGGAGGTCAATGACCTGGGTTTCACTGTCCAATTCCAGCAGAAGGGACAGGTCTGGGTTACGTACATTGAGGGAGCGGATTCCATCATCACCGCACCCAAGCTCGACTTCTTCCCCGAGGAGTCCCAAGGTCCCGAGTTCAACCCCGAGCTGGAGGCTGAACTTTCCGAGTTGGAGTTTATGAAGATGCAGCTTGTCGAACTTGAGCAGGCCGTTTTCATGAAGGAGCTGTTCTTGGCAGAGGCCTTTGGTTTCCATGGAAGCAAGGGTTCAAAGTTGTCCGACTGTGACAACCTCAAGTGCATTGCCAAGTCCATGTACGACAGCGTCAAGGGCGTCGCCAGCAAGTTCTACGGGCATGGCATGGGTGAAGACGGCTTGTTTGGCGGCCCTCCTGGTGGTCACCATCGTGGCGGCCACCACATGGGCCCTCACGGTGGTAAGCCTGGAAAGCCTGGCAAGCACCACGGTTTCCCCGGCTTCCGCTTCCCTCACCATGGCAATGAGACTCATGGCAACCACACAATGCCGCCTCCGCCCCATGGCAAGCCCGATTTCCCGCCTCCGTTCTGCCACTGCCCGCCGCCGCCTCCGCCCCCTCCGCCCCATGGACACCATGGCCCTCCTCCTCCTGATGGGCCCGATGGACCTCCACACCACTTCCCCCAGGGACACCACGGCCCTCCCCACGATGGCCCTCACCACGGTCCTGGCAAAGGAGACAAGTCCCCAGAAAGGGGTCCCACTGGCGAACCTCACGATGGAGAGGACCGCCCAGCCCCTGGTCACCACCACCAGGGCCCGCCTCCTCCCCCTCCTCCTCCGCCCTTTGATTTCGAGGATCATCCCGGCCACCCTAACGGTGACTTCCCACCACCTCCTCCTCCCCCCTCCTCCCTTCCATGGACCAGAGGGCCACCCCGGTGACGATATGCCACCTCCCCCACCTCCCCCTCCATTCGGACACCACGAAGACGGACCTGATGGCGACTTCCCCCCGCCGCCCCCACCACACGATCACCACGAAGACGGCCCCGGCGGACCTCCTCCCCCGCCTTTCGAAGATGGACCCGAAGGCCCTGAGCATCCTCTGGCAGCCGCCGAAGGAGATATGCCACCCCCACCGCCAGAAGGTCCCCATGGTCACGGTGGCCCGCACCACCATGGACCCCCGCCGCCGCCCTTCTCTCTCCACCACGCAATGCCTGCCATCCGTATCGGCGCAATCGTCATCACCCTAGGACTTCTCTTTGCTGCTCTGCACACTCGCTGCTTTACTGTCCGTCGTGGGGACCGTCGTAGCTCCTGCATGTCCCGTCGCCGTGATTACGGTGCCAGGCGCACAGGATTCGCCGGCCTCATTGACCGTGCGAGAATTGCCATGGGCTACACTGATGGCGATGATGCCGAGAAGGAAGCCATGATGCGCCATGTCGGAGAGGAGGACAGCGACTCGGATGCCATGTCGACCACCATGGAACAGGACATTGAACAATTCAGAAATGCTGCCGACGTCGTCAGTGACATGGTTGCCGCTGAAGAGGGCCGTTCTGCCCAACGCGAGATGGTTCAATACTCATCAATCCCTCCCCCAAGCCCTCACGCTACTTTTGCAGACTACATGGCTGCTGACGAGGCACTTCCCACCTACGACGAAGCCGGATCTAGTGATGAGACATATGTCGCGGATGGTATGAGGTTCACTGAGAGCAGCACATATGCTCCGAGTGTGAGCTCGACCAACAGTTCATTGGATGAGAACCTGGGTCGCAAGGCATAATTATTAAACGTAGAAGGCACTTTTTATTACTAGAAAGTCGATAGCGAGTCGCGGCCTAGTACATACTATCATTTATATCTTCAATATTTCCTTGTATAAATTCTCTTGTATTAGTAACTGTCTTTGAGACAATCATTTCCTCAAGGCTTAATGTGATTTGTTTTATTGTGGTAGACTTACCGCCTCTCGTGCCATCTTCATCCGATTCGATCTTTTTCTTGTGGGTTGTCTTTACGAATTGTTTCTCCCCTGCTTTTTCGTGATGTGCGTATTGAACCACTGAGGGCATTCATGGTAGGATATTTGACATGTCTTTGAAGAACCAGCAACGTTTAAACTTCTGGTCAGTCTGAATCAAGGATTGCAGCAGGGAAGAGGTCATATATCAAGACCATGGTGTTTTCCCTGTGGTCAAAGACCGAGGCCAGTTATGTTTTCATCCGTGATGCCAGGCACCAACTCTTTTCTTTTTCTCGGAAAAGTCAAAGAAAACCTTTAGTTATAAATCTGTCCTGGAATTCAGTAGCAAAAGATTTCTCAGGGAGCTTTCAAATAGTTACTACTGTTTTCAGATTTCCAAAGTCGTCTTTCATTATTTGGATAAAGTCATCTTATTTGAACATAGATTAGCTTGAGCCATTATCTGTATGGTCACTCGTTTTGCAACGGACGGCATTCTTTTCTGGTTCGATGTGTGAATTGATTTAATACGACAGAAAAGAGAAGAAAATATAATAAAATCAAAAATTAAAATCAAAACAGGACAAGACAGGAAAAAAAAAATAACAACCGCAAACAGGCAAAAAAGAAAAACAAGAGAGAAACAGGAGAACAAGACAGAAAAACAAAACAGACACAGAACCACAAAACCATTGCCCGCTACTCCTCTATATCCTCCATCTCCACATCTTCCTGCTCCTCGCCCTCCTCGCCCTCTTCCTCGTCATCTTCGTCGTCGTCATCGTCGTCCTCCTCCTCGTCACTGGACTCGACAGGCACAGAGTACCCTGCAGCCCTGTCGCCAATCGTCATCTGGTTGATCTCGTCGACGAATGCTGCATCTCCTGCCATTTCAATGGCTGCCTCGAACCTGGCGTTCTCGGTGGCCTCTTCGGCCTCTTGCTCCTCGACGCTTTCGTTGATTGCGTCCATGGCCTCGAGCATGCTGCCTTGCTCGAGGCCCTCGGGCTGGTCGTGGCTCGGCTCGAAGTCTTCGAGCTCGTGCTCCTTTGCCGGGTCTCGGTATTCGCCCATGTGCAGTTTGATGCCGTCCGGCATCCAGGAATCGCGGTGCTCCTCCATGAAGTTGAGGAGCTTGTCAGCCGTATGAACAAAGGTCATTTGATTCTTCTTGAAGTTGAGGTTCAAGTCCTGGAGGGGGTTGTTGGTGGCGCGTTTGCGCGCGGACATGACCTCCCAAGCGAACCAGAACAAGTGGTCGGGAGTGACGAGCTTCTGTCGTCGAAGCCAGGAAACTTCGGAGAAGACGCGCTTGCTGAGGCTATCCTAATTGCCCCAGTGATCGCCGTCCTTCCAGTCCTCGTACAGGCGATGCCTTCGGGCGTACAGCTTGGTGAAAAGCTCCTTCATGCGCCTGTCGATGGGGGCACCTGAGTGAATTGTTATGCCCTCGCATAGAGCGTCGCGGACCTTGATGTCGTCCTTTCGATCCTCCATGATCGGGCCGCGTCAAAAAATGAGGCCCTCGAGATTGAAGATTTGCTTGAGCGGCTTGAGCGGCGCTCGATTCTGGCGTTGGTGGTTGTGGGCAGCGGAATGCACACCCTGCTGGCTAGCCTTTTGCTTACGACAGCGAACCATTTTGCTAAAGAAAACTTGCATTCAATTAAAGATCAGATAGAAAAAGATGGAGAGAAATAATTGAAAGAAGATTAAGAGAGAAAAGGAAGACATACCGTGCAATAGAGCTTTTGCTTTGTTTATGTGATGCTGCGCAAAAATGGCACTTGATGAATCTAATGGAAGCCGAGGAAAGAAAGAAAGGAAGGGAAGAAATATTCAGGTGTCTGATCGTGAAGATGGAATAAATAGGACTGGCTAGTCCAGTTCATCCCAGCCTCCAGCCGGCCAATGAGAGGCTGCTTGATCAGGTATGCGCGGCTACGCTGTTTGTTTGCAAGTGGCCCACCTGGCTGATGGGAAGGCTTTATAGACCTGAAGACATCAAGGTGGCTGGTGTATAAGTCCTGGGAGTCCGTTTGTACGGTACTTAGTGTCAGATAATCTGAAGAGTTTCTAACAATCAGACAACTGGCTTCCATCTTCTGGCAAGATGGCATAGTGGTCCGGCTGGCACCCCTTCCTGCCTTTAATGGCAACAGTCTATCAGTTCCTGGTACGTTGGGTTGGTCAATCCTAGCTGTTGATCCTAAAGAAGATGGGCTCGAATCCCTAAGTCAGTTCCCTTCTCTCTTTTTGCCCTTTAAATCTATATGAAATTCTTTTTATTGAATTCTCTATTTAATTCTTGCGTGTGATATTGTTTTTATTGAATGAATCAAAATGTAAATCCAAGTTTATGTTCGTGGTTGATGTCCCAAAGATCTGGGTTCGATTCCGGACAACGCCACACTTTTTTTTAAGTTCTTTATTGTTCTTTGCCACGGCCATCGCAGTCTCTCTCGCTACTAATACATTTCTCAATCGCCATCTATGTTTCGAATATGACATGGTTATATTCGATTGCAACTCGACCAATGCCTATTTGTTCCTTGTTTTTTTCTGTCTTTCTTTTCTTTGTGCGATTTGAAGTCAGGAACATTGCTATTTGGTGACAACGATACGACAATGACCTTGGGACAAATGAGCTTGAAGAGTACACAGCATTAATGTCAACGTAATGGAATACCTAGACACTACTTGATATCGTTGACAAACACTATCCACGCATTTTTGCCTGTAACAATAGTAGAACAGCAAAATGATACTTCTGATGTGGACGACAAGCTTGAAGGATGCTTTTGCGAGACTCCAGACGCCATAATCCATGCACGAACCAACCATTATTTTTGTGTGTTTGACTATGAATTATTCCTCCTCATCCGTCTCGCCACCCTCATCCTGTATAATTTGCTCCAAGACAGAACCGCGCTCCCTACCACTGTTTCTCTTGGCTCGCTTGTAAGCCTCTGTCTCGGTGACTGCTTTCAATCCAACAAAATGCTTTCCGGACCAAGCCTTGTCGCACTTTGGGCATGTATTGTCCCTCCTCGTCCGCCAGAATGCGTCCTCGCAGATGTCGTGTATCCGCACGTTGCAATCCCGCTCGGCACACCTCTGGCCAACCGTGACGATCTCCTTACAGGCTTCACAGAACTTGATCCTCTGCCACTCGTCGGGGCCCAGGTCGGGGTCGTTGTAGGTATCGACGAGCCATGCCCGTAGCTCCAGTAGCGCGCGGGTACTGAGACTGTAGTAGCCCTCCCTGCTCTTCTCGAACCAGCCCTCGTCCACCATGGCGGCCAGCATGCTGGCGACTTCGGAACTCTTGATACTCTTGATGCCGCCCTGGCCCGCCTGCGTCTGGACCACGCTGTCGTCTGCTATACTTTCATCGCCGTCCGCCTTAGGAGCGTGCCGAAGCTTGTTGGCCTGCATCGAGTCTACGCACATGACCTCCATGCGGCGGGTGTTGTGCTTTTCAAACATGCCGTCAATGACTCTCTTGACAAAGGCGATTTCGTCCGCGCTGTGAAGTGTTGCCAGTTGGGTCATGGGATCCGAGGTGGTATTGACGAGAGCGTAGACACGGTCCTTGCGAACTTGGTGCATGGCATTTCTGACCTCGTAGTCAAAGTGTGATACTACCTCCTGTGCGGCGCCGATGTAGGCAGCAAATTCTTCCTGAGTCACCGAATTGGGATCGACTCTTTGCCGGTCGCCGTCGTCATCTTGTTGTGCTGTCTTGATGGCGGCAATGATGGGCTTGGCTTCGTGATAAGTGATGCTGCCGCGAGCCATCAGGGCTTGGAGGAAGGCTCTGTTGCCATCATTATAGCCTTGAGGTACCAGGTCGTCCATTTTTGGTTTTAATCACCCTGGTCACCGATTGTAGTATAATACTGCCGCGATATACTGGCAAAGTAACTGGGTATGAGGTCGAGGAGCTGGGGTCTTCTATCATGTGACTATTTGCGTTGACTTGGGTTGAGGCGGGAGACGCGTCCAAACGTTTATGAGAGACGCGTAAATGGAAATTTTAGCACAAATACAGCATAAATACGCATAACTAAAGTGCGTGCATGTCGCTCAGTTAGTTCAGTGTATCCGCTATGGCGGGGAACCACCGGATCGCGTAAGCCGGCGCTAACTGCCGGAACTAGCCGGGATCTAGCATACGGCCAAGTCAGTGCCACAGAACCTGACCCCGCTATATCTGGCCCAAGCTCGCGCCACCTGTGGCAGTGCGGCCTCCTAGAGCCCATCGAGCCTATGACGCTGCCCCGTGGACTTTGCCCATGTGAGCTGTGAAACAAGCTCCAGAGTCTAGAACAGGGAATCTGGGCAGGCGAAAGGCCTCCCAAGCAATACCGCCACAACTGGCCGGCGCAGGTAGGTAGCTGGACTACTCCCTTTTTTGCCTTTTCAGCCTTGAAAATAAAACTTGAGACATTGCCTCTGTGACTTGCAATTCTCTTATTTCAACTTCTCTTCCTTGATAACCCACCCTTGACCTTTTTCTTAATCACTTCAATCCTCATTGCCTGTTGTGACTTGACCTATACACATACACCTACCTGAAGGCCTCTTCACAAGAAGGCGACGGTTACCGCCACAATGCTCGAATATTTTACCTACAAGAAGGTCAAGAAGAGCCGCAATGAAAAAGCAGAACGAGAGCGTCTCGAAAGGGAGGCCAGAGAAGCCAAATCGCCGACTTCGCCTCTGAAATCCCCCACCTCTCCCATCATTGTCTCGAAGCCGCCCGCAGAGGATCCTCCCCTTGGTGATCCCTTGCTCGACCAGGAAGATGAAAGATTCCTGGAGCGGATGGTGTCGCCGGATGCCAAGTACGACGATGACGATGACGTCGAGTCACGACCGCCTCTGCCTCCCAGAATTCCCACGCCCGTCATGACCTGGGACAGCGACAGCGAGAGCTTCACCACCCCGGCGGGCAAAGGAAAGGGCAAGGAGATTGACACTCTGGACACGGCGCCCAAACCCGGCAACAAGCGCTTCTCCGTCATCACCAACATTGGCCGCTCCATCTCTATGCGCAGGAAGCCTACCGAGAAGAGCGGCCTACAACCACCCCACCTACAAGATCCCGCACGCGAGGTCGTGCGCGAGGTTACCGACATCAACAAGGTCCTGGACGACCTCAACCTGTCGGCCCAGAACAACAAGGTCTTTTCGCTCTCGGCCGAGTCCACCGAGATGGTCCGCAAGTTCAACCTCGTGCTAAAGGACATAGTCAATGGCGCGCCCACGGCGTATCAAGATCTGGTCAACCTGATTGAAGACCGGGACGGCATCCTGGCCAAGAACTACGAGAAGCTGCCCAAGTCCCTGCAAAAGCTCGTCACCCAGCTGCCCACCAAGCTCTCGTCTACGCTGGCGCCCGAACTCCTCGCGGTCGCCGCCGAGGCGCAGGGCCTCAACAAGGCCGACGCCGCCGCCCAGGGCGGTCTCAAGGGCGCAGCCAAGTCCTTCCTGACGCCCAAGAGCCTGCAAGACCTGGTGACCAAGCCGGGCGCCGTGGCAGGCTTGCTCAAGAGCATTGTCAATGTGCTCAAGACGAGGTGGCCGGCCTTCATGGGCACCAATGTACTGTGGAGCATTTCGCTGTTCTTGCTCCTCTCGGTCCTCTGGTACTGCCATAAGCGCGGCCGTGAGGTCCGGCTGGAGAAGGAGGCCGCGGAGCAGGACGATCCTCTTCATGGCGTCGACCGTGTCGAGGAACTCCCTGATGACCCTCAGCTGCTGCCGGGACCCAGCAATGTCTCGAGCAGCAGTCAGCCTACCAGACAAAAATCTGGTAGATCATCGCCTGCATCCCATGAACTTAAGAAGAAGAACAAGAAATGATGACGAGACGACGGAAGTGATGATACCCCCCTAATGACATTACATAATGACTTGACAAGACTCAAATGCTCACAGTTTGGATTCGGGATTGCAATGGACGGACATGGATAGAGAGTTTCACAGGTTTTGCCCCATAATCATCAATATAGTCCTCAATGATGCAGCAATGCTTCTTTTCCTTCCGCTTGATGAACCTCGTGTAAGAATGACAATTGTAAATGCCGTAATGTTTCGTTAATTCATTTATTAATGTGCAAGTAATTGAGGCATGCCCTTGTCCTCATTACTTTGCCATGCTGCAGTTTATACACTAATACTCTGCAAATTGTAGGCTGTATCTGCAAAGCAAGACCTGTGCTCCAAGAGTTGCTTGATCTCACCATCCTTGGCGCTCCCAGAGTCACGGGGAAAAGCGGATGAAGGCCACCATCTAGTCGTCCTGAACCAGCTCCTTAATCTCTTCTCTGCCAGGAGCAATTCCAACACTAACATCGGCTTTCTCATCACGTCCGCCCGTGCGGTCGATCACCCTCGCGCCATCTTGCATCCAGAAGTCGACTTCGTCCACAATGTCGGCCACGATATCCTCGGCTATCTGCTCAATGTACCTCTCCGAGAGAGGTTTAAGGTCCCCTTGAGGTGTCGGCTCGCCATCTGCAGGAGCCGTAGTTGTCGCTACCACGTCTACAGAGTCATTCGTCATCTCCACGTCTTCGCTGTGTTGTGTCGTGATTGGCTCTGTGGTAAGTTTACCATAGCCCGGGGGCGGATACCAAAAGTCGGGCCCAAAGTTCACTTCGGCAGCACCTCCCCTGAAAACACTAATGGCGGGATAGTAGCCAAGCATGCCATCGTCGAGGCCTTCCCGTGCACCGACCTGCGCCTGTGGTTTTGATGCCGGTGGTAGGAAGGCCAAGAGATCTGTGAATGGTGTGCCCATTAGCACACCGTTCTTATAAACTTTGATGCATGACTTTGGTAGCGTGCGCAGTGCCGGCACAGGATGTACTGGATTCGGCCCGTCCGAGTTATGGGCCGAGCCAGATGCGCCGACAGGTGACGGATTCATGAGGTCCTCCAACTCCTTGGTGGTGTGGTAGTCAATCTTTTCAAAGTAAATATGCGCCTTGAAACGGATTGGTATGCGGTCGCGCACGATGTTGGGCCCCTCTGCCGTGGGGATTTCATCATCCGTAATGTCCACTGCAGGATTGTAGTGTCCTTGAACGACCTTGCGATGTAGCTGCTCCGAGGGCAGCTGTATCTCGAGTCCTATTACGTCGCCCTCTGCCATGTCCTCACCGGGTGGGAAAAAGTCTTTGGGCCGTGACATGTGCACTTTTTGGCCCTGCACATCGCGGATTCCGTAGCTGTATGCGTCAAAGCCGACGGGCGCATCAAGGGAGGCTTCTCGTCTGGCGAACCCAAGGCGCACATGGCCATGCGACTCAACCTTGGCTCCGTCTTCCCTCTTTAGTGTGCCTCTAGTAATCCTGCACTCCCAGTACCATCTGCCTTGCCGTACGGCCACATTTGCTCTGGCCATGCGAAAACCCTTGTCTGTTGTAATATGTCGACCCGACTGATCAAAAAACATGTGGGTGGCCGCATCCTCGAAGCTCATGTGCGCCCCGTGGGGTTCCGGCTCGGTTTGGCGATAGTAAAAGGAAGATGGGAAGGCAGGGTCGGCTATACAGTGTAGGTAGTGGAAGTTCTTTTTATTGTAGACACTATTTACGTGTTAGATCAGGTATGCGACGTGACGGAGGCTTAATTGCGACTCACTGTTCCGAGGTCTCATGGAATGCGACAGTCGAGCCATGAAGTGCGGTCACATCGTGGTGATGGGTAAACAATGGACCACGAGCCGGTTCAAAGTCTCCAGGTTTCGGAGGCGCCAGCTTATAGCGCATCGGAGAAGACTCATTGGCGGGTGGCTCCTTGTTGTTCTTGCCCTTTGGCTCGGGTGTAGCTCTCGAGCTGCCGGGCTCAGCGATGGTAACACCCTTGGACTCTCTCTTCTTCAACGACTCCTTTTTCGTGCGCTTTTCCCTCGACATGGCTGGGGTGTCATCATGCGATTGCGTCTTGTTCAATTTTGGTTCTGGGTTTGGGTTCAATGGCGAGGATACCGCAGGCACATGGTCGTCTTCCAGTGCGCGTTTCTGTGGCAGCGAAGTGGCTGGAGTGTTGGCCTGGATACTGACTGGGGGATTGGGAGTAGTCGATTCTCCCTGAGGGGAATCGGCTTCAGTCGCCATTGTATCGTTATTCAGAATGACCCAAAACAATCAAAAAACATAAAAAGAGGCTGCTCGGATAAATCTGTAGAATAAAGAGAAATTGGACAGTCCGTCCGTACAAGGCGGTAGTAGGTTGCGGAAAGATCAAGCTGCTTGGAGCTTATTAGCGGCACGTTGATCTTGCATCGAGCTTTCCCTTCGCAGACGCGCCCGCGCCGGCTGCCGACACATTTTAGTGGATACTCTAATCCCCACAACCCGATGCACTGGACTGGGCAATAATCGTGTCACATCCAGACCTCTTTTTTTTTTTTTTGACCTAGCTGTTCAAGAACTTCATGAAACACCAAAAAAGAATTCCAAAAAAGAAACTGCACAATTCCTGTTGTCAGGAACTAATGGATAAACGAACCATCGACCATCACGGGACTCGAACCCGCAACCTTGGACTTTTGATTTTCGCTTGTGTAAGACGACGTAGGAGGTCCACGCGCTACCATTGCGCCAAACGGCCAGTTGTTTCCTTTCCAAGTTAGGAGCAGCTAAGTAATAAGCGCAAAATCCAGCCCCACAAACTCCATGCCAGTCGTTGCTATTGGCATTATATCATTTGCCAAGAAGTATCGTATGGTTGGTAACAATCGGGATTCGTCAAAAAGGAAGTCAGATGGGCGAGATTAAGTGTGGATGCGGGACTATCATAGGTCGGTTGTACTTACTGGGGCCGAACTATTTTATACTGCTGGGCAAAACACGTGGCGCCCTTATACGTACATTGCTACTACCTTAATGTAGGTAGGTAAACGATACAGCGATTAGTCAATAGGCAATAAGCTTCTCAGACAGCAGCAGTTTCTAATGCGACCTGTATCATGTCCATCAAGTCACTGTGGCGTGAAGAGATCTTGAGCTACTTGCTAACAATTTGAATCGGAAAAACCAGCACAAACAATGGTGACTAGGTACGTAGCATGTCAGTCGGTAGTCTTGTAACACAATTTTCTGCTATATAGAAGACAAGAACTGATATGCTTGGAAATAGAGCGCTGGATGGTTGTAATGCCATTCAAAAGGCACCTGATCTTATTGCTCATATATGATCAGGCAAGGTGACATTTGTGAGCTGTCTGTCTTCCGAGACAAAGTCGCAGTTGACTGGGTGCCTGACATAGATATATATTCCAACGCATTACAGTTTGGTCATTTGTAGACTTGGACTAATCATTTCCATGTAGAAGCAAATAACGGATAGGAGAGCCTCAAAACTTTATAATGGGCTACAAGTCCTCTGCTTTGTCTTTTAGCTAAGGCTTTGAGGAACGGAAAGGCATGTGAAGGTTTTGTCAAATAAACATATACATAATCCTCGGCGAAATTTGAGACGGGCAACTTCATATTGTTTGGAATCCAGACATGAACTGTCGTATTTTGAAGATTTGGCCGTCATCGGCGAGCGATGTTGCTTCTGGTAGGTCATATTTGAATGCGTGCTTCTTGGTGGCTAAACTGGGTACTGCAGGATCACTCTTTGATAATTCCACAGCTTGGCACATTGTTCTTCTAAATACATTATCCCCTTCCAAAGACTGGACTTTCACAATGATGGGCACTGCCGTTACGTCTCGGGACGCATGTAAATGCACGTGGCGCTCGCGTAATCGCCGTCGTGACTGATGCTCACAGAAGCGACCAGAGGCTCCTGGGCCCCGCTTAACCAGATGAATGCTACTGGTGGACCACTTCCAAGATTGAGATCTATCTCCTGCTCCTTGGGCTCAGCTTTCTGCGCATTGGCTTGCACTGTAGCTTGGTCAGAATCGGCAGCTGGGGCCAGTCGATACACAGTTTTCGAGAGACGACGCGGCGATGCATTGTTTCTGATCTCAATGTTGCCAAAATTGAGCCTCTCATGATGAAAAGCTTTGATTACTGCTTCTTTGGCGGCAAATCTGTGCATCCACAGAGACGTGGTTTGTCAGCTCTCCCGGATGCCCGCTTTCATGTTTGCGTTTGCTGTAGGCATGGAACTCACCGGCCCGCCATGAACTGGGCGGCTTTCAATATGGCTGGGTCCCTCTGGTCCCTCTTTTTTCTCCCTTTATCTTGGCCTAAAGGTGGTTGATTTGCGTCATTTGGAGAATCTGGACCTGGAGCCGGCAAACTGTCCTTGTTGACGTCCTTGTTGAGAACACAACTCAGAACTGACTTTGCCTTGATGGTGTCGAGCTCTCGCGGGAGGAGGATGCGATGGATGAATCTTGGCGCGGTTTTTGCTGCAAGTATTTTGTATATTCTGTTGATTTGACAAATGTCATGCCCCAAACCTATTAGGCTTTTCTGCGAAATCTTCATTGTGATTGAAACTAGATGATTTGATGAGGAGAGAGCAGCAGGTCTGCTCGCTTGATCGTTCTGTGAAATTAGACGGAACGCGTCCGACCGAAGGACCGGGGGGTCTTTTTAGTGGTGCCGACTACATTAATGTAGGTATTCTTACTAAGGCACTCCGTAGGTAGGTAGGTAGGTAGTTAATGTAGTACTAGAGGGTATTAGTGGACCCGGATAATGATTGATGATTGACGGTCGGTCTAGCCACCATAGGTAGTCAACATCACATTGCCCTCCATAAAATTGATCGAGACAAATGATTATTGCATGTAAAAAACCAGAATATATCTGATTGAATTGCACCAATCAATTAAAGCAACGCTATTTGTCAATTAAGAATTGACCAGTTCAAACTTTCGCAAGGATTTTAATCGCCTGGCGGGAAATGGGCCATCGACAGAACTAACGACATCCATCCTGAACGCCTCGAAATCCATCATGCAAGCTACAGATAGATGATGATGGTCGAACAGTCTTTTGAGGATTGAAAGGAGATCACCAGGTTTTCGCAACTAGCCATGGTAGCTGCTCGGAGCCTACTGGGTAGTGGTGAATCGGGCAGTCGGGACGACAGGAGCGCCCATCGAGAAACCATCTAGTTGCTCTCGCCGTGGAGGAGAGGAGCACGCTCGGTATCAGCCTGTGCCTGTCTTCGCCAGCCAAAGTCCTTGCCGGTTGCCGCAGGGATCGCGATACCAACGGTGGCGACGAAAAGAACCGCCATGATGGTGAATGCAAAGATCCATTGAAATGCAATAACCTGTCGAAGGAATTGGCTGACGCCAATGGCCGCAGAGAGCACGCTGAGGTTGAAACCAATCGTGTAGTCCTATCAAAGAAGAATTCAGTGTCAATGCTATATAGTCAAGATATTTACTCAATAAGGCAGCGCTCACCTTGTAGGCCACAATGTAGAACAGTCCATAGACGAGAATGGACCAGATAAAGATATTGCCAAAGATTCGTGCAACCAGCGAATCGGGGTGTGGCACCATGATAGCACCGTTCCAGTAAATGGCAACAAAAGTCCATGCCAGAGGGCCGGAGACAACGGCTTCGTGGATGGCTCTGGCATAGGCAGGGTGGCGGAAGTACAGAGATGTCAAATTGGCAAAGTTGAGAATCAGAATAAGCTCAGCCCAGCCAAAGTAGCTCCGCACAAACAACATGACGAAGGCAAAGTGGAACAAATTGTTGAGAATGAAGTGGCTGCCAACGGCGGCAGCGGCATTCAATGTGTCTGCATTGCCAGACCAGAGATGAATAATGTAGACAGCCTGGAGGATGAATAGGACAATCCTGTCAACCGGGCGGTTAGTAATGTTCCGACCCAATATATGTGTAGTTCTCTGCCTCACCAGTAGATGCTGACAATGACACTGTTGAGTCGAAAGGCAGTAGGGAAGAGGTCATTCTGGCCCCAGATTGTGTGCCAGGCATAGACGCCATCGTGTGGGGTGTTGAAGGTGTAGTAGAAGCTGACCACGAGGGACAGCAGCCATGTGAGGATGCTAAAGACCTTGTAGGCAATGATTGAGCCGCTGCTATGGGAGTCGCGCTTGGCGAAAGGGTTTACTGTCAAAGGCGTTCTTATTTAGTACGACATTGCCAAATAATCTTGCCGGTGAAGAGTCGACCATATGATATGGTGGCGTGGAAGGAGAGGAGTCGTCAAGGGTGCTGTGCTAGCAGCTGATCGACCGGATTCACGTACCTTGGTGGACACGCTCCATGGTGACTTTGAATACACTTCCGAGTTACTGTACTGATGGACGTATATGCTCGTTGAAGAGTGCACCTATTGTTCCAGCTCCCTCAGTTAGGTTGAGGAATTGGGGATGAAGCAGAAACCAAAAAGCGGCCGGGGCGCAGCACAAGATCTCGGGCGATGTTTATAAGGCGTTCGGTTCGTGTCTCATGAAATTGTACGCCGCTGGGCAGGTATTTGGGTGGGGGGTAACAACAACCGTCACACCACCGCCACACTGAACCAGTAGGAGGAAAGTCAAGGATTTGAGGCATGTACAAGACACTAAAACATGCAGCTGCATTTGCGGGGGATGCACTAAGGTAAGCGGGCAGTGACGTTGTTCGGCGTCTGCAAACGGATCGACTAACCGAAACAAGCCGTCTAAAATACTATTGTAAGATAAAAGTTGGAAGAAATATCATGCCTTGCATGCTCACGACCCTGACTCTGTTTTAGGGAGGTAGGGACTGTCTATTGTTTGCTTTGTGGTAAAGGCAAGTGCTAGGTATGTAGGTAGCGGAAGAGGTGGAACAATCATCTCAGAAATGTCCATTGCTGGACGGACTCAATTCGTTTCACCCCTCATCAAGTTGGTTGCCGTCTTTTATCCGCTGAAGTTTGTGATGGTGAACCTTGGGAGGGCGTACCTAGTGTGAACCAGAATGTACTGCATACAAGGAAAAAGTATCAATCATGATCAATGGCCGTTGTGCCTGGCATTGGGTCAGACTTAGTGGATTTCTTATGTACCACTATGCAACCCCCCTTGACCTGTGTCTCGCGTGTCATGGCTGTCTGTCTTGTCTTGGTAGACGAATACTCTGGATTCTCTGCCTCTTTCCATGTTTTATACTGCAGCATCTTGGTCATTCTCTGTATCTTGATGTTTGATATATTCTTCTGTGCGCTTGCTGATAGATGAACATACATCTGCAACGCACGAGCTGGAAATACCCTGACAGTAACGATCTAGAGTGAAAAGAGGACCAATTTCGTCATTGCTTGAGCAGAGTAGCGAATCAAGGACCGTCTGCACCACATCCCTCTGAGAGGCACGGGCAAAGTCACCAGATCCAATTTCAGGCGATGCTAGTGGGTGTCTGGCGTTTGACAACGCTCGGGACAGGGAGCCACAGAAGAGCGCCCAGGCTCGCCAGGGTACTGTACCTACCTAAATTACCAGGTATCAGCATGTCAGGTATGCGCCACGGGTACCTATGGTGGGAGGCGCTTTCGGACACTTTCGTCAGCTTGTTTAGCCCGGTCTTCAATTAGCCCCAAAAAACATGCCGCGTATCACTCTCTACAATAAAAAGGCCTGGAATTGGGGGGCAATTCGTGTTGCAGATCGAGATTGCCTTTCGTGTTTCATACGATCACGGGGCGTGTTCGTGCTGCTGTACCCCGTCCCGTTGGATGCAGTGGCTACGTGATGTTCTCTCTGCTCAACGCGGTAATCAGACACTAGTACACATTAAAAGGCCGTTCCAAATCATTTCACAGGCAGTTCTTCGTACAAGCTGATCAGTCGATTCAGAAGACATGGGCTCACCAGCCATTGATCACTGGCATTGCAAATCCAACTTCTCGTAAGTCCTCAACGTGCTTGCTGTGTTGTATGCCAGCCTACCCAGCACTCTAGTAGGTAAGGACGTAACTCGTAATGCCAAGATGGAATAGCCAAGCAACCAAGTAGGAATAAGCCAGCCACAGCAAGCCAGGAGCTGTTTCTCCGGCTGGCGATCCACCGCCGCCTCGCTTGCGTACGGTATACCTACTGCCTAGGTAGGGATTTATGCGAATGCGCCTCCCTCTGCGGGGGCATTTCCGGTCACCTAAAAAGCAGACAAAGCATTACAATTGCCCAATAGACAGGCCGGCGATCCCTTTGGTGCCTTCTCGCCACCCTTGTCATGAACGACGTGAACTCGACAGCTGGCATGCGCTGTTGACTGGCTGGAAACACAAGTCACTACCTCGCTCTCATGACTTCTTTTGGTACAATTGATGAGTATTTGTTCGGTACCACTAAAGAGCGGCATCCTCTATTCACAGTTTCTGAAAGAAGGGACGTCGAGCCTTTCGTCGAACGAAGAGTAGCCCAACCAAACCCACGTAAAGTGTCCTCGAGGCAACTTCACCATTGTAAGCAAGACAAAGCTTCAATTACACTGGGCACACGCCATGAGCGTCATGATATTTTGATATCCATAGACGTCATCCTCACTCGAGTGGATGTCATTATTATATTCTGAGTAAAGAAGTCTTTGGGTTCAACGTAACCAGCGATCTTGCTTGGTATCAACACTGCACATCGGTATGACCATCCTGTATTGACAGTGACTTGGTAGACACAATGAAGCCTCATACAGGCTATTGCATATGATAGCCGCCGTCAACGGCCACCACCTATCCAAAGCCTCTACTTCTCATTTGCCGACCGGCCCCAAGGTCACCGGAAACGTGTACGCTTCTAGAAATCCTAGGAACGAGTCGAGCTCGGCATTCCAACGCGTTGGCTGATCTCGAAAAGACCAATGACCTGCGTGCGGAATAGTTACAAGTCTGACACCGTCTGAAAACCAGCTCTCGAGGCCATCCAAGGTTCGTGGCGAGAAGTACGGGTCCTCCTCTCCCCAGATGATGCACGACGGGACACTCTGAATCAGTCCATCGAGATTGACTTGTTGACCATATGGTGGTGCTGGGTAATTCTCGTTGTAGAAGCTCAGCATGCCCGCTAGCGGTGAGTTTTGCAAGTAATCAGTAATCTCCTGCCGATAAGTATCGTTCCATATGTTCTCGACAATGGTTGATATGTTCTTGGGTTGACCCTCAACATAGTCAAAGTACTTGAGGGTGTAATGCGACATCTTCTGCTGCTCGGCATCAAACTCGACCAGAGGAATGAAGGTCGGGATGAAGGGAGTATTTGTCATGACCAACGCTGTGACTCTTTCTGGGAACGTGTAGGCAAACATTTGCGTCACAACCCCGCCCACATCATGGCCAATGAGGATAGCACGGTCGATGCTTTCGTTATCCAGTATCGACGCAAGGTCCGAGACGAACGAGTGAGAGCTGTAGTTGGAGTGTCCAGAGGGCACGTCGCTTGGTGGATATCCACGGAGTGTCGGCGTAATCACTTTATATCGTTGAGCGAACTCATTAATCTGGTAAGTGTTCCAAGTTGATTCTCTGTCAGGGAAGCCGTGCTGGAATACAAGAGGTTCTCCTGATCCATAGACTATGTAGTGCAGTCTGGTGCCATTGTTGTCGACAGACTTGCTTACGCCAAAGATACTGCTTTCATTGGCAGCGAGCGCTTCCACCGTCGAACACACAATCACTTGAATTATTAGTAAACAGAAACAAGGCCTGAAGCACGTACATAAGGGGAAACTCACTGCAGAATACGAGGAAAAGCTTCCACCAGATTTGTGGCCACATCGTGTCAACTGCTTCTCAAGTACAGATACTCCAGCGAGGGCCTGAATGTTGACGACTGAGTCGTCTTATATTCAAATAATTCTGTGAATTGTCTCTAGCAGTCTTTCGCGGTTGCCATTTACCAGAGAGTATACTTGTATATTGGTAATCACGATTACGAACAAGGATAACAAGATTTGTCCGAGCCTAGCACATACAAACTAGCTAAAGATCTGAAGTGGGAATAATTGAAGATTTCAAGATGCAATAAAATTGATCCAATCATGCCAAATAAGCTTCCTGGCTATAGCTAGAGCTGCAATCGGATCGTTCCTGGAAGCATGATATGATACCCAAGTCTATACATTTCAACCTATACACCTAGGTACCTAGTTATGTGAGGCTTCGGTCAGGTAGGCGGGCATCTATCCAACTTATTTCATGCGTCCTTTCGCTCATCATTCATAGCTGGCATAAACTGTTTCAAGTGGAAGTTCTTGCTAAGCAAATCGGAAACCATAAGCGAATGATTACAGTGTCTTTATCCCGTACTCGCGTATCGTGAGTGAACATGTCCGTGCGCAACTGTATAGCGTATCCGTAATCAAGAATATTTAGCTTTCTCATAAGGTCCTCGAGGCGCTGTGTCGACCTCGGCACACTAGCCCGTAGCGCATGTAGATTACAAAACGCCCTAGCCGTGTTCACTAATCGCTAATCAGGCAGGCTTGCATACTACTCCACCTGTCTGCCGTCGCTATTCATAGCTGCCAGGATTGTCAATTGCCTTCAGCATGACTACGTCCTACGATCATAATATCAATAAATATGCAATATAATTTTCACTTACACATCTAGAAGGGGAGAGAAGCTGTATCATGGAGATTGGTAATATACAGAAGTGCAAAACTTGCAAATCACTGAGAATCTTGGCGAGGCTTCATGTTTGATTGTCGACATATATAGGTTGGTAGGAAACAAGTATATAGAACATTGATCTAGTTTGATGTAGCAATAAAGCAATCACAAGACGGCATCGCCAGCACTTTTCACCATGGAAACTCAACAAACTGCAAAAACTCAATACATTCAAAGCGGCGATATCAACTTTGCTTATCGCCGCTTTGGCAAGGAAGGAAATGGAAGCATCCCGCTTCTCTTTTGCCACCACTTCCGCGCTCCCATGGACGTCTGGGATCCGCTCCTCATCAACGCCATAGCCGCCCAGCGCCCCGTTATACTCTTTGACAATGCGGGCGTGGGCAAGACAACGGGTTCGCCCGTCGACAACAGCATAGCCCAGATGGCTCAGCACGCTCTGGATTTGCTAGCCGCTCTCGAGATCTCCAAAGTCGACATCTTGGGCTTCAGCATGGGCGGTTTTGTGGCTCCGCTGGTCCATCTGAACGGACCGCGGGGACTGGTGCGCAAGCTCATCATTGCCGGGTCCGGGCCCAGCGCCGGCGAGGACCTCAAGACGCATTCCCAGGAAAGAAAAGAAGCCATCAATGCCTACGCCGCGGGACCCGAGGTGACACTGGAGAATATGCAAAAGCTCTTTTTCTATGATTCAGATACATCTCGAAAGGCGGGCGAGGAGTGGTTCGCCCGGATCACGGAGCGCAACGAATCGACCTCGGGCGAGCCGCGCGCCGCCTGGGTATCTGAAGGGTATGCCGACGGCGGCGCGGGGCTGCAGAGTCAAGCCGGCGCTCTTGCGCGTTGGGGCAATCTAGAGTTTAGGCATGAGGGGAGTTATGATCGCCTGCACGAGATTAGTGTCCCCGTCTTCATTGCGCAAGGCAAGGACGACTTCATGGTTCCGACATATAACAGCTTTGTGATGCAGCAAAAGATTTCCAACGCGAGGCTCAAGATCTTCCCAGACAGTGGACACGGATTTCTGTATCAGTTTGCCGAGGAATTTGCTGAAGATGTTTTGATATTTCTAGATTAACAAGCAGGGACTTGAGCCCAATATAGATTATAGATATCAATGGTGATGATTTACTACCTAGTTGGTTCACTTTGTCAATGTGGCACGGGATGATGATTAAAATGATGATTAAATCATACTCAAATATTACTTCAAATTTACTTAGACCTATAAAGACCATCGGCTGTTCCACCATCAACTTTTGAGCATTACATCAGCTGCCACATGAGCATCCGGCCCAGCACGCAAACATGGAATCATACCCCCAAAGCATGCAACCGATGGCACCGTCAGGCGTTTTCTGAATTTCTTATTTCTTCCCTTCTGATTTGCTACCTATTTTGGGAATTTTGTACACCATCTGCACGGCTTATTAAGATTGTTTCTTGCTGCAGCTGCACGCCTGTGCGGTTGCAACTCTGTGTCATTGCTCGCGACTCGGCGGCGCCCCATATATTTAATGATTAGTGAACATTGATTCTGCGCTCTCGGCATCCAACACTCCTGGTTGAATTCATAATCAGAGAATACCCCACGATCAGTGATCAAACATGTCACCTTGGTAAAGAGTGATAAGTCGGACATTAACGAATTTAGTGCACCATGTCTGCAATTGACATGTTATCGGCGGCATGGCCATCGGCATGTCGGCCGCCATCCCCGATTTCATTCGATACATTCGATGTTACTAGATTGTCCGCAACAACCTGGCCTGATATACTGGATATTGATGCTGAAGTAAATGACATTGGTGCATCAGTCACGGGCTGGGGTGATGGGGAAATGGAAGATCCAGTAACGGATCGCTCCGAGCACCCAGCCACAACCGACGCGCACTCGGTTGCCGGCTCGAAGCCAAAGAAGCGCGGGCGGCCTCGATTAAGCCCTCGAGAAAATGATGATAGAACGGTACCTATTGAAATCCCTGTATCATGCGCAGAGGCTGATGGAGGCAAATAGCGGCGACGTGCGCAGATCCGCCTAGCACAGCGCGCCTATCGCAAAAGGCAAACTTCGGCCATGGAGAAGCTGCAACAGCAAGTGAACGAGATGGGAAAATTGTCTGGCAGGCTCATCAACTCCCTTTCGGATATATCAAAGGAACTTGCGCTGCTGCGAGTGTTTGAGATGCGGCCTGCGGCTGCGGTCGCATTCAATGCCCTCGTGGGAGACTGCATATCACTTCGTACAATGGCCTCATCGCAAGCGCACGAAGAATCCGACGTGGATATTTCAAACTTTCAGAATGAGTGGGACTCGACGCTTCAAAGATGCGATTGGATGATCCCACGATACTCGGAGCCATGGCCTCAATCGCTACCTACATCCCAACACAACTTGGACCAATCAACCCCGGAACGACACCGTGCGGAAATGTCCATTTCAAGTTTACTTACAGCTAGTAGTCCATTCACAGTCCTCTCCAGTCTTGTTGATCCAATTCCGCGCCGGCCCACGTCATTCGCCCATCGAGTCCATCTGGTGTGTCTGGAGCGTGGATACCATCTACTAAGAAACCCAAAGAGCGACATGCGCCAAGTAATGAGAACATTTGGGAAAACGTTAGCCAAGACTAGCCGCACCAGTCTGATTATGCAAATTGAAACCATATTGCGAGGTAATGAAGCTGTTGCTGGAACGGATTGGGTCATCTCTCGGCCGGAGCAGACTGCGAGCATCTACAGTCCGCTGCTGCCTGCACCTCCTACCATGGCCACCTCGACAAAGAATGAATGGCTTGAGCCCCTGGATGTACACTACTTATTGTTGAAGAGTAATATCCCAATCGAGACGGACTCTGTGTCGATCCAACTTTCTTCCAGCATCCCACAAGGTCAAGACACCACTGTGAGCAAAGTCCAAGTAAAAGAAATCTTGCAGGGAGACCAGACCGGAGGCTCTAACCTTATATGAGCAACAGGACTCCACGAGCAACTCTCCCAACTTACGTCTAGATTTTGCATCTGTCGAAGAATCCCTTGAAGACCAATCAAGCCAGGCAAGAGTATTTGACGTGAACTATTTTCTAGAGAGTAAGTGTCTGTCCTCAGTCTCACCCTTTCCAGACGTGCTGTTGCTAATTGAAGCAAAGTCTTGGGTCGACTCGGTGTCTGTGGCGGTACTCTACCGATCCTTCGTCGCAAAGAAGTTGAAGCGGCAATGTACTATGCAATGGGTCTGGGGGCTGAACCAAGGAGCAACAACTAGGTGGCTTTGATGAAATGGTTGCACTGATTCGGAATGATAAGGACTCGAGCTACTAAATAATATAGCAAGGCATTCACTTGAATGCTGTCTCATTGACTTTCGAGGTTCGCTATAAGAAACGTAACTTTTACTGATCAATTACTCATGAGCGATTGAAATGAAGGAGCTCTTGTGCTTATATGTAATCGGACGCACCGGTGAAAAGAACCTTTAGCATCACTATTCGTCATGTCATGTGCTTACCCTGGTAGCAGGCATGCTGCACATTATGGTGACTAAACCGTCAGAATATTTCCCCGCGAAATTTCCGTTTATTCAGCAAATTCTGAGTTCGTTTCATGAAACCATTACTTAATCATGGTTTATTGCACATGGTAGGGCGAATTTTATGGACTTATCACTGATGCTTCTATCCACATAGCTCGGGAGTCTGGCTATTGCGGTTTATAATCAGCCAACTAACTAAAGTAATCAATTCGGAATGGTGCATAACGCTTGAAGTATGAGAAGTCAGCGCCCGAGGCTGATACAAAGCTCCTTTGGCTTTATTAGGGCGGGAACCTTGTATACCAGCAATTTGTGTGTAGAGTTTTCATGCACAATATTATAAAAGGCTGCCACAATACCACTGGGTCGTAGATATAGACGCTTCACTCCATATTTAGAACTCGAATAATTTGTCCCTTGTCGGCGAGCTAGTTTCCGATATGCCGCTGTCTCTTCAAAGACACGGTTTGGGGTGAGTGTAAATATGGACATCACGGCTATGCAGTTCCAAATTCAATCTACCAACCATCTAATGATACAAATAGAGTTTATATATAGCATTGTATAGTCGTGTTTCTATAGACTGGTATTAGACTGCTGCATCCATGGGCTTTCTTCTAGCCACATTCCGAAATCCATCATATTTGGGTGCATCTGCTTCAGACGATTGATATCCGCACCACATCCAGTTTCGTTGAACCACTGAAACATGGACCCGAGCTCCGTCGATGCCCACAAGATTCCTTTGTTCAGAAATTCTAGTGTCGTGGGGAGATCTTTCCCGACTTTGTTTTTGAAGATCTGGTTCGCTTGATCAAAAGTCAAAGCATCACCGGCGAGGGAGATGGCTCGACCAGCGAACGTGTCTGGGTGCAAAAATGACTGGGCTGCAAACCACCCAATGTCCCTGACCGCCACGATCTGTAGCGGCCTGTCCTTCACGACAGAGCTCCAGCTTGTGGCCATGATCTTTCCGATGAAATCAGGAGTAATGGTCTAGTGTGCCGATATTAGACGCGAAGCCGTCTATGAGCTTGAATTATACTTACATCCATGAATGTAGCGGATCTCAAAATGGTCCATTGCATCCTGCCCTCGGCTTCTTTGACCAAGTGGTGTTCCACATGATACTTACTAATGAAATGTGGAACGTTTGGCTTGTTCTCGAACGAGACGGCTTCTCCTCCTCTATCGACGGACGAATAAACGAAACATTTCACACCGTTAGCCAAAGCCCCGTCGACGAGAGCCTTGCCCTGCGCTTCTTCGAGTGCGGTCGAGGCCCCTTTGCCGATTGGATTCTAATAAAAGACGTCAATACTGCTCTATACCTAGATGGGAGATCTAGCGATCATCAATTTAGGGCAACAGACCTGGACGCTATACACACCCCAAAGTTCCACTTGAGACGGTCTGAGTACTTTCTCGGCGGCAGAAAAGATGGCCGGGACGTTGTTCAAGTCCCCTTGGACTAATTCCAATCCCCGGCCATTCAACGCCGAGGCTGAGGGAGAGGATACGTCTCTCGTGACAGCAAGCAAGACAAAATGCGATAGAGCACCGGCTTGCAATAGAGCATCAATAAGAGCACCTCCTTGTTTTCCTGTAGCTCCAGTTATAAGAATCGCCTGCTTGATATTTGCCATTTCGGTTGGGAACTTGCTTGACGGCAGATTTGGAATGTTGGAACGGGGTGATCTTGGTGAGCTCAGTTGCCGATGCCAATCTAGACCACAATTGTGTTTCTGGACTTTTGATAAGAGATAGTTTACAGTACTGTGAGCCCTGAAGTCTGAGAGAATAGGTAATTTGAATGCAATTTTGTTGATTGTTTATGTAGACCGAGTCGGTTGAAAGACAGGACAATTTTCATAGATTCCGCGAATTGTGGTCAATGCAAACAAGCTGACAAATTACATTTCAAATCGGCGTCTGCCTCTTCTCCCTCAAAGGCTCGACCATATGGTATTTCTCAGTAGAACGTTTTTTTTTTTAATTTCACGAATAATTCCTTGTCGTCGTCGGCATACTCGTACTCCGTCGCCGATACAGAACCCTACAGAAGCAAAATTATAACAGCTGGGTCGGCGCATGATCCGCGCCGACGCCGGTAATCTGATCCACGAATGGAGCGCTGGCACATGCCACACTAATTACCTAGACTGCTTTGTCATCGACTATAGAATAAGACTGGAGGCTAAAACTCGTCCCTGCTTGCCAGCGCTTAAAACTGCCATAAGCAGATGAGCAGCTCTCGACTTGGCAAATTTTTACTTGCCCTAGGTGCGTGCGAATGATGAACATGTCAATATTGTAGTAAACGGGGTATCTATTCTGTATAGCTAATCTGATACATTTCTCACCAGTCCAACAAGAAGACAGGCAGTGGGAATGCTCGTGAACATAACGAGCACAATGTCCACTTGTTCAGTGGTATTGTCATTGCGGCCCAGTCCACTGGGCTGCCGTCGTGTAGCGGAGTGGATAAGTATTATAACGCTCCGAGCACTTTACTTGTCCCTACACCAATGCCTAGGGCCGAACCAATGATTCCCACAGCCATCAGAAGCTCCACAAGGAACTTTTCCCGCCGGCCGAGGACCCTGATAAAATTTCGCAAATTTCTTGGTGTTGTCATGCCGACCTCTGGATCCCCAGGAGACGCTCTCTTGTATCCTATGGAGAGTGCACCTTGATTGCGACCATTCGTCAGAGTATTGTCCGGGCTCGTGATGGAAAGGTTGGAGCTCGAGTCAAGCACCGCTATATGGGGCGAATAGCACTTTGGTGGCTCCTCGATCGAAATTATATAGACTTCCCCATCGTTCGCTTGTGTCGGGTTTGAGTTCTGGGAGTATGTTCTAGAGATTTGGACGGGCGACTGAGGCATGGTTGGCGCTGCTCAAGTGGGAATATGTAGTGGCGATCGCGGTTCAGATCTGCTTTATAGCAGAGAAGAATCTTTAGCCACTCAGGAGGCTCGCCGTAAGTGATATGAGGAGTCAGTGAGTCATAATTTATGTAGGTGATGATTGGTACATTCCGAAATGATAATGATCATTTACCGAAGAATTGTCTGTATGCGCAAAGTGGTGGTGGCCAAGCGTGCGAGAGCAGTAATTTACCCAACGCAGCATGAGAGACTATAAAGACCTTTTCGTAGTCCAACATTATAATATGTGGAGTCCCAGGAACAGAACCATCGAATCTAAGAACATTGTAGTTCTGCCGAATGCGGCTGTGTGCCTGCTCCTTATTGATGCTGCCTGCTGTTCCAGGGGATTCACAGTTCGTGTTCTAAGAGCAGAGGCCCCCGTTCACGCTTCGCCACGCCTGAACGAGGATTGATTTTTATCTTAATCTAATCTCTGTGGATCGTCTTGATCTTCTCATTTATTGTCATCAGCCCTACGTCAACGACCAATTTGAACGGGGCGAATCGAGCAGTTTTCGAGGGCGACCTTGTGAGAATTGCTAAAGTTCTTAAATGCGACCACTGGGATTATGCTTCCACCTTCCCTAGTCCAACGTACTCTGTTCACAAACACTAGAATAAAGGTCTAATCATGTAATTACTATACGGCAGGTCGATTTATCGACGATGTGCATCTTGCTTTGAAGCAATCTGAAGAACTCCACCTCGGTAGAATAAATTGGACGGACAGCGGCCTCCTGGAAATACAGACTCGAAAACTGGGGCTTGTACAAAACTAACACGTCTGATCCCAGACAAGGTATAGCATAGTATTACTATACATGTGTTTAATGTGGGACCCCCACACAGCCTACAGATTTACGCGTATTTGAGTTTAGGAAACGTCCAAAGCTCCGATTGAAGTGGGTGTTGGTGAGTCTAGTGCATGTCGGTTCCACAGTGCTCTTCTTGCATGTAACCGCGGGGGATTGCCGTCTGCCCGGCTGTGATGCTCCTTGGGTTTGTGGGTGTAACGAGTTAGCTGCGTCCTGGATACTCTCTATTGTTTCCCCAAATTTCCTCTGCTACGGTAGAAGGCATCGAAGACCGCTGACAACCCAAAGAAAGTTCTCCAGCAATGGCGTCAGAGGTTCGAAACATGGACGATACCCAGGAACAACGCCCGAATGAATATGTGCACTTCCCCTCTCTTCCAACCGAGGCTGAACGCGATGGGAAGCCCGTTCTGAACAGACACTCTGCTTTCTTGACCAGAGGCCATGACTTCCCAGGAGCCAAGGTTGGACTCCCAAGCTCTGTGCCTCGTGGATACTTGCACTCATGACCTGTCTAGGCAATGTTATACGCTGCCGGCATCCCGGATGAGGCTACTATGCAAGAGAGCCCCCAGGTCGGCATAGCCGCCGTCTGGTGGGAAGGAAATCCGTGCAAGTATGTTGCTCGAGAAAGAGAAGACAGATGAATTGAGCTGACTATTCACACAGCACGCATCGTAAGGTGTCCCGTTCTACATGATGACAAGTGCTTCATTTTTGTCCAAATAGCAATGTGTCCAATACAGCTGACATGTTTCATTTAAAAGTCTTGGACCTAGCGACAGAAATCAAGGCATCGGTGCAGAAACAAAACTTCATCGCCTGGAGGTACAGTACGATAGGCGTGTCGGATGGCATCACGCAGGGCAACGAAGGCAAGGCAGCTCCATCGTAGACGACTTTCCCGGGGCTAATGCGTCAATGTGCAGGCATGAGATTCTCGCTCCAGTCACGCGAGCTGATCGCAGACAGTATTGAGACCATCACCTGTGCTCAAGCCCATGATGCCTGTATTGCCATCCCTGGCTGCGACAAGAACATGCCAGGCTGCGTCATGGGAATTGCGCGACACAACCGACCATCGGTGGTAGTGTACGGAGGCACTCAGCGAGGCGGTTACAGCGGCCTCATGCAGAAGCCGATCAATATCAACACCCCCTATGAAGCCAGGGGCGCCTATCTGTTCAACAAGCTGAAGGAATGGGCGGCAGAGGGAGAGCCCACGCCCGAAGAAATACTGAGCGACATTGAACGCAATGCCGTGCCCGGTCCCGGCGCTTGCGGCGGCATGTACACGGCCAACAGCTTGGCCACCGTCATTGAAGCTCTCGGCCTGTCGCTGCCAGGTTCCTCGAGCTATCCTGCATCGTCTCCGAGCAAGTACCGGGAATGTGGCAAGATTGGCGAGGTTATCCGCACATGCCTAGAGAAAAACATTCGACCGCGAGATCTGCTCACGAGGAAAGCCTTTGAGAATGCGCTGGTGATTACCATGGCCGTTGGCGGCTCGACAAATACGGTTCTTCATACTCTGGCCATGGCCAAGACGGCCGGTGTCCACTTGACCTTGGACGATTTTCAGAGGGTCTCCAATAAAACACCATTCATAGCTGATCTCACGCCAAGTGGTAAGCACACAATGGAGGACTTGTTCGAGGTCGGAGGCATCCCGTCTGTAATGAAACTCCTCATCGCGGCTGGGCTTATGGACGGAAGCTGCCTGACCGTGACGGGCGCCACCTTGGCGCAGAACGTGGAAAGCTGGCCTTCTCTACCTCCGGGTCAAAAGATCATTCGGTCGCTGGACAATCCCATCAAACCTACCGGGCACATTGAGATCCTGTACGGGAACTTGGCACCTGGCGGTGCCGTGGCCAAGATTACTGGAAAGCAAGGACTCTCTTTTACGGGCAAGGCCAAGGTGTACAACAAGGAGAGCGAGCTCAGTGAAGCTCTGGATAGAGGAAGCGTGAGCCGCGATGAGAAGCTGGTCCTCGTCGTTCGCTATGAAGGGCCCAAGGGCGGTCCGGGGATGCCGGAGCAGCTCAAGGCCTCGGCGGCGCTCATGGGCGGCGGCTTTACCAACGTTGCTCTCATCACCGACGGCAGGTACTCTGGCGCCAGTCACGGCCTGATTGTCGGCCACATTGTGCCAGAGGCGGCTGTGGGCGGTCCTATAGCGGTCGTGCGAGACGGGGATGTTATTGTCATTGACGCGGAGAAACACGAAATCTCCATGCCCTTTGTGGGAGATGAAGAGATCCAAGAACGGCTAAAGTCGTGGAAACCGCCGAAGCCATATGTCACTCGGGGAACACTGGGCAAATACGCGCGGTTGGTGGGAAATGCCTCTGAAGGCGCACTGACGGACCTGTTCTAGAGGCTATAAGGATAAGATTGAAGGCCCGATGCTTGTGCCTCGCGGCAATCACCGATATTACAGCTAGATTACAGCAATAGACTCTTACTAGATTGATTTAGACATTGGAATTGTGGCTTGCCCTGCCATGGCTGTACTGCTCAGTGAAATCATTTCATTTTGTGCTTACATCAAGGCAAGAGCCTGTCCACATCTCGACTACCTGGACAACTCATCTACAGTTCCGTACTTGGCGGAGCCCAGACGGCGCCAAGGGATCCTCCAGAGCGCGAGATGTGCTGTCGCGACAGGCTAGGGGATTCAGGCTGGGGCTCAGTCAACCCCGCGAACAAGCTTGCAGTAGCGCACATATTTACGCGTATTTTGTAGTGCCGTGACCCGTGTTTTGTGTCCACTATTTTGTCAGTATCCAGAATTTTATACCCCTAGTTTCCTCGGGTTGGTCGATAGTCGGCGTGGGGGTGGACTGACAGTATATATTCGTGGGGAACCGGGCGGGGTTGGGAGACGCACACACGCAATATGAATTGTAGCTCTCAAACGATCAAGTCTTGGGGGTTTGATCTGCAAAAAAAAAAGAAAAAAAAAGAAAAAAAAAAAGAGTGAATGTAAACGATTTGTTTCTGTTAGTTGGGCAATGATCTTTTCCCCTAGTTTTTTCTTCTTCTTTTTATGATCTGATACAAAGCCATGGTTGGCGATAAATAAAAGACGATATTTTTGTGCATACCCTAAACGGCGCCGCCTATTGCACTAGATAGCCCACCCTATACAACAACCGTGCTTGCACAGTACAACTCACAACCTCCGATCGCTAGATTTAGATCCCTTGTTCTCAACATAATGGGCGGTCGAATTGTCGTGACGGGTGGCTCGGGGAAAGTCGGTCGCTTTGCGATCCAGTCACTGGTAGAGAAAGGCTTCGAGGTGCTGAACCTCGACCTCCAAGAGCTTCCTCCGGCTCTCAGTCAACATGTCCACACCATCAAGGTCGACTTGTCGGACGCCGGGCAGGTATTCAGCGCCATTTCGTCGCCCTTTAAACTCACGCAACCGTTCCGCGAGCCATTGCTCCAGCCTCCGGATGCCGTCGTCCATCTAGCGGGTTATGCTCGGAACATGCTCGCTCCCGACAGCGAGACCTGGAGAACCAATGTGTTATCGACGTTCAATGTCCTAGAGGCAGCATCCAAGCTGGGAGTCAGGAAGATTGTTCTCGCCAGCTCGGTGTGCGTCTATGGAGTGACCTTTGGGCAGGGCGATGTGGACTTTCCCTCTTTCCCAATCGACGAGACTCTGAACGTGGTACCGACCGACGTATATTCAATGTCCAAGCTAACGAGTGAGAATCTCGGCAGAGGGTTCGCACTAAAGTATGGAATCGACGTGTACGCCCTGAGGATCGGGGCCGTCATAGCACCGGACGAGTATGCAACCGAATTCCGCAGCTACGTCTCCAGTCCTGCCGACTGGAAAGTCCACGGCTGGTCTTACATTGACGCTCGTGACCTCGCGTCCATGATTCAGCTGTCAATCACCAAGGATGGGCTGGGATTCCAGATCTTCAACGCCACAAACGATGAGATCACACACGACTGCCCTTCCACGACGGAATTTCTTCAGAAAATCTGTCCAAACACACCCTTTACCAGGGATCTCGGCCCAAAAGAGGCGCCCATGAGCAACCGGAAAATAAAGGAGTATCTAGGTTTCAAAGAGGAGCACAATTGGCGAAAGTATTACGCTGCATAGATACTTTCTTACGCGCATTATTTGAGAACCAGTAGATCGATCCTGCGTGATGCTTTGAAAAGGTAAATTGGTGCATTGGTCATGAAATCAATTATACATGCAGCACTGTGCTGATGGATATTATAATGTATTCCGACCCCTTGACGCTGATTATCAACCCGCTTCCCCTGATTTCCCATCCCCATCCACGGTCTTCTCTCATCAACTATCCCACCCCCTTCACTTTCTTGTTCGTATATGTTGACTTCTGTTGTTGTCATTCGCCTCGATACTTCTTTTGTTTTCTAGATTTCCATCCTCGCTTCTCCCTTCGGTCTTCGCTTCTTTTGCTTCGTCTTTGGCATTTCGTGTAGCTTCGTCAAGTTTTACCGCTTTCACATCTGGTGTTGCTGCTTTATTCTGGGAGTCTTGTGGCACGAACGCTTTGTTCAGATTCTGAGCGCCATTCTTGGCCGCAATAGCTGCACCACTGAGCGGCGTCTCCCCCTGACGGCGAGATCAAGTGGCGTGTGACCGTTGCCGTCGCGAGCCTTGATGTCGACGTAGCTGGGCCCGTGTGAGATGACAAACTCTATAACCGGGACTTCGGCGCAGCGCACAGCCAAATGTAAAATGGAAGAGCCGCCGAGGAGAATCGCCTTGGCATCGTTTAGGGAAGTGATGCCGGCTTTGGTCGCGTAGCGGGGGATCTCGCGGATGGTCTTGGTGATGAGTGCAGTATCGCCGCTTTGCAGCACTTGCGCGACGAATGACAAGCGCCCGACCAACTCGATAGACGTTGTACTGATTTCTGTAATTGACCGACCCATGATGAACCGTGGTCACTAAAATCATGTGCGCATAGTTGTAACTACAAGCTCTGAACTGGGTATCTGGACCTATCATACCCGCATCTATATATCTATCTTTGAGACCCTGCACTGCCATCGCCATAAATCCAGTTTAAACAGCCCTTTTGGCCGGCTTCAGTAACTATTTTCGAAATAGCCATCGCAGCAAGTCCGTCACTCTTTGTTGGTATCCATGTCTTCGTCCCCGCTAATGAAGCGATTACGAGCCTCAAGGAAAAACCGGGGCTCCACCCAATTATACTTGGTTCCGAGTCGCATTTACGCGTATTTGTCTTCATGGCGCCGATGGGTCGCACGTCGCATGTCGGGGCTATTGGCCAGTTTCCATGTATTTGAGTAGTATTCTGATTGTGTAGGCGCAGAAAGGGGTCCGTCCTCGGAAAGATGTGAAACTTTTAGTCAGTCATGGCAATTGATTTATTTTTATTTTCGTTTTTATTTTCAATTTTCTTTATCTCGCTATAAGTTGTTGAAGTTTCGGGGGAGGATTCTCTGTCGGCACTCAACTTTCCATCGATTCTTGGGACAACATCGCCCAAAGTTTACCATGGAAGACAAGACGCGACCAGACGGACGGTCCTCCTTGGATCTCGAGCAACAGCAATCTTCAGTCGAGCAGGGCCATGAAACCACTCTCGAGGCTGGCTCTGAGCCACCGAGTAGCTTGAACAAGGAACTCGAATATGGACCGGCAACGGACGTGAATTTGGTCGACTGGACGGATGCGACAGATCCAGAAAATCCCATGAAATGGCCGAATACCAAGAAGTGGACAAACATTTTTGTCATTTCATTGCTCAGCGTTGTAACGTCAGTCTCTGCAATTACAAAAAGCTGCGCTTCCGCGACCTTGCAGCCCATACTATGCTGACGATATATCTAGACCCTTGGGTTCGTCCATGTTTGCGCCTGGCATCCCTAGCATCATGCAGGAATTCCATGATCCCTCTACCGTTACGGCGACATTCCTCCTGTCCATCTATGTACTTGGTTTTGCCGTCGGGCCCTTGTTAGTCGCTCCAATCAGCGAGATCTACGGTCGCAGATATCTATACATCTACTCGAACATCATATTTGCCCTATTTACAGTTGGGGCCGCCCTGAGCACTAGCGTGGGCATGCTTCTTGCCTTTCGACTGCTCATGGGGCTCTCTGGCGTTGTGCCGCTCACGATCGGGAGTGGAACTATTGCAGACATGATGCCCATCGAGTCGCGAGGTAGATCTGTATCTATCTGGGCCCTTGGCCCTCTGCTCGGCCCCTGCGTCGGTCCCGTTGCAGGAGGATACCTGTCCCGCGCCGCGGGGTGGAGATGGGTCTTCTGGCTGATTGCTATCCTTGTCAGTGTCCTTCTCTCGCCTTCGAGGCCATGCAGGTTCGAGTTTGCTTACCTTCAGATCTTGTGTGTAGGCCGGCTTCTTCATTCCCGTGTCTTTTCTTTGCCAGCGCGAGACGTATGCACCTGTCCTCCTAGAGCGGCGAGCACGTCGCCTTCGAAAGGAAACCGGCAACCCTGGCCTGCGCAGCGTGCTCGAAAAGCAGAGTACACTAAGTGAAAAGTTCCGGCTGGCAGCGGTGCGGCCCCTCAAGCTCTTGACGGCTACGCCAGTGGTGACGCTCAGCGCCTTGTACATTGCCATCTGCTACGGCATCCTGTACCTGCTAATCTCGACCTTCACGTACGTCTTCACCGGCGAATACGGCTTTGACGAGGGTTCCAGCGGCCTGACCTTTCTTCCCGGCGGCATTGGTATGGTTATTGGGGTGTTGGGCTTTGGACAAGTCACAGACTGGATGGTGAAACAGGCAAAAGCGCGTGGGGTACAACATCGGCCCGAGAATCGTTTGAATCCCGTCATCACCATTCCTTGCGGCTTGGTCATGCCGATTGGCTTGTTCGTCTACGGCTGGACTATTGATAAACACGTCCACTGGATCGTCCCAATGGCGGGTGTCCTCATCATGTGTACGGGTCTGATGGGCATCATGGTGAGTTTGGGTATTGACCTTGCTGTGCAGCTCAAGAGTATGCTGACTCTTTACAGACGAGCATACAAAACTATCTGATCGACGCATATCCGCGATACGCGGCATCCGTTACGGCAGCACTTGCCATCCTGAGATCGCTTCTGGGAGCGTTGTTGCCGCTCGCCGGTCTGCGAATGTACGACGCGCTGGGCATTGGTTGGGGCAACAGCTTGCTGGCGTTCATTGCGCTGGCACTTGTGCCCATTCCGGTGGTTTTCTACACCTTTGGCTCTCGCATCCGAGGAAAATTCCAACTCGACCTATAAGCCATAGATCTAAACCCATGTCTGATCTAGTGGGCATATAGTGGCATCTGAAGATTGGCCGGATTGAATCGCAATGCAGAATAGGCAGCAGGTAGACGTATGATTAATCATTATAATACTAACATAGCGGGGAGCTGAAGCACGTCGTGAATAATCCAGAGTTTTCCCATCTTGGACTCATAGATGCGACGGCAGACCTATGCGGCTATGACGTCGCTTGTATTCAGAGCACCCTTTCTTTGACTTTCTATGCTAGCGACGGATCATGACGGGATAGATTTCTGAGAGGTCGTCGCACGGGCAAGAAAGGCAATACGCCCGTGACAATTGAGGGTCCATTCACTGAATTGTCCCATAGACAGTTCCAAGCCTTCCAAGAGAAAACAAAAAGCAACAAGGGAAGTGGAGTATTACCACAGTGTTGGTCGATTTGGTTCCGAGTCTATAGTGTTACAGCCAAGCTTGAACACAAGATACGGACATGTTGGAACCCGCGAAGGCGACCATCAACGCCTCATTTAGGATTAACAAAGCGAAAGGCACAACAGGCCGGACTTGGCACTGGGCGGGAAGATACCTTATTATATTAAGAATTGACGCGTCCCTTGTTGGATGGCAGGCCAGTAGCTGCTTTCATGTCCACCAAGAACCCTCGCTCGCAGAACCCTTGGTCCGAGTTGGCAGCTGATTCATCTCAAAGCCGAATAACATCAGTAGGAATTAAACTCTCATGGAAATCGTTGAAAAGAAAGGTGCATGCGATGCAATTCACATTGCTATCGATAGGAGTTATCGGACGACAGGGATTGTGCGCCGATTTGCATCGGGACCTATCCTGTTTCTGATCTCCCAAGCCTGCTGTTATAGTACCCCATATTATGTATGCAACTTATACAAGTATCGTCGTCTGTACGAATAAGTGGACAGCCCAGCGCGCTTCCTTTGCTTTATCCCTCTACGGTCGTCTAATACATACATTTGTGTGAAAATGCGAGCTGTCTCTATTCTTATTGCCTTCGCGGCATCGATGGCATTCGCCGTGAACGATTGCAGCGTTGCAACTATCCAAGCTCTCATTGATACTGTGGTTGACACTGATACCACTGCAACTGTTGCCTTTGCTCAGAGAATTGATTCAAATGAGACATTGGCGACTTTCGAGACACTTGTCGGAGCCAGAAACCTCAGGTCTAACCTTACAGACACTTGTGGTGTTAGAGTCAATGCGAATACCACTTCGGGCTCCAACTATGCCTTCGGTGTTTTACTACCAGATGTTTGGTACCAGCGCATCATGTAAGCTAAATTTATTCCATTTTATGTACCCCTCCTCGTCGCAAAACTATTCACTTGATGCATATTCGGGCGAAGGTGCACACTTGCAGATATTGTAGCATGGGGTTTCTCCTTGGTATCTCCTTCAGCCAAACGCATCACATATGAAGAGCTCAGTGGAATAATGCTGATTGCGGTGGCTAAAGGGCGGCGGCACCTGCTGCAGGTATCGACTGGGGCACCATGTCAGCAGCTGCCCAGTATCAATACGCCATCATTGGTTCCAATGGGGGCCACGATGAGATTGACTACGATCCAGACTGGGTAACACCCAATGGTCTGATCGACTATGGCTACCTGGCCGTACACGAAAGCACGGTACTCGGCAAGGCCCTGATCAAGGCATGGTACGGCAACGAGTCCGTCTATAACTACTTCACTGGGTGTTCTGTAGGAGGTCGACACGCTTTCAAGCAGATTGAGATGTACCCCGAAGACTACGATGGCGTCATGGCCGGCTCTCCAGCGTGGTGGACGACACATCAGCAATTGTTCAACCTGAAGCAGACGACATACCAGGCCCCAGCCGGTTCCGATCATACCATTCCCGCCGACATGTTTTCAGTCATAGCAGCAGAGGTGTTGAGGCAGTGCGACCCGCAGGATGGCAACACGGACTTGGTCATTTCAGATCCGTACGGCTGCAACTTTAACCCCTTGACATTGGCGTGCGGTGCGAACAAGTCGACGCAATGCCTCACGTCTCTCCAGCTGCAAACGCTGTACAAGATCCAGAATGACTGGGTTGATGTGAACCAGACTTTTGTCTATCCCCACGTTGCGCTTGGCAGCGAGGCCACCTGGGCAGGGCAAATCGGCACGGGTACCGAACAGGCCATCTCTAACCAATACTGGTATAGTACGTACAGTTTCATGTGCATTCTTTGTGTTCAACGAAAAGGATTGCAGGCGTTGGAACTGACTTGTTACGAATTGCGTAGTTCAAAACCTCTTGGGGCTCAAGAACTTCACCTGGGAGGACCTGGCCTACTCCACCGTCCAGCTCGCCGATCAGCTGGACCCAGGCAACGCTACCGCAGACGACTTTGATCTCTCCCCATTCTACTCCCGCGGCGGCAAACTGATCCATTGGCATGGCCTGTCCGATGCGACCGTCTCGCCAGGAGCCAGTATATACTTTCATGATCACGTGGCCCAGACTGTGGGGGCTAATGGCATCGATGTTGACGACTTTTACCAGCTCTACCTGGTCCCTGGTCTCGAGTAAGTTTCCCCGTTTCCCTCGCCATGGTGCAAGTCTGACGGTTTCCAAGGCACTGTGGTGGCACTCCTTCAATCATGAACGCGCCGTGGTACATTGCTGGCCCGAGCCAGGCTAGTTATTTCACCTTCATTCCAGACAATGTCGTCTACAACACGGTTCACGACATGACCCTGACTCTTGCATCATGGGTCGAAGGTGGACGGGCACCAGAGTATATTGTAGCCACGGGGTTCACTGATAATACGAACCCGGTCGAGTTGTCACTGAATCGACGTGTTTGCCCCTACCCGCAGCAAGCCTACTGGCTCGGTCCTGACTACGGCACCGGCAGTTATGTGCAGGAAGATAACTGGAACTGCTCCCTGATTTACGGAAGCAGCTTTTCACAGTAGTGGCCCGTTACTCAATCGGCCTGCACTACCGAGATAATAACGAAATACCGCCAGACCCTATTGTTGAATGGGTAACACTTCAACACAAGGATTGTACCAAGTCTAGATAATGCAGCCTTTCCCATGGTTTCCTTGAACGGATCAACGCAATTGCTTCATGTAGTTCGTATGTCTACATGTAGGAATGAATAGGCCGAGATTTGTCTGATTGATGAACCTTGATCAAGCACTACTAGTTTGTCAGGTCTAAGAAAAAAAGATTCCTACTATCGAACAAATCTCACAGCTCCTTGAATACCTAGGTGCATATCTGATCTGACAACTCGTGCTTACTCGTACTTAGTATCATACTACCAAATCTAGTCAATCCCAGCCATCGCGGCCATAATTCTGTTCAAGCCAACCAAAAGCCATGAGACAAGGTCTTGCCTCATGCCGTTCTCGTTTCAATGCCGTTCCCCAAGCCGCCTTGTATGCATTTCCCCAGCGGCCACCTTGGACTCTAATGTCCGCCCCATGATCCGCCAGCCATCTTAATGCCTTGACGTTGCCGCATTTTGCAGCCATTTGCACCGCGGATCCGTATTTTCCATCTCGGCAGTGTATGTCTGCTCCAGCTTCGAATAAAATCTGCATTACTTCATGTATGGGCTGAACCAAATTGAAACGAGACAAATGTGCAGAGCATATCAACGCCGACCCGTACTTGCCCGCCGAGATGCGCACGTCTGCTCCACGCTCCAAGAGCAACTTGACCGACTTCACGTCGTGGTTCCAAGCTGCAGCATGTAGTGCGGTGCCGAATCTTCCGCCTGTAGCATTGACTTCCGCCCCGGCATCCAGGAGCACCTCTAGAATCTCTGGGAAACAATATGCGGCGGTTTGTAGCGGCGTGTGATAAGGGCCACCTAGGCTATTGACGTCGGCTCCGTGTGCAAGGATATTGTATGAGAGATGTCGTAAATCCCAACGATTTGATGATGAGCTCATTGCAAGGGACAGCAGCGGCGCATTGAAGACTGTGGGCACATCACGACTGGTTCTCTCCCTCACTTCTTCACGTTTGGCCTCCTCCTGTGATCTGGGGGCCAGTGGCGGACTCACTGAAGCCCCTCTCTCAAGCATTGTTCGTATGAGCTGGGCGTGTTCATGGACTTTTGCGGCCTTTGAAAACACGAATGCGGCTCCTGGAGACACGAATGCAGCCTGGAGCGGGCTACCATAAGGGGAACCAACATGGTTGAGTGGAGCGTTGTGAACATCAAGAAGCCATATCGCAAAGTAGGAATTGCCTTTCGTCACTGCTCCTTGCAATGCGATGCCAAGATAGTGAGACTTGTCAGAGGCCGTCATAGGTTCTTTGAGAAGCCGTGCCAGAACCTTGCGGCAACCAGCCTTACCTGCTGCCTTGAAGCATGCGCCGTCATTTGCATCGATATTTGCACCATGACTTAGCAGTAGATCAATCATCGCTACATTATTCCGAGTTCCAGCCGCGTTGGCGAGTTTGTCGGGTGTTGCGCCGTGTCGTAAGAACGCCCCCGCCATTCCCAAGTCTCCTCGAGCACATACCTCCTTGAATGCACGCCCGGCTGATTTTGCGCTGAGATCTGCCCCGTGCTCTACAAGTAGCGCGATTGCTGTTGTTTCCGGCTGTCTGGAAGCCTCGAGTATGATATCACTGGCGCTGCAGTTGAGGCCATACTCTACCATTAACTCCAGATCATTCACGCGTCCATTCCTTGTAGCCTGGATAGCCGCTTCGGTATCCGTCTTTTGGAATTGAGCCCCGTACTGTCTCAGAGTTTCCACAAGCACTTGATCGCCGCGACAAAAAGCCAAATGAAGGGGGCTATTCCGCTCTACCTTCCTCTTCCATGACTTATCCACATCTGTCGCATTGACGTCTGCTCCAGCGTCTATCAGCCTAGTGACCAGGCTCGCCAGACCATTTTTGATTGCTTGATAAATCAGGCTTCTGTCTGAGATAGAGTTGGCCACCCTTGCGCCACGGTCGAATAGAAGATTGACAACTTCTGTGTTCTTTGAAGAAAGGCCATAGTGGAGGGTTGTTCCGAATTCCCCCGCCACGCCATTGATGTCGGCACCAAGTTCCAGCAAGACTTGTATCATCTTGATATGACCTAATTGCGCCGCGAGCTGGACTGGGGTACATTGCGGATGATCGAGTCCTGGTCGACGCTGCCGTAGTTCCGGTGAATTCAACAAGCGATTGACATCTAGACCTTTTTCGACAAGGAAGCGAAGAATTTCAACGTTTCCTGCTCTCAACGGCCAAAATAGCCTAGCAGTTGGTCAGTGTCATGAATGGGAGGGTCCATTGTATACTTACGCCACTTCAGTCAATTGTCCCATGTCTGCTCCTAGGCTTAGAAGCATATTGAACGCCTCTAAGGAGCCTCCGTAATCGTTGGCAGATTTGATAGCCATCTCTAATGGTGAAACTGTGAGTGCACGGTTGACATCTGCTCCATAGTCGATCAAGATGTTGGCAAGATCCATATTGCCATTATACAAGGTCCGGCACAGGGGAGTCATAAGCCGTTGTTCGTAAAGACTACCAATGCAATCTACCACATCCACGTAAGCGCCTTTCTTGAGCAGAAGACGGAGGGTTTCCTCGTTGCCTCTGCCAGATATGGCCGAGTGAATGGGGGGCCTATTACGAGAACCGTCAAGTGCGCAGAAGTTGTCGGCACCGACTTCGTCCCGTTCCAGTAAATTGGCTAGAACCCAGGGTTCATCATTGTGAATCTCGACAGCGGTTGAAATAAGATGGTCTTGCCATTGAGCTCCAGCTTTGATAAGATCCTTTGCCATGTGATATTGCCGGTTGATAATTGCAAAAGATAGACAATTCACGTCATTCTGATGGCCACATAAGTTGGGGTCTGCACCGGCATTGAGAATAGCTTCGAAACATGCCATGTTTCGCTTTACAACAGTCTCTTTGAGAGCTGTGGAGGCCGCCAAGTGATCCTGCGGGTTTGGATTTGCGCCAGCTGCAAGAAGTCGTCGTACTATTTGTATACTGCCACCACGAGCAGCTAAGGCGAGGGGATACATGTATTCAAGGCGACCTTCGCCAAAAATCTGGCCCGTCATGTTGACGTCGGCTCCTTTACTGAGAAGCAAGCCAACGGTTTCGATAGATCCAGATTTCACTGCTGAAAGAAGTGGCCTTGCTCCAGCGTGGCACCCCGAAGCGTTCACGTCTGCACCTGCACTGATAAGAGTGTCAACCAAAGTGACATTTCCATCTAATGCAGCCCGCGATAGGGCAGAAACATGTCCTTGGAAGTCGTTGTCCAAGCGTGCACCATTTTCCAACAACAGCTCCACAAGATCCTTCCTTTGCTTGGATACTGCGGCAATCAGAGGCGTGATGAATTTCCCACCACAAGCATTCACGTCTGCACCTGCCTCAATTAGCAATTGTACGGCGCGATTAGAGCCCCCAATCACGGCTGTCTGCAGAAGGCTGCCGAACCGTCTGCTTTGCATAGTAAGGCCCACACCCATTTGTAGAAAAAGATGCATCACGTTGACGTGGCCTGAAATAGTGGCAGCCCCGAGCGCAGATGCAAGGTAACCTTCTTCTGTTGTTGGGTCTGCGCCTTGTTGGACCATCAGCTTGGCTGAGCTGAAGTCTCCTAAGGTTGAAGCCCAGTACAATGGTTGCGGGAAAAAGTCAGCGCTTTGTATGATTTTGGGCCCCGAGGAGGTTAACCGTTCATCTCTCAACTGATCGTCAGGATCCCATATATTCATCCAATTGATATAGGCACCCTGAGCATCAGGCGAGAAGAAATTTCCACAAAGTTGCTTCAAAGGGTATTCGTCATGTTCTTCTTGGGCAAATTCCCAATGGTCCATCCAGTACGAAGCTGAGTACTCCAGCAAGGGATTTTGGCCCATGTCCAAGGAAGATGCGATCTTACCAGCATTGAAGTTGAGAAGATAGAGAAGGCAACATTGCGCAATAAAAGAATTGCAATCCTTTTCCGACATGTGGAATTGGGCCAAAATAGTATCGTAGCCGGTCTTGGGGCTCAGTATGTATTCCTTCACCGAAGCGTGACTCAGCGATACAATCGTGACCTCTTTCGTCTTTTGTGTTCCCAAGCTACCTCTAATGCTAATTTCAGAGAGCCCAGCAATCTTCTTTCTCTTGTTTAGCCATCTTCGACGGTCTCTTGTACCGGCTGTGATTGTTGTAATAGAAACCAGAACACCACAAAGTTCCACAATTGTACGATTGGTGAGGAACCTAGATGTGGTTTTGTCAAAACGACCTGATTCGGGCCTGATAGTCGCAGCTTCTGCTAGTTCTTCCAGACGGAGCGGCCTGCCCGAGAAAGCCAACCATCGCAGAGCCGACTGCACAAACGGTCGATGATCAAGTTTTAAACTTCTCAGAATTCTGTCATAGGTTTCGTAAAGGTCTTTAGGCATAGACCTAAGCTTCTCTCGAACCATGGTCGCTGTCAGACATTCTTTCATCGCCTCTAGCTGGCACTCTGCCCAGCGGAACCTAGGAACTTTGTTAGCCTGAGTCAAATGTCACGAAATTTGGCAAAGCATAGTCACAGTGTCAACTCACATTCCATGGGCCCCAGAGACTATGCATTCAAGCATCTCCGATTGGATGCTCGATGGCATGGCACTCAGCCTCTTATCATGGGCGATGATATTATGGACATGGGTTCTGATATCTGCATCGACCACAGAATCCTGAATGGCAATAACCTCAGCCGATCCGGCTAGACCATCTTCGATATCGGTTTCTTTTCTGCTTGTCAGCAGAAGATGGATGTCAGACTTGATCAGAGGCTGCAATATCTTGTCAAGAAAGACCTTTCTCTGCTTCTCTGGACATTCATCGAGGCCATCCATCATGAGAAATACTGTGTTGTATAGCAACGCCTCCTCCAACAACGTCTGTAACAGCTCGTCGAGACTTGGTTCATTGAGACCCATGTGTTTGTCCTCAAAAAGATCTGTCGCAGCTTTTGAGATTCCAGGTTTTGTCGAAATGAGCTGGAAAACACAGGATTTGAGGAGATTCTGCATGTTCTGCTTACTACTATCCTTGAAGTCAAAGTAGTAATAGATGGCTCGGGCCGGCAGCGACTTTGCATGAGATTGATCATTGCAGTATATCTCCATGTGCTCAATGATATTGGAACAGAGGATTGTCTTCCCTGCCCCAGGAATACCATGTAGCCATAGGAGTGCGCCATTTAGGCTTTCTTTCCATTGTGTGAACTTCTCGTGTGCGAAAACCCATGCACCTGTGTTTGGATCTCGAGCTTCGCTCGATACTCTCTGGTTCTGCTTGGGGTCACTCGTACCGTACCAATGCAAGACTTTGGTCCTCTTTTCCTCGATGAGACGATCCTTGTCTGCTGTAGCCTGTGCCCTGAAAGCATTTGTTTGATAGAGTGACAGAGCCAGTTGAAGTGTCGCCTTGTGCTTCTGGAGATCATCGAGCTTGGCATGGACGATGGAGGAATCCAAAGGCCATTTTAACTTGTCTCTGAAGCGCGGTTTTGACAGCGGTCCAAGCTTTTCATTCAGCTCTTGGAGGATAGTTTTGCAACCGTCAAGAGCGAATTGTGTTGATTTCACTGCAGCCTTGCCGTTTGGACTCGAGCTCTCGGTCGAAACCTCTGCCGTCAGCTCATTGAGCTCCTCGACAATGATCGACACAGTTTCGACCTCTTCAATTATAGCTTTGATATCCTTCCGGAAGTCCTTGAACTTTTCTTTCAGTTGATAACATGTGAGTGTGACCTTGGCAGCTAACTCGATAACAGCGATGACGCTGGCTGCGATGCCAAGCCCGTCAGCCATGAGCTGCGCGAAAAGATAAGAACCTGCTGAGATCGATAAACAATAGCCACTACTTGATTCTAGAGTCGAGACGTTATGTATGTAGTGCAATGGACCAGGGGTGAAAAATCAAATGACAATAACTGAGGAAGGGAAGATGGCAAAAAGCCCATCGAGGGGGAGCAGAGGGGATTGCGGCGGTCGGGATTCGGTTTAAAGAGGGGCACAGTCAGGTATGGTGATACGGCAGACAGCAGCAGCACTGCTGAGTGGTTCCTCTCGTGTCGCAACCCAATTGACACAGCCCAAAATCACGTGAGAAAATGCACATATGCACCAGGTCATGCAACGCAATCTGGCAAGGATGGTAAAAGTCCTCTGTCAATATTCCCAATGGCAGATAGACTTTTCTCTCTCTTCTTCTGTCGTGGTGATACAGTCTCGGAATACTTATCTACATAGATGACGAGGGTTCAAAGAAATTGAAGAACTTGGGAGATGATTGGCTTCAAGTTGTTGGTAATACGGCGTATGTCACTCAAGACGACATAATAGGGTGAATTCATCATAGGAAGGCAGCCTTAGTTCTTCCAGGCTTCGCCGCGATTGGTACTAGCGGATGAAAGCTATACGTAGGTCATTACCAATTGAAAGTTTCAATTCGACAAGCTATTTGGATATAAAGGTATATTTAGAGGTATAATTTTGATCCGTGACCACAGTTCTACTTACACCCGGTCATTGTACCGGACTGTCAACTTTCCATAACGGCATTAAAGAGCTAGCCCAGTGCCATCGCCTGTCCAGCGATACAGCGCCAAAAGCTCCCGCCGTCTCTGGTGCTGCTCTCCAAGGTCCTCTGGCACTCGACCACGGACCTGGGCGAGAGCACTACGCATTACTCTGCTAAAGTTGCGCTGGAGTATGTATTAGCCCATGTCACGCAATGAGTGTCCCCAGCTAGAGGTGCTTACCTGATACTCTGTACTCAACGTGACTACGCATGCCTCGTGCGCTCTGATGATGGTTTCGCATGCCCGGACGACACTGGCGGAAGCCTCTGATTGAAGCTTGTCTGCAATGAGCAGAAGTAGAAACGAGCCTTGTAGCAGGTAGATGCCGTAGAAGAATGGCATAAACTCCAGTCCGGGGTCGAACTCGAGAATGTTACCAATAGCTTCGGCCGCAGAAACTGCATGTCCAGTCGCTGTGATGAAACCTTGGGATGAAATCCACAAGTCGTTGTCGTCCAAGAGATTTATTGGATCCCACTTTCCAGCGAGCAAAATATGCAACACATGCATGACATGAGTACCATAGGATGTCACTATTCTCGTCTGTATATCAGACTCGGTCATGCGTGATGAATTTGTCCGAACGGACCGTGCCGAGGGGGATCCAATATGGTCGAGCTCTCCAGGCATCTCCAAGGTTATTGAAGGCTCGCTCTTGTCCTCGTCGTGCGCGTGAAAATGCTGCTGCTCAAACTTCTTGAGCGACTCTTCATAAGCCTCGAGGTGGCGGGTTATCTCGGCCATCTGCCCGTCCCATTCAGGCGCCGATCGGAAGGTGATTCCAAATCGAGGGTGGTTCCGTGCATGGTGAAGATCGACAATCTCTCCCAAAATTGTCATTAATGGGAGAAAGTAACCGAAAATGGAATGCCCAGTGCATTCAAAGTGTGGTCCTCGCACCCTTTCTTCTACTAATGATGGGTCAGTTGTGCCTGAACCAAAGTTGCCATTCTGCCACTCGGTGTCGTCCATTGGCTGCAGTAGACCTTCGCATTCGATATCTAGGAGAAACAGCGGCCGGTTGTAGCAGAGTGCTAGATGTCGATCCATGGTGTAGGTCAGCCACCAGATCCGTCTCCGCTCTTCTCGTTCTTCCTCACTGACAATACCAGCCTCGTTATTGATGACATCCACAATATCGTCCTGCATGTCATTTGCCTGGGGCGGTCGCTGCGGCAATTCGCGGCCTAGTTTCAACTCCCGGGCGAGTGACCATGCCGCGTTCCACCATCTTAGGCTGGCGCCCTTGTACTCGCTTGCCGATACGACCGTAGCCAAGTGAATATAAGTTACAACATCATCCAGAGTTCCTGCTGCGCCAAAAGTGCCAGGTTCCCCTGTCACATTATCCAAGCAGGTGGTCCCAGGCAAGGCCACGCCGAGTCCTCCCAGTGCTACGCTGTCCAACGCGGGACTGGCAAGCGGGGAAGTTTCTCCAGAGGGAGTGTGGATCAGGGGCTTCAACAAATTGACAGTCAGCTCCAGAAGCTTTTGGCAAATCTTTCCCCGGGCAGATGGAACAGTCGTCAAGAATTGGGCGTCACTTGTTTGAGCTGCAACCCATAGCATGCTAGCAAGGAGCGCAGGTTGGCAGTGACGTGGCTTGCTCGGATGGAGGAATGATCGTTTTCTGAAGACAAAGCCAAGGACATATGGGGACATTGGGTGGGCATGAGCCGATGAGGAGCTTGCAAAGTATAGATCGATCAGGTCGCAAGCCAAAGCAACTGGAATGATGTTTCCAAGGTGCGGTATCAGAGGGTTGAGAACTGGGTATCTTGACTGCTGCTGATAGTTCACTTGTGGCTGTGGGACATAGGATTGATATTGGGGCGGTGGTGAAGGCATCGGTAGCCATCCTGGTGATTCGGGCTGTCCTCCGAGGTGATAAGCACTGATAGGACTGGTCCCAATCCTGAATGCTGCAGCAGGATTGGCCGAGAAGTTGCTGGCGCCCTGAGTCTGAAGCGCATAGGGTATATCCGGGTAGCTTTGTAGGCTGCCACCTTGATTCGGCTCATATGGATGATGACTTGGACCAGCTAGAATTTGTGCACCGATGTCTTGCCGATCATATGGATTCCGGATCGTGCCAAAGGCGTCCAAGTCTAGTGATGATGGACTCTCTGGCTGATCTCTGTCGTACGCGGCTATGTTGGTAGACAAGTGTGGTCGGCGTGAGCTAAGCTCTGCTAGACTGTCCAGGTTGGCAGTTGCCTGACCCTGATCCATGTTCTCTTCTTCCATGTCGTTCAAGGCCTTCTCGCTGGCGTTGGATACATGATCCTGTCTTGATACTGCATTGCTCGCCCTCTGCTCAGAGGTGGAGCCATCCTCATCATTTGGTGCCGGGGAACTCTGGCCATTTTGTGCCGCTGCAGCTTGAGCAGCAGCCTGCTGAGCGATATCTTTTCGGGACGCTTTGCCTCTCTTCTTTCTCTCGCGGACATACTCACAACCTAGTCCGAACTCTTGTAGAAGGTCAGCAGCTTTTCAAGTACTATACCACCATTCGCGGAAGTCCTACCTATACAATGCGCGCAAGGGTGCTGGCCATCGCATTTGGTCCTCAATTGGTTGCACTGGTCGCAGGCTCTGCTAATCCTGCGTCGAATAGGCCCGGCAGCGCCGATCGACCGGGTCACTGGCGCTCCGTATGGGTGTTGGCGATGCTTTGGTTGAGGAGCTCTGGAGAGGTGAGGCGTAGAGACTCCAACGTGTTGTTGGAGATGTTGAACATTGTATTGCGGGCCATGGCCGAAGGCATCTAATCCGGCACCATGTAGGTGGTTGTTCTGAACGTGAGCACTGGCCAGAAAGGTATTCGACGGAATTGCATGATAAGGCGAGAACCGCTGAAGAGGATTTGACAACATCTCGACGGGGGTTTCCTTGGTGAACCTTTCCTAGTCTTGATGTAACAGCAGGGTATGATTGATGTCGATGTTGGTAGGTCCGACTTCCTTGAGCATTAGAGTTTGCAACTTCGAACGAGTGAAAGCAGTTGGGTGAAGTAATGACAACTTTGGGGATCGTACCAACTTCCGACTCCCAGGGAGCGAGATGGCCTAGACTATATGTTTGTTGAAGATGTAACCATCCAACCTCGAGAAGAAGCAGTGATGGGTTTGGAACACGGCAGTGAACCGGACCGAGCTCTACAATATAGCTGGTCAGGGTACTTGTTTGATTCTATGCCGGGAAGCATGAGCATTTCCAAACAGTGAAAAGCTGATCAAGTCTGTTGTAGTAGATGGACGGCCCAGCTAGGCTGACCTGCTAAGGGGGGGGTGTCGACGAATGGGTAGGTTCCGAGATGAGGCGGCGAGATGAGTACAAGGGTACGGATATCTTGTTGATCGACTTACAGCTGGAACTGCCAGTATCCTTGACTGCCTTTCTCGAAGCACACGGTTGAAGTCGACTCTGCCGGCTGTGTATGGATATCCAATGACCTAGTTGGCCCTCGAGGCAAGGCAGGGGATGTGGAGTAAAGCCCGGAAGCAAGGTCGTTGACAAAAGGGTCAAAGGAAGTGAACCTGAACCCAAAGTGGGCAATACAAACAGATGGCAGCCGTTTACAGTTTGTTCTTTGGCCCCGTTCGGACCAGAAAGACGGACGTGTGAAGAAAGCCTATCACGCACAGGAAAGGGTGCGTTCCTGTCTGACTCTGCCCAAGTGACTCTGGTCTGATTGGACGACGGAGAGTCTTTGCCTCAGCGTAATATCGCGTCAATGCATAGTGTGATATTGAGCTACGCTCTACAGCGGTCGGTCGCAACAATTTCAGACGTCAGCGGCCAGGTAGTTCAATCCAAGGTGTGTGAGTGAGTGTCGTCTCTTTTTGGTGGAGGGGGCGTATCTCCCACGGGGGTACCTGTTATATGGCCTGGCCATGCCCGGTCATCTCTGCCGCGTTGAGCAGGGGTTATAGTCAGAGCAAGGATTTCTGACTAGGGGTCACGACCATGGTCTTGTAGTGGCTCGACTTTGCTGGGAATCTGGAATCTGGAGAAAGTCAGAGGGGGTGGGTACATGGGACGACGATCCCCATCGAGTACGTGTGGGGTATACGGCATGAAATGGCAACGGCCGCGGGGAAGACAGGTTTTGTCTTGCCTGTCTGCCCACAGTACACACTCTGGTATGTTGTTAAGTAAAATTTTGTCTCTCGTCTGGTTCGGGATTTGCTGGATCTCCAGCACTTTATTTCAACATCACGTCTTCTCTTTACGAGAGCCAGCCACCGTCCGATAGGCCATGACTGTAGTATTCATGGCAGACTCGGTCTGTTCAGTATCCGAAAGTAAGGTATGTACAACATGGCAAGGCACGCTGAAACTGAAGTTGGATCTCGCAGCAATCCAGAGAGAACTCTTGTTTCCTTTCGTCCATCCACACACACTCATGCTGGGATGGTCATTTCGAGAGGGGTTTTGACTCCTCGCAGGCGAACCCGCAGGCTTTGGCCGTACTAGTTCTAGCTCGAGAGATGCCATACCCAAAAAATGAGCGAGCGTGACGGTCAAGAAAGCAACGGCAACAAGCGCTGAGTACCGAAGCAGCAGATAGCCATGGATGACTTGGACGAACTAGACAAACTAGCGGAGGATGTACTTTGCAGGTAGTGTAGATTCAATTTGCAGCATCCTTGTAGCGCTCGCAACCCGTCCACTCTTGGCGGCAGTTGACCCATATTTTGAGCCCGAAAGATCTGGGGTTCGGGTAGAGAGGCGCCGAAGCGAGGCTAGCCCCCAGCAGAGGTTGGCCCTTGTGCCGCCACCTAACTTACCTTAGGTACCGTAAGTACTACATTGCCTACCTGCTACTACATAGGTGGTAGGTATGACCTACCACCTATATCCATTACTTTGTGATACCTCATCGGTGTGGATGAAAAAGAACTCCCGACCTTGACATCTTAACGTGTGGGACGTTTATCGTCGTCAAGTCCCCCAAGTAAATTTACTATCAAATATACCACACTCGGACACCAAGTGTAAGAAAACTTTCGTGCAGAGAGAAGACAATCAAAGAGACATAGACTAGGCTACGATTGACCTTATGTCATGTAGAACCTCACCATTGCAGAATACAGCATGTGGTATTATACAGGGTACGAGTGCTTCGATGGTTGGCAGTAAGACATCGGTCCACATCACACGTGCTGAGCTCGTGCGGTATGTAAAATTGAGTGTACAGGTAATTCCCAAATGCAGCTTTGACATAGAACAAGCCAGGATCATGGATTGCTGAGTCTATCACCCTCAGGTCCAGGGCCATTGTTGTACGTCAATTCTCATCTGAGCCGTTAGGACAATGAATCCGAAATCCTCACTTCGTCGGTACGGACGTACAGTATGTAGTCTAAACGTCCCCCCTGTTGGAGATGCATGCACCAAGCATATTGCCATGCCAGGGCACAGGAAGAGTGAAAGCTTCGCCTTCATCTATTGGTCTTGATTCTCTACGGCATGTCCAGTACCCAAGATCCGGAGGCGAGAACGCGGGTTTTGTTCCGAAGTCTGGGGCACTGCACTGCATGCTAGATGAACTAGCCGAGACACCGCATGGCCACAGATGGAGAAGCAGGTCAATGCTGGTCTGGTACATTTATATGGTAGTCATGATGAAGGTCTGCGCAATCAAGAGACATCGGAACTGGTGGTTCGAGTCCAGTGCTAAATGTTTGTCAGACCTCGAAGTAGGATCCCGTGCCTGCCAGTGCTTCCCGCTATCTGATGATTTGAAATATTTTGGATATTTCTATGTAACCTGACAGCTTTTGCTACCTACATACCACCTCCCTAGTAGCTACAGTGAAATGAGTATTGACCAGAGCCAAAGGAGTCGTCGGTATTTGAGGCAAGAAGAACCGGGCTGACAGATGGCGCGTGCGCCCTTATACTTACTATTATAATGGCCGAGGAAGGGACGAGTGTGGCTTGTTTTGTTTAGAGGAGCAGCTTCGAGGGCAAAAAACCACCGGTCTGTTTAGACGAAATGAAAACATCTGTTCTTTTTCTAGTTGGTCTTTCTTTCTTCCAATCTAGCTCTGGAGCGGCCATTCATTTGGGAATGCCGGAGACAAAGAGGGAGCACCACGTTAAAGAAATTGAAGGGAAAGTATTTGTAGCCAAATTCTGAGATTCACTCATGCTTTTCGAAGATTTCCACCGGAGCAGATGTACCTTGATTAATGCTGACCTATTGGAAACCACACATGTCTCTCATGTCGGTACTTTACGGCATGAGCCCACCAAGTACCGATCGCCACTTCCCACGTTGAAGCGTGCATCTGTTCTGTGGGCAAGGATCAAATAGAGTTCTTTTTTGGCTTTCGTAGGCAATGTACAGAGTAGCATGATGCAGATCGACCCCTGACCACTCCAGTCTGGGAACCCCCAAAGGTACCATTCTACGCAGTGAGATCTTTCGCAACATTCATCAGCACACTAAGATCCCTTACCAGCGGTGGCTCTTGACCTAGTACCATTGCTACCAAAAAAAAAAAAAAAAAAAAAAAAGAATGACAAGCACAACTGTCACAGAGATTCATTTCCACAAAACAAGTCAAGATCAATAATCAAAGGCTGCATGCCACCATTGAATTCGTCTCGTTGATTCCAGCAAGACAATCGCAAAAGAGGCTGGCCGACCGAGAGTAAGCGACAAGGCGCTTCGAAGTTGGGGAAGACATCACGAATATTGCAGGCTGCCTGGCTCAGCGAATGCCGGCTTACATTTACTTACATACATGGTACCTTCCTTCAGAGGTACCACCAGCACCGCTAGAACCGTTGGTGTGTGGCTGCAGCTCCCCGCGTTGTGCCTTGACCATCAACGGTTGGCGGACCGAAACTCCCATTTGCTCGCATGTCGACAATGACCAGAATCCTGCGACTTGATTGGTGGGACTAGCGACACGTCAAGTCCACGAACCAATCGTGAGCATGCTCTGTCCCAACTAGCATATGTATGGCCGTCCTTCCAGTTGATCTCGACGTCAATGAGCCATGATTTCAACTCTGGGCGAGAGGAAGTTTTGGCTGGTTGGTCTGCCTGACCCTACTACCTACCTCATTGCCTACCTGCCTACCTACCTGAAGGGCGCATTGACCTCTCTGTCATTTGGCGGCCCAGCTGTCCTGCCCTCCCGCTCAGTTGTGGCTGGACCAAGCCAGCACTGCACCCAAGCCTGCGCAGTGAGGGGACATATTCTCCCTTGGGTTGGGGCAGCTTCATATTGTACCATACCTCCAGGTACATACCTATCCACGCAGCGTTGCATTGTCAGGATCACCGAAAGGGGCGAGACACGGCACGGTTCGACGATCCGCTAGCCCCACGCCAGCGCCCAGCCCAGGATTGGCTCACAGCACATTGGCCCCAACGATGAGATTTTCTGGTTGAGGGCGGACACGAACCAAACTTTTGCTAAAGCATGTTCCATCGAAATCATTTAGTTGGCCCAGAGTCTCACGAACGACATGTTCCGCCTTGCCGCTTCCAGGATCATTGCAGGTTGACAGGCAGGCAGGTGGGCAGACGGGCGGTCAGACACGACGCCATTATGACCTCGCCTCACCAAACAGGTCGAAAGATTGACGGCTACTCACAGTATCTACATATTGACCATACCTTACTTTAGAGGTCGGATCATTGTCTTAGCGGACCCTGAAGAGGTCCTGATGCGCCCACCTGCGTTGATGCAGCAGGACGCGTGCGGTTCAACAGCTGCAGGTACTCTAAAGTGCGACCCGTGCCAGCGAGACAACTAGTCAGACCTGCTATAATGGGCGTCATATAGCAGCACGCTTGTGGTAACCAACGGACACGGCCTTGAAGCATCCCGAACTGGTTTGAAGAAATGCA